GGAAAAAATATTAGGGCAAAAAATATTCTGAAAAAAAGGAAATAACTATGTAAGGTGTCAAATGTCAAAAAACATATTTTTAAAAAGTCAAAATACATTGTCTAGAACTGTCATGGAAAAAAGTCGAAAAATATTGGGCCGAAAAATATTTTGAAAAAAAAAAAAAGCTTAGGTTCAATAGATAAATAAATACACAGTACGTGCCCGCACCGGTACCTCTCAGTCTACATCACCATCAATGTATTCATGCAATCCCTGATGCAAAACATGCATCTTATTTCAAGAAAATCTGCATAGGAAAATGCAGATTAATGCAGATGGACGTTAGGCTTATCGAGATAAGCAGAAAGTGGCGACAATTCACCAGTCCGAAAAACCATCGTCAGAATGAAAATGGAAAAACGTCATTCCTGTATGTTGCATCACATCCATTTAGTGCAATACAGACTGTTTTAGTTGTTGCTTTTTCTTCTCATCGTTGCAGAAGCTTGAGTAGACGTACAAGCCGTGGGCTCCTTAGAAGTCATCATTTAGTTGTTTTGCTTTTATCCGTGCCCCAAGTTTGCAACCTCAGCCAAGCATAAATAACCTTAATGCGCAAAATTGTAAATGAAAACAGGCAGATGGCATAGTGTTTGTGTCGTAGTCACGAAGGACATTCATAATTAATTGGCCCGAGTCACTGATAACAACTCATCAACCGAGTTACATTCATTAGGAGCTTAACTTTACCTCCAGCGTGTGTGTGTGTGTGTGTGTGTGTGTGTGTGCGTGCATGTAGGGAAACATGCACATCCTGAACAAGGAAAGCAGTTATTCCTTCACAAGAGATGACAAATCCCATTAGTGCCGATGGGCACATCAAAGAAGATGCAGGTGTAGGATTTGAGTTCTTTGCTGTGTCTGTGTGTGTGTGTGTGTGTGTGTGTGTGTGTGTGTGTGTGTGTGTGTGAGGGGGGGGCTTTCACAAGAAAGGAAGCTTAACACTCTCTGCATTTTATCACTACTGTCACTCAGCTGGGCACACGCCCCAAAACATAACGACAAAACGATAGCAGTGAAGCGCAGGGAACAACGCAGCGAAATCTCTGCAAGATGTGTTCATGTTATCTCACCGCAGAATGAATAGTTTTCATCAGCCAGACATTCAATAGCTTCAGTAGAATCACTCTCAGTCACTCTGTTCATCTGTCCTACGCTGTGCGAACCAGCAGAGAAATGTTTCATCACAACAATGAGAAAATGCAAAAAAGCTGTGGGGTTAATTGGACAGCTGGTAATTGGAGCACTTTGTCACCACAAACTGCGGGGAATCAGCGAGGGAAATAATGTGGGGGGGCTGAGGAGAATCTCAGAGAATGTAGAAATATGAAAGAAGCCTTTCAAGATGACACAAAAGAAAATAGATTGAAGAACAAGCTGTTCCGCTCGAAGCCGCTTTAAACTAGACACAACAGGGATGAGCGTTAAATGTCACGCCTCTTAATGAAGTAACGTGCTGAAATGTTATGCCAAAATATGCAAAATACGCATGATCTAATGACAAATTTTTGGGAATATTAAATTGTCATATAATACATCAAGATTTCTGTTTTGGACAAATAGATAAACATGATATAAATATACAATATAAAAATGGACTATAGGAAGAGGGACATGCTGGAAGTTAGTTCTAAACACTCGAGTATTTTAACGAGCTGTCTGCAGACACTTTGCCAGCTAATAATGATTAAATCCAAACAATAAATAAATCCACCAGCACGGGAGTTACACTTACGTACCTGCAGTCACATCTCAAGTCCAAACTCCCGTCAAAACAACGTACGAGTTGTGTGAATAACTCATAATCCCTTTCATTACTTTTTACTGTAAAAGAGGAGGACTGTCAAACAGTTCCCAGTGAGCACGGCCCAGGTTGGCCGCAAAATCAACCGATGCATGAAGGGGGAAGCACAACTGTAACAGGTTCATCTGATAGAATATGATGTATTATTATCTAACTTCACTAGTGGGAACGTTGCAATGCTTCTTACATGCTTAATGCTGGTTGTTCACATCACAAAATGATCTGCAGTGCTTTTAAATCGAAGAGGTTTACTGAATTTGTGAGTCTTATTCTTAAAAGAGAATACATTCACTTCTAACTCCTCATTATAATAGTTACATGAATCTATAAAGCATGACTCTGCTTCAATGGAAGCATTTACAACTTTTATTTGTCTCTATTTTAAGCTTTAATTTGGCAGACGGTCTCGTTCCAAACCAGAACATCAGTCCCCTTCAACTTCTGCAGAAGTTAACGTGTGTCAATGAAGAACATTTAACTCTGGGAGTCTCCGTTGAGACGTACAGGATTGACATTCGTCCACTTCTCTCATTTCTGCATCGTGTGCCTCCACCTCTCCACCCAAGACCAAAGGTCTCTTCACCCACCATGCAGAAAAGAGGCGTGCATCATTATATATTGAATTAAGGGCAAATATTTATACATTGTCACGAACACTTCTCACAGAGGCCCATAAGAAAACAAAGGACAGATGTTGCAGCTGTGGTCATATATTTCATGTAGACGCCAGGAGAGGAGACGAGGGAAGGGATCGAGGAGGACGTACAAACTGAGACTGCCACACATTCCGAGTGTCTCTTTACCAAAAAAAAAGTGTCAGAAAAGCCTCCAGCTGGTGTGAACGGGTTGAACAAGGCTAAGTTGCTGAAAAGCCTCGTGGGGGCCGTGTCTCCAAATCAGCATCAGCGGCGCCGTGAGCCGTGAGCCGGCGACCTTCGCACAGACGAAGGACGAACACAATCACACGCGGCGGCAAAGCCTCTAAATCCGGCCGGTGTGATGGAGGACCGCCGTGAGACGTTGGGTACATCATCCAGATGAGGAGCCGCGGGGATGCTGCCGGGGGCGGGGGGGGGAGGCTGTGATGGGTCAGGGCATCGGGTTATCATACAAATATTTGAAGGGCTTAAACCCACAAAATACACTTCACATGAACGAATTCCCTCGATTTGTTCTGATCAGCTGAAAGATGCTAAATGAAAAGTCCCTGCCGCCTGCATCACCCCCCCATCACCCCCCCATCACCCCCTTCACCACCCTCCTCCCTGCGTCTAAACTGATCACCGCGACAAATGGCTCCGCACGCAGCAACAACAAGGCCTCCGCTCGCTGCACGACGCAGCCGCCCTCTGTTCTGCAGCACACCTGGGACTCTGCATGACATTTACCCCCCCTCACCCCTCTCACCCCAGACACAGTGTTTCACCCCGCTTGCAGAAGAAAGGCAAAGACGGAGGTTTCTGGGGGTTTCAAAGCGGTCCCCAGCTGGGTACAAACACCAGAGAGAGAGAGAGAGGGGGTCGATGCTGAAGCAGCCTTTACCCTTCAAACGTTCAGACAGCCATGAGATCCCCCAGAGACCATCACTTCCTTCTCTGTATCCAGCGCTCACTGCTGCTGCTTCCCTTCTCTCCCTCACACACACACACACACACCATTTAATTCATACCAAAGTGCACTCGGCTGCTTCGGCAAGGTGGCGGCTGCACGTGCACCTGAGCGTCGGGAGGTGGAAAGAAAAAAAAGGAGAGCCTCAGAGTTCACCTTCACAACCACTTCAAGTGTTTCCAGGCGTTCGTTGTCAGCGACTGAATCGCTTCCCCGAATCTGGTCCTTTGAACTCCCAACACGAACACACTGAGCCGACAAATTAACTCCAACGCGACAGGCAGCGATGCACTTTGAGGAGGTTATCGTCAAATGTTCGTGGAGATGAAACGTTGACCTTCATTTTAAAAACAACGCACAAGTCAAAACAAAATGCACACGATTCAGATTCAAGCTCACTTTAAAAAGCCACGCTGTGATCACTTCGTATGTTTACTACAGTACTTCGCTGTACAATGGAGTCTCCTCGATGATTAGCTCTTAATCTCAGTGCAGCGTTTAAACGTGTAAACGCTGATCTCATTAGATATGTATTAAATCTGCATTGCATTTCAGAACAGAACTTTGCACGAAGCAGAAATCCAGTCTCATTTTGTTCAAATAGAAGTCAGGTTTTTAAAAGATCACGGCAGAGATCAGAGAATAATTCCCACAATGCAACTCATTAGCATCTTTTCATTACCAGGCAGGGACGGTCCTAATGAGAGGATGTTACTCGATTCCATTATGGGAAAAGGCTTCAGACAAATATTAGGTATTAAGCGGATATTTCTGCAGTTTTGACACTTGTGAGTCACCGGTTTGATCTTAACTTGTAACGCAGGCCTCCTCCCTCCCAACAGAACAACCCCCGTGACGTCACTGTGAAGCTCCGAGTACTCGTGACTAATTGACTGCCATGTAAATAAAAGTCAGCGGAGCTCTCCTTACCGCCTCGATGACAGCAGCCGCTTCACAGCGATTGTGTGTCGCTTCCGCTCTCGCGTTCACCCTCAAAAAAAAAGGTCCAAGTGGCTCTGCACAGTAATCTGCCGGCGGGTTCCAGACACTCAGTCTACAGAGCGCCAGGGAGGACAGAAGAGCAAAGTTACCCTCTTCACCCCCCCCCAAGGCGAGGACGCTCATGTCCTGATTAGATGACCTCAGGGGTCAAACAGGAAGTCAGGTGCTGAAGTCAAAAAGTGGTTTGTCAGAAAGTTTAAAGTCAACTGGCCATGAATTAAAAAAAAAAAAAAAAAAAAGACTGCCTGAGGGAGACTGAAACAGCCACATATTTGAACACATTAAAAGCATTTTTCATAGTGTGTCACGTTAATGCGCAGTCCGTTCTATGCACACGTGGATGACAGCGCACTTACACAGTCAAAGTCAGTCTTTGAGAGGTATACAGCGAGAAAGCTCTAGTAGGCGGCTTGGAAAAAGCTCCCATTTTGCAGTACATGATGCATTTGTAGACACTTTGCTGCGCTCACCAGGAAGCATATTGACACAACAGCACACAAAAGGCTTCAGCTGCAAGTCAGGAATCACAACTGGAAGGCGTTCATAAGTTTCAGTGTAACATTTATTAGTAAATCACAGGCTGGATCAAGCTGCAGAAACGGAGCAACCTAAAAACAAGCATCGAGTTCGGTGATCTGAAAAAGTATTTGTAAATAAACAGGTTTTAAAATGTTGAGTCATTTGCTGCATTTCAACAAACCTTGTACAAAATACTGAGGTCAACGTTCATTCACACGGGTTGTCTCAAGTGGAATAGAAAAATAGCTACTGCCATCTAGTGGGAGGCCACAGCTATGACAAGTTTTATTGCATATATTAACAATACAAAAACATTGAAACACAACATTTAGTCACTATGACACAACAGCAGGGCCGGAGCCTTCCGATGGTTCACAGATCTCAATGCCCTGAAAGGAAGAAGTCACATTAGTACATCGACCGGGCTTCTTTTTGTTCCTCCACCGAGCTCACCGTGTCCACGTCTTCGATGACAACGCATTTCCCCTCAAGCTCGATGTCGCTTTCTGTGCTGTTGTGCGAGCAGTACTCTTCACTCTCAGTCTCGACAGTGCTGGGCTGAGGGACGGACAGAATCGGGTGTCATTAAAAGGGGGTTCGGAGATTAAAGTGGTGCAGTGGTCTGACAAGTAGTTCAGCACTTCACAATAATCAATAAAAAGGAATCATGTGCGGAGAAGAAATCCTCAATGGATCTTTAACCCGCCAGCTTCCTTATACATAGAATAGTTAAGTTGGAGCACGGATTGAGTTAAATAGGAGCGATCACCTCATAGTTGGGATCATCCTCGGCAGCGTCGTCGTCGTCAGCATACTCCAGATTGAGCGCCTCCACCCAGGTCTGATTCTCCTCTTCCTCATCATCATCGTCGTCATCATCATACAACTCATCCTGCTTTCGCTTGCTGCCCTTTCCACAAGGTTTAGTAGGAGAGTAACGAATTTCTGTTGGGAAACAAGCTTATTTTTAGTAATATAACTACAACCCTTCACCGATTGAGGTGTATTATAAATTCCTATACAAAAGGTCAAAGTAAAATCAAATGTAATAAAAGCCCTATGCATCGTTCTTACAATGCAACCCAAAAGTACGCAGCTTAAAGAAGTTTATTTCCACGGTTAGTACTTCAACAAGTAGGTACAATATACATCAATACCCGGGGAGAGGGAGCACCCGATGCTGCTGGACACCGGGTAGCCCAGGGCGCCCTGCACCCAGCGGGGCAGCACGGACAGCAGCATGCGGGTGGCCCGGTGCAGACGCTTGCGGCCGGCGAGGCTCTGTCGTGCGGGGCTGGAGACCGCGGGGGGGCCGGCGGGGGGGCCGGCGGCGTCGGCGACGACGACGACTGCTACTTCGCTCTCCGCAGGCCGACGGAAGCCCAGCGCCCACCAAACCCCGCGGTATGCACGCACCTGAGCGCGAGAAGACACGAGGGGGTCAAAAAGCGGGTTCAACGCACAAAGAACGATTGGTGGCGGATGCTGCTCGTACCAGGAGGCCGAAGGGCCACAAGAGGCCGCGAAGCATCGAGCGAAGCACCCCGTCTCTCCCCGCTACGACGACGGCCTACAGAGGAGACAACACGGGTGAAAACAAAGCCTTTGCGGCGGGCTGTAGGGTTTCTGCCGCGGGACGGGGGCGTTACCTCGGTACTCTCCGGCTTCTCCGGCTGTTCCAGCTCCTCCGCGGTGTCTCGGTGGATGTCGGTGGAAGTCATGATGCTGCAGCGGGTCAAAGCCTGGTGAACGTGGCGTTGGGGAGGCCGGGGGGGAGAGACGCTGAAGGGACTGCAGGTGAGGGTTCAGGGAGGAAGGGGGGGGGTGAGATGTACCCGGACGCTGCCACGGTTCAGCCAACCGAGAGAGACCGACGCACCTGGCGCAATCAGAGCGGACCAATTAACGGAGGCCGCCAATTAACCCGCCAAAGGCCGCGAGATGTGGCGGGCGCGCCTGGTTTTGACATAAGCAGGTCAAAAAACATTGTTTTGTTTCAACATGACTAACCAGGGACATCTAGCAGGCCAGAAAAAAATGTATATATAACCTGTATATAACCCACGCATATAGATGATTTAATTTTTTTTAAAAGAAGCTGATTATCTGAAACATTTAAAACATGGATGGAATATTCCAGGTAAAGCACACACACACAATAGCATTCGGTTGAAGACTACAGCTTATTTATTGCAGATTCATACATACCCGATTAACAGAAAATGTGACTTAACTTTGCATATTTCTCAACCAAAAAGGCCTAATATTTTCTAGTTCAAGCTACTTAATTGAGCAGATGCTGTTGTATTCTTTCTGAATGTAAAATAATAATCTAAATAACTACATTTGGAGACCTTCAAACATTTAGACAAGATGGTGTGATATTCTACAATTAATTGACCAATAAAAAAAAATGCTAGATTGATTGCTAATAAAATTAGCAACAACTCTGGCGTTCTGAGAGGCGTGGAGATGTTGCATCATGTCTATCTTCCAATTAGCATATGAAGAGGTTTGCGAAGGAGGCCCATCATTATGCCTCCATACTTGAAAATCTCCATAACTGGAGACCATTTCTGGCCTTGGCTTCCGTCACATTTACGCATTTGTTGATGCAGCGACGCATAAAAGCTTCCCCGTGGTCCGTCCTCCCTACAACCAGGCCTGTGTGCGAAGGCAGGGAGAGACATTCGGCGATGGCCAAGGAAGTCGTAACGCGGACGTTCAGCATTGGAGCTGTTTGCTCAGATGATTTCTCCACAGCACGGAGACACAGCAGCGCGGGAGTCCGTGCACTCCTGTGGGCTACCAGCAGCGCGAGGTCCCTCGGGGGTTCCCCGGGATCGGACTTCCAGACGAGCCGGGAGAGCGTTTATTCCAACATCCTGACACCCGAAAGCATCCCACAGTTCACCATACCAACGCTGTCCGTGCAGAGCAGCTCCAAGTCGTTGGACAAGGAGACGGGGGAGGACGATGCGGGTTCAGAAGAAGGCTTCGGGAGTCCTGAGCCGGCGGCGTCTCCGTCGCCGTCCTCCTCATCCTCGGGCCTCGTCCCGGTCGGGCCGGACCGCCGGGCCGAGTGGAGCGTCTCAGCCCCCTGGGCCAAGAGGAGGTCTCTTCTTCAGAGGGAGGTGTCCTATCCCTGCACCAACGCCGAGGCCCAGCACTGCCTGGACCCGGCCAGCAGAGCCGCCCTCTCCCTGCCGCACCTGACCAAAGTCACCACCCCGTACGGCTTCGTCACCCTGAGCCAGAGCCCGCAGATGGCGAGCGAGGGGGCCCTCCTCTCCCAATGTGGGCCGCGGCGCTTCAACAAGGACAAGGAGACGGCATGCGGTCTCAAAGACAAAAGGGGGACGCGTAAGGACTCGCAGAAGAAAGAAATCTCAGTAAAGGCAGAGATAAAAGCTTCTCTTACCCCCCTCGTCGGCGCTACGGTATTATCCTCTTCTATGCCCAGAAACCCGGATGGCAAACACAAAGGTGGCTTCTACGAGGCTATAAAGAAACACTTCACCTCTCGCCATTAGGATTGAGAACCAAGGGCTTTAGTACGCCTTCAATTGTGCATTTGGTCATGAGTTTTTGTCTTATCAGTGGACGAGAATGTCAGATCAAGCAATGAAAACTCAGGAAAAATGTAGCAGTTGTTAATTGCAAATTGATAATAAACAGGCCCCAGCTATATTCTGTGTTGAGTTTTTCTTGATTTTATTTACTTCGAAGCTTCCCGTTGAATGTCGAGCTGTTCATTCGTGGACGGTCACCTTTAGAATAACGGTCAGAGAGTGAATATTTATAGCGTTGAAAGGTTAATGAATTCAGGATTTTAAATGTCACTCATTTTCAAGCTGTCTTTATTTAGCCACCGGGTCCAAAACGTCTGAATAGCTGCCACAGTTAGCATGAACTGTGGACTTGCATGAATGTGTGCCAATTCGTCCCTCAGGCCGAGAAACAAAGGCCCCTTAGCATATGAAGAGGTTTTAGTGGAGGGCCCCTCAATGACGGGGGACTAATGCATCCTCATATCCAACACTCCCACACACTGCGATGTGCTCGGAAAATGTCATTGTGATGCAGAGCGCTTCTGCTCCGAGTGGCGGTCGATGAAAACACAAAAATGAGCCCTTGAAGACAAGAGTAGACGGTGGACGGTGGATCTGAAATTATAATCAAATTGTGTTGTTTGTTTTGTGCGGATGACACAAGCCATTTAACGCTTCTAGCCAAAGACGGCTTTCTGCGTTTGTTGTATTCACAGACACAGTGGTTCCAAACCTCTTATTATTATATAGTTATATTTTATTATTTATTTATTTTATAATTATGGAATATTGTGTTCTTGATTACAGTTGGAGTCTAATCATTAATTCACTTAAGTGGTGAGTCAATGATTATTTTTTTTAGCATCAAACCAATTCTCATCAGCAACCCTGACCCCTGACCTCTCGACAAAACAGTTCTCGGCGCACAGGGCGATGAAGCGTTTTATTATTTTATAGCAATATACATCCACAATGTGGAATGTGTAGCATCCACAATCCCCCGGTTGTAAAGTAAAATAAAATGACAGGTTCGTCATCCCGGCCTTTATCTGTAAGTATCTGTAAGCAAGCACACCTGCATGCAAGCACGGGGCCCCGAAGAGGGCACCTCATGCGTAGGGGCTCAAAGTGCATCATCCAAAAGAGGTGAAGTTCATGCTAACTCCACGCATGAAGAATCTAGATCAACCGAGAAACGGAAAAAATCTACCGTGCAAGTAGAAGGAACTTTGCTGCATAACTGCTCTTCCCCATTCTGTCACGTTGAGGTTAGCGCAGAGAGCCGTGCGTGCCCTCAGAACAGACACCACTTTTTCCGGTACCAACCTCAAGCTTCGATTTTTGCCAAAAGATAACGAGAGCCAAAAAGCCCACTTTGAAACTTGCAGCTCCACAGAGACAGACAGACGCCGGTTTAAAAAAAAGCAACCGAGGGAGTAACTGAGACAAAGGGAAGTATGTCAGAGAGGCACCACTGCATCCACACACACACACACACACACACACACACACACACACACTACGCCCAGTGAAAGCAGTGAGCAAGGTGCAGGAGCAGGGGTACAGGTGTTGGGACCTTCTGTAGATCCCTGATGGCGTCCGGTCCCTGCAGCAGAGCGGAGGAACTGCCGCCGGCGCTGCCTGTCAAACAGCTCAGGTGAGACCAACAGACCGTCTCCCAGGGAGATACACGCCGATGGTTATTCTGCTATTTGTCTCATCAGTACACGAATCCATCATCACGTGGTCCATTGTGAATTTAATCTATTTGCTGACGTCCCAGAGTGAACGCACTCGAGATATTTCTTTGTTATTTTGTGCACACAGGCGCCTTTCCTCCGCACGTTCGGAGTTTGACAGCGCGACGCTCAGCCCCGTCGGACTCCAGCATCCAAACTGTGCATGCGACGACGTCTTTTCTGACTCCGCGGATTGCCACGCAGTCCTGTGCCCCGTACACCAGCGCTACGGTAGGCTTACAGAAAGACAGAGTGAGGTTATGCAAAAAAAAAAAAAAGCCCTGCAAAATGTGACTGTAGAGATGAATATAGCCTAATGTCATCATGCAACCTGCTGCGTCTTTTGTGCATTTCCCCAATTCTGTAAACATGATTGACGTAAACAATTCAGTGTGAGAGAAAAGGTACGCATGTTCCTGTAATGTGCACTTCGGTCGGCTCAGTTCGTCTTTTTCTCGTGAGAACTGAAAGAAGCAGAGAGGAAGTAGTTCATTCGTTGTCAACCGCTTATCCGGGTTCGGGTCTCGGGGGACCCCAAACTTCCCTTTCCCAGGCCAGCTCTCACTTGCCAGTATAGAAATGTAATCTCTACACTGGCCCGGGGGCCTCTTCCCAGTGACCAGCTGAAACTTTTACCTTCAGTAACATGCGTGTGATTTCTGGACTTTCAGAACCATCCATCCGGACAGAAAGTCTTCCAGTCTGACCTAAATCTCTCCCACTGTGTCGCTCAGATCCGCTCCGACACCAGCTGAGATTTTTCTCCGATGGCACCCCGCCGCCCGTCCCAAAGAAGAGGTTATCTCGCACCCTCTCCCTCCCCGGCAACAACGTGCCTCAACTCTCCCCTCTGTCTCCGCTGCAAAGACGCCCTCAGAACTTTGACAACCCCGCGTACATGCTGGCGCCCGTGCCCGACGCCCAATTCCACGAGGAGACCGGAGACCTGCAGCCAGTGAGCGGGCGTCCCGTCCCCTTACTGTCCTTCTCCCAGCTGTCCTTCGACACCCCAGACGAACACCTGCCGTGCCTCTTGGGCAGATTTGACGACCGGAGGCTCGTGTCTCAGGGGATTCAGCGTCGACACCTGCTGTTTCTGAGGAGCGCGGCACAGAGCGCGGAGGCCGGGGTCCTGCTGCAGGGAGAGGCCGCCGACAGCGACCTCACCTCCTACCAGCCTCAGGATTTCCGGCTGTGTGAGGACAGCGAGCCAAAGCGGGTCGGAGACGCGCTTTACTACAGCCTGCGCTGCCACAAGCTCCCGGGGAGGGTGCTCGGCCTACGGGTAACGTTAAGGCCACTCGAACCACTGCGCCTGTACAAAATGTTCTGTGTGATGATGCATGAGGTTCAAATGTCCTGCTGTGCACTGCAGTCAAGATGCAATACAAAGCGGCCTGCTGTGCAAACTCGATCTTTATCTTGACTGGCAACTGGCAAGACTGGTTTGCGGTGCCAGAAACACTTCCTCTAAACCGTCATCAGGTGTCACAACTGCGACAGGAAGAAGACATTTTTCGTCACATATGACAAAACAATGTTACAGTGCAAGTGTTTTTTGATTGTGACTTTAATCGTGTATGTTTTTAATTTCCCTCTCGTTCTCTGCAGGTGCACAAACAGACGGACGGAGCTTCCTCGGCTCAAACCGAGCGCCAGACGGCGCATGCCAACGTGCAGAGTGTGGTCGCTCATTTCCAGGGAACGAGGAATGATTCCGGCCGCTTGGAAGCTCAAGGTCCATCGGGTCACTCCAAGTCAGACGACTGCACTGCTGCCGAAGCGCAGAGTGGAGGCGGCGAGGATCTGACCTCAGTTCAGTCCCTCCTCGTGAAAGGGCTCTTGGTGAGCGTCGAGAGGGACCTGCCTCAGGCCACCCTCGAGGACTTTGTTCGGGACGGCAGCTCGCTGCAGCGCGCAGACAGCTTCGAGTACGACAGGCGGGTGTGCGCTCTGCTGCTGCAGATAATAAAGGGCTCGCAACATCTGTGCAACATCAGCACCACCGTAGCCGAGCTGCGACCGCGGGGGATCTTTTTGGTGTGGCCCAGCGGGGAGAGGGAAGGAGGCGAGGCCTCAGGAAGGAGGCGAGGCCACGAGACCTGCGGACCGAGAGAGGAGACGGAGCGGGGAAAGACAGAGGCAAAAGGACAGATCCAGATGTTATGGGGGACCCACGGATCCCCTCGCGTGGTCTTGACCCCGCTGCCGTCCGCTCAGTTCGTACCGGACGGCCTCGCCTACATCAAATCCCAGATCGGAGCCTTGATTCTATACTGCCTGCACTCACAAGACGGCCCGGCACCTCTGGACCCGTCCATGCCCCCCCACCGGAGGGGGCTCCTTCAGCTGGCCGCCGGGCTGCGGAGCGAGAGCGGCGGGCCGCGGGTGGCCGACGTGGCGGCCGCGCTTCAGGCGCTCCTGTGGGGGCCACGAGGCACTGTGACCGCCGCTGTGCACAACTGGCTGACGGTGAAGCGAGCCCTGCTGGTGATGAAGCTGGCGGAGAGGGGGCTGATCCAGGACCAGTCGGCCCCGCACTGGGAGGACGGCATGTGCCTGCATTACCTGGCGTTTACAGACCCGGAGACAATAAGGAGCGCGACGAGTCTGCTGAATGCGGAGGGGAAAAGTTGAGTCAAACCTGGCAGGTTGTAAACTGTAGTATGTACAAATAAATACACACAGGTGCTTTGAAAAGACGAAGAAGTTTCCATTCTTCAATTTTACAGTTCCTGACCCTTGATGAAAATGTAATGTATTGAACAAAATGATCATCATAAAAAATGTTTTTCAGCTTTTTAGAAAAAGGGATGGAATTGCACTTGAACTATTCTTGTATTTGTTTTTTTCTACCATTAAAAAAATGGATAGTCTTCTTTTTCCCAGTGAGTCCACTGTACATTTTTTCTGAATAAATCATGAAGAGGTCTCAGCATGCACCAAAGTAAAAGCTTACAGCATCATGTAATTTTTCAACTTAACCACCCAATTTTCCTACTAAATTACGGCCGGTGGAAGTAGTGTTTTATTCTCTGCACTCAGACGATGGATCAGGACTTATAATGAATTGAGGAACAGGTTCAAGCGTCATTACAATTAAAGTCCTGCGGAGGCGCTGCTGCCAAAGGAACAGTTGAACTAACTGAGCCCACAAGAGGCCTCCCGTGAGTTCACCCAAGGTCATTACTGGCCGCCTGCTTTCAGCAGCTCCTATTGAACCCGTACACACGGTCCCTGTTGTGGAGGAAAGGGGGGGGGGGGGGGGGGGCACATCACCTTTTTACAGTTTCACAACCTAAACGTTGGGACTTCATCACCGTCATTTATACTCTTTGGTATCTGCAGAGAAACACGACGATGGGACAATCTGAATCACGTGTGTTCGTTTTCTGTTGATGCGACCAGACGACACAAAGCAGATCAGGAAGTTAACGCCGTTACACAACAGCGCAGACAGCATTCACTTAGGTGCACTTTTATTTAGTAGTTACCACATGCAGATTTCTATTAAGTGAATCATAGCAAAAAAGGAAAACCATGCACAGTGAAATAAAAAAAAAAGAGCTAAAGTTAAAAATTGACAGGAGGATCAACTGATACTATGAAAACATTTACTTACATGAGCAAGATGAATTAAAATGAATCATAAATATTACAGGGGAGATGGGATCAGCACTACACATCATAGAGAGTAACAGTGGCGAGGACACAAAACCCGGATAGTATGTGGGCGCTTGTTCTATATTCCTGGTAGATTAACATCTTACCCTAGTGCAAATATCATTGAAACACAGCACATGGTAGCTAAAGAACAGACAAAAGGGGAAACCTCAACCATACTGAACTTGGATAACGTATTCATTTAACAAAAAACCTGAAGCTGGGTGGATAATTGGTTGAAATAAGAACAATTTTTAGGAACTGCTCAGCGTGGTTTCTTTAGTCGTCATCGGAGGAGTCTCGCTCGATGCTGTAAGCCATGAAGAAAGCGTCGGGGCGGGTGGGGACGAGGGGATGACCCGGTCGCACAATCTCAAAGCCCAGGAAACTGAATGTACGCAGCATGGAGGCTGGGGAGAAACGAGACGTACAGGCGGGTCAATCGCTACGCCGTCAATCCTGACCGCCATCCAGAAACGGCTCCTCCAGAATAAACTGAATTAAAGTTTAAAGGGGTCACAGAAAACGACCATCTGAAACCCAAGTGATTCATCAATCCATAGACCTGGATCAATCATCAAAAAGCTAATAGTATTAAAGTGAAAACATTGAGAAGTTCATCTTTAAGATGTGCTTTTATTTTGAAGTATTGATGCGCACAGACTCCCTGACCATTAAACGGTGCTAGTTTATCTCTATTTTTTAATGAAAAGAACAGGAATGAACAGATAATATTTTTTTCGATATAAATGATTCGTTTAAACTGAAATATTGTATAAAATGGTCCCTGTGACTATCTGAGCTTTTTGTCTCACCTCTATCGTTGCGGTTCTTGTGAAAACAGATGAACACGTGACGCCCCTGCAGCTGCTCCTCTGCAAACTCCAGCAGAAGGGCGAAACTGGAAAGAAACACAGCAAACCCAACATGTTAATGAATTATGGGAAGGGGGTAAGGTATTTTAGTGGTGAATCATTATTCATGAGCGTCGAGGCATAAAGTGCAACATAAAAGCTGCTTATCTGGTCAATCAGGCTCCTACACTTATCTGTGATCAACTGATTTTTACATAAACGCTTTTGTTTTGATACAAAAGCTTCTATCACATAAATTAAAGCACAAAGGACGGTTTTCACTTTGGACAAAATATTTGAATTTATTAGTTTGAGGAGATTTAGAGAACATACAAATATTTACCGTTTGCTGTGTTTAAGAGATTTTTCGTAGTTCTGTTTTTTCGCCCACTGACCTGTCTTTGCTGCCTTCGGGCAGCAATCCGGGGGGGATTTCGACGTAGAGGTTCCCCCCTTTCAGCGCGGCCCTCCAGATGCAGTGCTTGCCCTCGGGGCGTCGGGGCTCGAAGAGCAAGAAGCGCACTCTGCCGTTGGCAGGGGGGGGCTCCTCGAGAACCCGCAACCGAGCATCCTGGAGGACACAAGGGGAGGAAAATGCTCTTTTCCGACATCTGGATTCGGTCCAATAAGCAAAGTATCAAACCATACGCAGTCAGGTGATCATATTCCTGCTGTTATTTGACTCTTTAGAGCGTGTGGACCCAGTAGCAGGGGGCCAGATATTACATCCTGCAGCTTCACGAGCCTCCCAAAGACCCAAACGTCACCTGGGACATCATGCCCACTATCACACGTTTACATTATTGAAGTCAGAGGTAACGAGGTATAAGATTTTAAAAGTGCAGCAGTGCAAACAAATCAGTTCTTCCTGCACCGTTTCTCTCTGCACATTATGAAGAAACAACACACTCCTACAAGGACAAGATGTAGCAGAGCCAGAAAAAAAAAAATCTTTTTTACTTACAGAATAGAAGAGCTGGGCTGAAAGATTGCGATCCCGCTTGTCATTCCCTCGCCCACCTGGGATCTTCAAGGGTGGGTGAGGGGCATCAGGAGCACCACTGAGGCCCCGGACACGAGTTACTGCAACAGCGAGAGCACCTCCTGGGACTGGAGACACTAGAGCACGGAACAAACACACACACGAGCGGAGCCATTGGAAGCGGCGTATTCTCTGGACGTTCTGCCACCGACCACGAGACACACTCACAATATAAAAGAGAGCGAAGGAAAAAAGCTGCTAAACATTAGCGAGTTTTGAGAAACTAAATTGCGAGGGGGGTGGGAGCGGCTTAATCAATAACTGTCCTCATCGTATTAACTGCCACTGACTGAGACTTGCATGATGTGTTGACCGGCGCACTTTAACCGAACAGGAAGCGCGAGTGGTTCCCGTAACATTAACATTTGACAAAAGTTGTCGTTCAGACAACCCAACCCTCAAAGGTCAACGACGTTCTCATCACCCAAAGTCACAATCGACCCGCAGCGGCAGTGACGGATTTGACGGCCTCGCGGTGTAACTTTAAGCTGGTCACATGACTGGGCCAGAGGATCAGCCTCTGTTTGTCTAACCATTAGCCCACTTCAGTGCTGCTGCACTAACCGCGTTCCTCCGGTTCACCACTGACAAACATCGGTGAAGCAAGTGAGATCAGCCATTTTAATTTACAGGCCGGTCAAAGTTCTCCACGACATTAAGTCGGCTTACGAGTACGGACGCCTGTGTGTGTGTGTGTGTGTGTGTGTGTGTGCCTTTTCCTCAGGGCCGATATCGGGAACACAACCCACCGGGAGCGGCATCGCTGCCACGTATTTGCAAATGCTCTCTTACGCAAATGCCACTGTTGTGCAATATGTGGAGCAGATGTGTAAAAAAAAAAAACGAATGATAATATTTGTCTCTCCCAAAACACGGTGCGTCCAGGTCGACGTGCATTGCCGAACGTAGGGCATGATTTCGCAAAACTAGCACAAATTCTCCCCAAATCCCACTGTCGTGTTGTGTAAAACAGCAAATATGCATCATTACACAACACCGTCAACGCCTCCTCAGGTTGCATTGAAACTAACACACAGGACAAGGCCCCCAATCGACGTCTCCGTTCGGCTAACAGGAGTCTTTTAAATCCCCACACTTCCAATTAGAAAGCAACACACACACTCAAGTACCGCGGCGCCGGTCACGCATGAGTGTCATGTAAAATATCCACTCATCTAAGGAAATAGATTTACTCGTTTATTATGGGAAATGTTTTACAAACCTCCTCTCAAAGATCAGCAGATCATTAGCAGTGAGTGGATTTATTAAAAAGAAGGACCCTGCTTTTTAAGCTATGGCTCACAAATATTTCATTCTCAATATTAAATAGAACATTTAATTCTGTTCAACTTATTTTAGATTGACAATAATCATTGAGGTTTTATATAAGATAATATATGCTGTTGTTGCCATGGATTCCCATAGTAAACAGGCTGAAAATAAATGCATCTATTGCATAATGAAGAGCATAATGTCATCGCTGGTTTCACCCCCCCCCCCCCTCCTCCCTCCGCAGTGGAAATTTTCTATGAGGTAAGAACACACCTACGGCGAATCGCTCCCAAGTCGTGTAAAATCATGACCCCCCCCCCCAGGTATGAAAACCAAACGGTCTATTTGGGGGTGTAAAATTCCACACGTCAAACGTTTCGCAATCACATTAGTTGCTGAAATGACGTTACTGTCGAGCACAGAGCAAATGCTATCTGAAGTATTGGCTAATCAGATCGATCGATTGCGCCGTTGTAGACCCCATTAGTTTACATTAGCGGATCACATTGACGAAGCTGGAAGCGGAGAGAATAAAACAAGCCGCGAAGCCACAAATGGTCAAATTAGCCATCGGTTCAACTGACTATTACGTTGATTAGCAACTAACGTTAGCTAACTTTACATATCGTTTTAAAAAAACGGTCAACACACTGTGCGTTCCAATAAAAATAACGTAAAATTACAATGGGAGATATGATCACCATATTTCTAAACTATTGTCATCGATTGTTTTCACTGCGATGCCCAAAATATGAAAACATAGTGGTGATATAACTGTAACGCTATCCAATAGCTAACGAGGCTAGCCGTAGTTACCCACGCTGGTAACGCCTATTCAAAGTGAAGCTGACCCCCAGAAATAGGATGTTAATCGACCAGTTCATGTTGCAATTCAAAAGAGGCTGTATAAAATACTACCAATGTACAAGTCGGGAGCTTCAACGTTAGCTAGCTAGTCAGCATTCAACGCCAGCTAACGCTAACTCATCTCTGTGGCGTTTCTGTGTTAGCTTGCGCATTAGCTTAGCGAGCTAGCTAGAACTGTTGCTTATGATTTGGTACATTTGCTGAATACAAACGATAAGTAACGTTTAAATAGAACATAGGTAGGGGTTAAAGTGCTGTATTTCATGGAGAATTGTTTTATGCTAAATGAAGGGGGTTCAAAACGGACATGCGACTGAAGATGTTATTTTGTTGACGTTAACGGGAATAGATTGAGATGTTATGTAAACAAGCATCACGGGGGGCCGCGCTAGCCACTCCGGCACCTCTTAGCTAGGCCGCGGTTTTTAAACTTAGCTTAGCCTCTGAGCTAGTTAGCTTATACCAATTCACAGCGGCTACAACAACATACCTTTCACTGGCACGTGTATTACTGGATTGCTCAATAACAGGCATCTCGGATAAGTGTCTGTCTTTTTCTCTAACAAAACAATGACTATTCAAAATCGTCTGTAGGTTAGATTTAACCATCCGGCCAGCGTCCACACCAGCGGCTCTCTGTCCTCTCGTCGTCGCCTAGTGGCGGATTCAGCGCTGGCAGGCTGCGGTATGTCCAGGGGGCGTGTCCTGTGCACTGTGACGTGTCACTGTGAAAGTATGACGCGCTTCACGAGCCCCTTTTACTGAGGCGTTTTAAAAAGGACCTTCTGGAAACATCTCTGTATGTTTCCCCCAGTGATGAGCACAGGCTACTTTAGATCGCTGTAAAAAAATACACTCTTTAAAAGTACTAAACTTTAAAATCCAACCTAAAAGTAGCAAATGCCCCAAATTACAACTGCTGTGCAATTATTGTCATGCACCGATCAAGATGCCATGAATCGCTTATAATTCTGATAATGAAGTTTGATATAAGTGTGATATACTGAAATAAACAACCATCATTAGTTAGAAAATAAACAATTATGAGACTAAAAGTGTGCTTATGGACGCAATGGGGAGCAGAGCTGAGCAGGATAAGTGTTGAAGGTGCTCAACATGAAATCCAGTTCATATCTGCATCCTTCAAGGTCGCTCTTAACGTGGCGACACCTGAGCCGAATAAACGCGACAGTGCAGAGCTAACGGCCTTTACCCGAGGTTTGCGTCAGCCGGTGGCGTTGTCAGCGGTAACCGGCACAAACACACTGCTGAGAAACTGCTAATGGAAAAGCTCTTTTTCTTTCCTCCCCAACAGAGTGAGATTTATGGAGTCATTATTTCATCCCATCTGGGGTCATTTGTTTTGTTATCGGTGGAGAACAAGCTAGAAGCTGGTTACACTTGTGAACCTGCAGTCTAACTGCTGGTCACTATCAACAGTCTCCACCACAAGTGTCCTTTTCCTTTTTTTCAACCCCTCTCGCCTGTGCCTGTCAATCAAGAAGCAGAGGAGCATGGCGCGGGGAGCGTGAAACACTCCCTGCTGAAATCACCACCGAATCACACGTTGACTTTCACTTCATTTGTGAGACACACCTGGAGGGTCAAAGCAGGTACGTTTCTTTTTTTTCCTCCTTTCCTGATTTTAGTTGCAAATCATATTTATTTTTTTGTGACTGTCTGCAGGGGACTATTTTAAGCTGTCCTGTGTTTCACTGTGACACACAGCACACACGCCGTGAGGAAACACACTTTCAATTGCTTTCATTTCTCATATTAACTGACAGCTTTGTCTCAGATCCAGTTCTTGACTCAGACCTCGGCCTCCAGGACTCCGGGAGCGGCAGTCGGAACATCTGAACCCATCACAAGTAAGACCCACGTCAACACGCCGCGTCGATCCCACGGCAACCGGCGTGTGACTTCCGTCTTGCGTCTGTCCGCAGTGTCTTACGAGCGCGTTCTGGCCATCGAAAACCTGAGCGAGGTTCCGAACCCGTGGAAAGGATTCACCATGAACCGCTGCTTAGTGGTGGCCCTGGTGGTTCTGCTCGTGACCTCGGGGGTCAGTGAAGTGCACGGTGAGTGCTGGTTTATTCTGTGACATGCAGGGCGTAGGTGCTGCTTCGCTGTATTACACCATCAGTGTCAACGGCACACTGATGGCGGGGCCTCACCGTCTTTCATGTTTCTTTGTGTCCTAGAAGCTGTGGATTCGTTCGTTGAGGAAACGGGCATAGTGTCTTTCCTTGGAAGTCTGCAGGATGGTTCAATATTTCAGGTTGGTTGAATTTGATCCGGTTCAGGTGGAATTCTACGTGCCAACATTGTGCAGAGCTGGCACTCTTCATCACATGAAATATATCTTTAAAAAGCCACTGCTTTGAAAGTAGCTAATTTTATTGTACCATAGAACTACAGCACGTCATTTCAAAAGGTCACAACTGATTATTATAATGCAGCTTTTTTACACAGTAAAAGGAAATAAAATAAAATGTATTTTCATGTACTTGTATAATATGTGTTTTTGAGGCATCCTCCTGTTGTCTGTCTCCAGATTTCCATATGGGACAAATTCTCGTGGTGGTGGGGATCCGAAGAAGTCGGAGCGATAAGAAGAAGAAAAAAGCCGATTGGCAACAGAGCGATTCTGAAGCCCAAACCTAAAGTATGATTTGTATCAACATACATATACATGTCATCAACTGTCACAAGACAACAGGTTACGGAATAAAAGAGAACAAACAGCCTTTCATATACTTTTCATTTAATAATAGACAGAATGTTACATATTTCATTTTTGTGTTTTAGAAAACAACATTTCATTTCTCTGCCATTTATCACATTTATTTAATTTTATTAATCAAATTATTTAATCAAATCTACCTTTTTGGCATCACAAATTTAGAAAGGTCCCTTTCTGCCACATCGCGACACAATCTTCTCACCAAGTTATCAACAATAATTCAGGCCTTATGAACGACCACTTATTCAGTTTAGTAATACAAGTAAAATATGACAGAAAAAAGTGATAATACTAATATTTACTTTTTTGGTTTGATTCAACTTTTTGTGGGAATTGTGGGAATACTGCAAATAATATTAAAAAAATATATATATATATATATATATATATATATATATATATATTAATACCGTGTGAATGAATAAATGCCCGTAACGATTGCATTACACTTCAGTCAACATCACGCTCCCGAGGAGAAGCCGTTTCAGCGGCATTCACACTCTTTGGCCACCATGTCTGGCTTGAGGGAGATTTCAGTGCCGTGGTCCTTCACCTCCACCATCTGCAGGGCTTCGTAGGCCACGGGCACGCAGCACGGCGCCCGCTCCTCCGCGTTGTCCACCTCCACGTGGTAGTTGAGCAGGACGGCGTGGTTCGTGGCGTCGGCCAGGGGGTAGGCACACGAGCCGTGGCAGTTGTTGATGTTGATGATGTTGGGGATGTCCAGGCGCCTGTCCAGGGTCACGCTGAGGCTCTTCAGCCCGCATTTGTTGGCCCTCGCGGTGATGTCGGGGCCGGCTCTGGTGGCCCGCTGTCCCCTCTGCGCCTCGTAGGCGCGGGCCGCCGTCTGCAGGGCCTTCAGCAGAAGAAAGGCCCGGTACTGTCTCCCCCCTGTTCTGGGGGTAACGGAAGCACTGGTTAAAAAAAGGCCACGCGGGGTCTTCATGCCAACGAAAAGTGAATTCAGGTCGGATGGGCTCGTTTGTACCGTCAAGCAGGGGGCTTCATCTACAGAGTGGAGGGACTGTGATGAAGCTCAACTAATTCCATTGATTCTTGATTGCTGTTTGCAATGTTTCCAACTGTTATATGTTAAAAAGTGTTTGCCACCGATTGAAGCCTATTTCTCAAAATGGTGGATTATGATTGAAATAACTTCAAGTAGTGGATAACCATTTAAATAAAAACCTAAAGTAATGAATGAGTGGTTGATACATCCAGCTTCTAAACATTGACAGACGTGACTAACTTTTTGTTACCAGTTACATCCACTATGTGTAGTTTAATCCAATCCACTTTAAAATGGGTTAGAAAGAACACACTTGGATCACGACGTGGATTAAGTAGCATAGAATCAATCGGACTGGGCATCGGGTTGGAATAAAGAATGTGCTCCGGGAGCCTCTTTTCTCCTCCACGTCACCTGGTGCCGGCTCCATCATCGGAAGCGCACTGAGCTCCCTGAGCCTCCCCAGCCTCTCTGTGGCTCCCCGGCCCACTTGCTCCTCCCGCATCACCGCCGTTATCTTCACAACCTCCGCCTCCAGCCTCCGCCTGAGCTCCTCCAGCAGCTCGGGGGAAAAGGCCAATTCCCCGCTGTGCACCTGAAACCCGGAGGCCCGGCTTCTGAAGGAGAAGACGGTGATGGACGAGGAGTTGATGAGACCCGCCAGCAGGGTGTCGCTGGAGGACGGGCCCAGCGTCAGGGGGGGCAGGGACTTTAAGGAGTCCAGCTGGAGGGGCGAGGACTCGCGGAGGTCCTGAGGCAGGACGTCACCCAGGAAGCGCTTCAGCTCACAGAGGAAGGAGGTCTGTGAGGAAGCCGGGGAGGAATTCTGATGATATCTGAGAAAGAGAAATACATTTTTTTTAAAGTTTCCTACGGGCTCTGACAAGAATCTGGTAACATTCCAGTCGGGAACATAAACGCCAGTAGAACCTTGTATCGGTTCCTCGTTTCCCGGAGAAAAGCAGAAGCGGAACCACGCTGATGTTACTTCCCGATCTCCCACCCGTCAGGATCTCTTTTAGGCTTCGGTCTGCAAGCGGACAGGCATTAGAGGAAGTTGCTCACGGAACAAGAACTCACATGACACTCATATCTTACTCATATCGGGGGATTTGGCCTCAACAGAAATCCTCCATTTCTGGGGAACGTCGTCCTCCGATGCTTTTCCCGTCAGCGTTATGTACCACGTTTCTCCAGAGATGCACGCGGTCTAGGAAAGACAGGAAAAAACCAGCGTTATGTCCGTGACGAATGCACGCACAACAGATTCGTGGAACGCCAGGACACTTTTTCCCTTCATGCATCGTCGACTGGAGGCCTTCCTTCACCTGAGCGTGAGGCTGCAGCGACCGACTTGTGCAGGTGACGTCCAGGTTTCCCCCGGTGGGGGGGCCTTCCAACGCCAGGAGCAGCGCAGGGCGCCGTCTGAGCAGAGGAGACGGCGGGAGGTCAAAGGTCAACACCAGCGCTCCTCTCTCGTCTTCCTCCGAGACGAGCACTGGTGGAGGAAAACGAGACGTTAAGAAGCTAAGATTTGACAAAGGAACACCCAAGCGATTCAGTCCTCGCCATCAGAGAGCGCACACACCTCCAGTCGGGTGCAGCACCTCCAAACCGCGTCCCGGGTCTCCGCCCGTTTCCTTCGCCAGCTGCAACAAGGCCGAGCCCGCCGAGCCATCGGAGACGCCGCAGATTCCAAACTGACTCCGGCTGCGGTTGGCGAGTTCCCCGTCGCCCCCGGCGGCCTCGCGCAGCGCCGCGTACGTGTCGTCCGCCAAGCACGGGGCATCGCGAGGGCCGCGGCGAGAGCCCGCGGGGGCCGACGGGGCCTCTGGTGATGGGAATGTGTGGTCTTCATGAAAATATAAATGATAATAAAGAGCACAGCTTGCGCTGAAAAGCAGATTTGAGCCGCAGGCAGGAAGCACATGCAAGCGATCCAAAACACACAAATTGAGGAGAATTAGCAAAAACAATATTATTTTCACCAAAACCTAAAATCAGGGCCTCGCACAGACTTTCATGAATAATATTTTCCGCGAGGAGTCTGACCTGTCGCTGTGGGGTCGCGGGCCGGGGTCAGCTGGCGTCCGTGCGGGGCCGGCAGGGCCACGCAGAGCATCGTGCTGCAGAGCATCAAGGCTCCACAGTGGAAGAAGCACAACATGCTTCACCGTCCGTGCGTCTGCCTGTGTGGTCAGACCTTTCTCAGTCGCTTGTTTTGAACGGGTCAAGCATCATCATCAGGAAGGGAGTCTTATCCTCCCACCTTCCCTTCTCACTGCCAAAGAAGGAGGAAGGTGTCCTTGATGAGACTGGATTCAGTCTGGATTCTGTAATTTGTTTTCTGCACAGAAAAGTGCTTGTTTTCCACCTACAGAAAGCAGGTTAAAGTGAGATAACGCGTGGACTTCTCCGTCTGTAGACTGAGACAAGTGGAGGTGATGTAGACACATAGGAAGGGAGGTAGGAGTCATAAACAGCTCTGTTCTGAAGCAAAGGCGATAATGCTTGGCCACGTCCAGCGCTAACCGACCTTTGTCCACCATCGCGTTCAGTTTCAGTACGGCTCATAGCGGTCTGCCCAGACAAGAAACAGCGACCAACCCCGTTCCGTTGTCTTGATGAGTTTTCAGTTATTAGATGTCGGACATAACTAATGGTGTGTTAACCACTGAATCATTTTCCAACAATTTGGAATACATCACTAAATATCTCTCATGTGGACTCTAAAAACGCAGATGCACACAAGCTACGTGAAAAAGCCCGCCGACACGTCCACCTTCACGGCCTCGTGGAGTAAACTCCCGCTCGCGGAGAACCTTGTTTGTAGGCTAACGGTTTAGCTTTTTACCAAAAATCATAAAAGTTTTAAATTTGTAATCTTGCCGGACAGAACGTGTAGTATAATGTTTGCCATGGGGATTATTTTACAGAACAATCAAACAAAAAAAATCCTGTGGGCTTTTTGTCGAGCTAAAAAGTGCGTCGCTAACATCCGGGTTAGCGCCGCTCCCGCGGCTTTCCGTTGCGTTAACAATGTGACGACGGCGCTGAACGATACGCCGTCCTCCGGCACGGACGGGTACTTCGTCTTTGCTCTCGGGGGAGGACCGGAGAACAAAGTCCTGCTCCCAGGGATCCGATTCCCTTCAAAGAGCAGTCACTCCCATCGCCACTCTCACAGCTGCGCTCTTGTTTTTGGAGACGGTCAAGGTCTCCGTGGTGTTTAGGAGCCGCGTATCCCCGAGAGATAAAGCCAAGGCTCATACTTGAACATCCCAAAACTTCAGTAAAGGAACGACGTGAGCTGTTCATTATCCTCTAATGGCTGCTACATGTTATCAAAGCCGTGCTTGTGGAACATTTCTTGGCAGGTGCCGCGTCGTCCCGAGAGCAATGTGAGGTTATAAATCTATTATGTGGGGATCAAGGACTTATTTTACTTAAGTAAAAAAACAACCTGATGGAACTAAAACTCTTTTATCTCTAAAAGGTTTTATCCAATGTACTTTGGGCCACAATGTAACGCTCCATCAACTCCTTTGATGCATGTTGATGTGTCACATGGAGGTCTGGATATTATATAGTAAAGCATCACTCGATGAGCAACAATATCTGAAATATTCACTTCAACGCACTTATATAATTAGAACACATCTATGTGGTGGAAATATCTAATTTTGTACAGATAAAGCTTATGATTATAATAAGAAATATGCTGTATTTTTGCTTTTTGTGCAAATATCAAACAATTTGTAAAAGAAATGTGTATATATATATGATCCAAACAATCGTGGGTAAACTTCAGCAATCTAGAGGGGAAAAATAAAAATGCATGGGACATAAATTCAAACATTTTATGAAACAATTATTTTTTTTAATAATCATAAAATGCAGGAGGGGGAAAAAAACAAAACAGGAATTCCATTTATTTCATTATAACATCTTAGGATAAAAGCACCAACACGGAACAGTAACAAGTCATGAAAAACCCCAGGGCCTCTAACTACGTTAGCCGTTATTGCACCTCACACCTGCCCTGGCTTCACGGCACACAGTGAAGGCCACATGTGCCCCGCGTGTCTAACCCCGCCCCCGAGTCGAAGGGAGAATCCTAACGAGAGCACCGCGAGCCATCTAATCGGAGACGCAAATCTAGAGCAGCGGCCTTCGCCTGAGGAGGAAGACGCTGAGAGTCGCAGCCGTTTCACAGCTTCCGGAGGCCAAACAGACTCAAAGCTTCACAGAGCTGCTTTTCACTGGAGATGCTGGATGTATGTGACAGTTGAGAATCAATCTGAGGAGACCTGACTTTTCAATTTCACCTCGAATTACCCGTACCAAGGGTTTGCCCTGGTCCTGAGTTGGATTAGAAAGGAGGGCTTGGAGTCAAGGTGACATGAAGTAGTTGAGAAAATTGTTTAGTTCATTTGACGCCATCTGGGTTAAGTTCCTGAGTTAAGACCTTTGGCAGGATTCGGGGTAAACGGCTTCGCAGACCATCAATAACGCAACGGGAAGGAGAAAGCTTCAATTCAAATTAGCTAAAAAAAAAAAATTCTAATGAAATTTGTAATGATTAGCCGTTTCCCAACGACCGTTCTCACTTGCACATACACGTCGCCCCTCCAGTTACCAGAGAGGTCTGCAGGTTGGACTTGACCGCCGGAAAGCTCGTGTTGCAGATTACCGAACAGGAGAGGAGAAGTATTCACGTAGAGCTGCAGGTTTCCTGGTTTGAAGTGAAGGAGAGCACCGTGCCGTCTGCCTGACTAGTATTAAAAACCGACGGGAATCACAATTCAAAAGCAATTAACATGGAACTGCAATTGTATCAAACACCAAGATTAGGAAAATCAAAACGGCATCGACAATTAATACAAAAGACCTCTCAGCGCCGGTAACAAAACGGACGGGTCTCTAATTGGTCTAAAAGGACTCACGTGTGTGAGCGCACAGGACAGACGAGTACAATAAAGACTATTGACTATTAGTCTATTCTTCCCTTAAATATGCACCAGAAAGAGAGGGGGGGGGGGGGGGGGGGGGGGGGCAGCATGGCATCACACACCAGCAAGCTGTGTGTGTTCATTAGAGGTTGACCCGTGCTCATCTTTATGCACCAGTACAGGTTTAGTTCAGAAGATCCAAATTTTCATCACTTGGAAACTGAAGCACCGTTTGTTTCCTGAAGAATCTTGTTTTGATGGAAGAGGAATTGGGGGCGGAGGGGGGAGGGGGGGCATCTGATGAAATTCATGACGTTGAGTTGAAGCCACAGCACCGTTGTTGCCGTGTGTTGAATGCACACGCAGTTCGGGTTTCAGATGCCCTCGGTGGGCGGGGGGGGGGGGGGGGGGGGGTCAGCGGCAAACGCCTTTATTCTTTCATATATATATTTATACTTCTATATATATATATATATATATTTATACTTATTTAATATACCTTTCGATTTAGGGTGTCGGGGGGAAAAAAAACGTATGTACAAAAACAGTGTGCCTTGTTCAGTGAAAGAGGCGGCTCACTCGGGGGGTCAAAGTGGGGCGACTGAAAGGTGGACCGGACCTTGTACACTAGGACCAGATCGTCGCATATTAAATAGGAGAAAAAAAACAAGATAAAAAGCCAGAAATTGGCTTTACAAATGTTCTCGTGTGCAGCACCAAGTCTCGGATATTGATGTTTTCACTGTAGAATAAATAAGAGTCCTAATTTAGCACCATTGTTTTCAGACTGAGTCAAGTACACACACGCACGCAAACACACTCTTGCATTCTACAATGTCAAATATCAGGATAAAAACAGAAAATCAAATATCAAGGCAAGGTAATAGACACAGGGCATAAATATAATCTAAATTATACACAACTATACAGTCGGAGAATGAATCACATTCACAGTACAAACAGTTTACAAAATTAAAATTACACAAAAAAAAAAGCAAACAAGTCGGTGTAAAGAGAGTCCAGTAGTTAATTGTGGTTTGTTGTCTTCTCAATGTGAGGATTTGTGTTTGTATCAACTATAATCTGCAGTGATCTCACACGCATCTTACGATTTGGCAGCAGAGATAAATACGAATAAGTTTAGCTTAAGAAGAGTAAAATACTCCAGCGTTAAGTATTTCAGCTGTATTCCAGATAGTAGTGTGATTTACCAAATCGGCCGAGGAAGAAGATGTAAATAAATACATCAAGTGGCTGACAATAAGGATATAGCACCATTTCATGTTGTTTGTTTTCTAAAAAAAAAAAAAAAAAAGCAGTCGGCTCAGCATCATCGGCCCGTTTGAAAGGCTGCTAACTCAGCATATTGTCAAAATAAGGCAAAGATCAGAACGTTATTGTGTTCGGCCTTTAAACATACACCCACTTCCATATTATTAAGTTAATTAATTTAGAGAAATCACATTTATTTTGCTTAGTTGCTGTTGCAAAAAAAATATCATTTTGAGTAAATAAAACTTTCACCGTTATGTTCAATATTTGAGACTAGTTGAGAAACCCTGAAGACGTGTTTTCATAACGTGAACTTAGTTCTTTTGCTTTTTAAGATGTTTCGACCACTCACCAATTTAGTTTAACATGTAAATATTGGAAACCATCAACGTACACAGAGCTTGAAGTGTGTCACCATCCGGCCTCACACATCTTCTGCACCATGACAAACTGCATCTTTTTATCCAGTGTGAAGTTAGACCAAACGTTCCTGTTACATACCCAACAAATATTTAATTACACCGAAAGAAAGAAAAGAGACGCGACAGCGTAGCTCGCATGACAGCGTAGCCGAGTTCAGAGAACTGGTCCGTGTGTGCACGAACACGCGCTCGTGTGAAGGGAGGCTTTGGAGGGAAGGTGACCAGATTCAGATCAACGAGACGGACGATGTGCTTCAAATCGGTTATCAAATGTCACATTAAATCCTTAAAACAGACGGTTTTGATCTTGACTGAGACAAAAAGACAAGAGCACCTTTAATTTAAAGCAGACATCCGTTCAGTGCTGAGCAGCAGCAAGCACTGATTTCATCATTGTGAAATCTTTTAAACAATATATTTTAGCACCCAACACATAAACATGACCACTACCTATGGATGCTGTTCAAGGCGACTATAGTGGCCCTGTGTCTGTGTGTGTGTGTGTGTCCCAGTACAGAAGCCGGTCGGGTAGTGCAGACCTCGTGAAGCACCAGTGAGTGAGCAGAGCGCCTCCGTCCACAGCCGGACATTTGCATAGTTTATTTCATTTTGAGGTAGTTTTCATCAATTACCTGAAAAGTCAGAGAAAAACAATGAGTGTTTCTATGGATTCTACACTGCAGCACAAAACAAAGCGGCCCAAACACTAAAATACGGACACTTTCATCATCATCATCAGACACTTTCATCATCATCGCCACCCAGGCGGCTTTTAATACTTGAATTCTGAGGAATCTACTCACCTTGTTCAACCATAACAACAGCTTGTTCGGAGCACAAGACAAACAGGCATCCTGTCTCTCTCTCTCTCTCTCTCTCTCCCTCCCTCTTTCCACCTTCTGATTGCCCTTCGCCCAGCACCCCCCCCTCCTCCCACCACCCCCTCAAACCCTATCTAGGTCGGGAGCCAGGGAGCTGGGAGGTCGTGTAGGTGCCATGCATGCCCTGAGTCCTCCACATGCCCCCTCCACCACCTGAGCCGCCGGCCTGCGAAGGAGGGGGCGGCCGAGGGGAGTAGTGCACGGCGTAGGGGCGAGACGAGGGGGGGGTCGACAGAGAGGACGAGAGGGAAGCGGTAGCGGCGGCAGAGACAGAAGCAGAGGACGACGATGAGATGGAGAGGGGGGAGTTGGAGAGCGAGAGGGATGACTGAGCTGTCCGGTGGTGCACAGAGGCGTGGTGGGACACGCGGGAGCAGTGGAGCAGGGAGTCCGATCGGGGGGGCGGCCCGGCGTCAAAGTGCGGGGGCGCCGAGGACGGGCCGCCGTGCGGCGCCAGAGGGGGTGCAGGGCGAGACGTGGCCTGGGAGGGGCTATGCAGGACCGACTGGGTGCGGCCGTGCTGCGCCTGGGACAGCGAGGCGGGGAGGGGCGAGGATGACAGGCGCGTGGGGGCGGGCTGAGGGGAGCCGTGCTGCTGGGTTTGGGGGGAGGAGGAGGAGGAGAGACCGAGCAGAGAGCCGAGGCCTCCAGAGGCGGGCAGTGTCACCCCAAACTGGTGGGAGGACACTGCGGGGACCACGTGGTGAAATATACCTGCAAAAATCACACAGCAGAAAATGGAAGGAGACAGATGGGGGAGGGCAGAGCAGGTGAGAGTGGCAAAGAGAGCGAGAGGGGAAGGAAGGGGTGGGGGAGGGTGGGGAGGGTAAAAGAGAGAAGCAGGGACTGAGCCGGGTTGTGCAAAGCGCCAAGCCAGTCTGAGACAAGCACACAGAAGGCGAACAGTCGGCCCACTGGGACCAAAACAAACACTTATTGCAGCTTTAAAAATAAAAAAAAGTGGATGGCGGATACACCCGCAGAAAATGACACCGCAGTCACGTGACATTGATTCATGGTCAATTTCCATTGGTTCAGATCTCTCCAATTATAACATTTTCTCTTTTTTCAATCTGTTAAAAACATTTTCCACGGGTGTGTCCAGACGGAAGCAATGCGAGGCAGCGCGGTGCGTCGGTCAGTCAGTCAGTCGCGCTGCACAATTAGTGGAACGCGGGTCCGATCAGTTTGGGCTTCTCACGACTGATGATTTCAAACGTACGGCCACCAGGAGGTGTTCCCTTGTGAAAACTAAGCGCTGCAGAGTGGAATGGTGACGTAGTGTCATTTAGTCGTCTTGGCCGTCTGCCCTTGGTTGTATAAAATGCACTGAATTCATGTGAAGGAGAAACTCCTTTTAAGTCCCATTTAGATGCAGGGATGCTTCCTTGCACGAAAACAGTTTTCTGCACATGCAATTTGGGCTAAAAAAAAAAAAGGGATACAACCGCATTATGTTTCCAGGAGATGAACTGGGAATAAGAACCCGTCCTATTCAGATGCATAGATTTAAATATCCGCTTGAATGTTCCGGGAACATGAAAGTGAAATTGGTGCTACTCTCATTTAAGTGAATGTGCCATTAATTAATCTTTTGATCATTTTGGCCATAATTGAGCAGCTCCATCAGTCGGTCGGTCGGTGAAGAAGACACACACACAGACGGCAGCATCAGACCTCCACTTACCCGGCTCTGTTAGCGGGACTCTATCCTACTCTTCATCACAATGACGCCCTCCCCCTCCCGGGCAAAGACTTAAAAAAACCCTGACGTGATGAGTCGTGCGGATGCTCACCTCCAGCTGCTCCCCCTGCCAGCCCGGCGCTGGAGAAGCCCCCCAGGGCAGAGTGTCCGTTGACGAGCCTCGGGGTGCCACTCACCGTGGACCCGCCCGTCTGGGCCCCGAACAACGACTGCAAGACAGAGGTCCCTCCGAGCGGGAACTGCGACCCCAGGAACTGCCCCGCGGAGGACCCCGTGCTCGAGGAGACCATCGCGGGACTGCCCCCCACCTTGCCACTCAGAATGCCCCCACCACTGCTGGCGGCGGCTGATATGAAGAGGTTCTGACTGGCCAGGCTGCCGCTCGTCTTCATCTCCCAGTCGCGGGGGGCCTTCTGTTTCTGCAGGGCCTGGCGTTGGTCCGAGCCGCTGCCTCCCTGGCCCCCGCCCCCGCCGCGGGGCCCTGCGTCCTGGCTGAGGAAGGGGTTGGGATTGACGTAGCTGGACGACTCGCCGTCACTTCCTTTCCTCGCCTGCTGATGCTGCTGTTTGTGGTCAGAGTCTGAGTCAGTGCCCCGGCACGACCCCCCCATGCCGAACGGAGAGCCCCCCTGTCTCGGGTCAGAGTTGGGCTGCTTGGGGTCGGAAATGGGTGAAAAGGTGGATTTCCACTTGCTGTTGGAGGACAGGGAGGATGAAGAGGAGCCGTCGCTGCCGGTGCTGTTACCGCTGCTGCTGCCAGATTTCCGGACTAGTGGAGGAGAGAAGAAACGATGGGCATCAAGCGGCAACGTGGGCGATTATATGTGGCGCTTTCTTTGCTTACCTCTTTCCCCTTCCCCATGTCGACCAGGTCCATCTCTGCTCTCCAAGGATATGGTGGCAATTTTTCTTTCAATTCTAGAGACAAAGGCAAATAATAAAACAAAATGAGATGGGGCGAGCGAAGAACAGGGCATCTGGGCGTGGACGTTGTTGTTATTCTGATCGCCTAGGATCGACGACTGCACTACCGGGAACTGGAGCCGTCGGCCGGGTATCCCGAGTCCTCGTCGTCGGAGCTGGGGGCCGAGGAGTAACGACCCGAGCCGTTGAGCTCCAGGGGCCGCTCTCTCTTCAGGACGGGGGGCTGGTCCAGGTCGGCGCCCACGGGGCTGCGGCTGGACTGTTCTGGGGAGGAGATGGCTGAGATCTCCAGAGGCTGGTTGATGTTGTTCACCTGTTGGACGGGAGAATGAAATAATGTCAAAGACATCTCATCACAGACAGGTGGTCAGCTTGCAGGACTTCATTACGTCGAAATGAAAACCGCCAGCCTCCGTCAACCTTCTCTTCCGGCGCCGCTGGCGACTCACCATGGTGTTGATGTTGAGTGGCGACCCGGAGGAGGGGTTGTTGGAGCCGAGCCCGGGGAAGGACCTCCTCTTCGGGGATCCACTGGCTGCGTTTCCAGTGGAGCTGCGTTTCCTTCTCCCCCGCTTGCGTCCCTCCTGAGCGGAGTGCGGCGGCGGCGTGTGCGTGGGCGCGTGGGTGTGCTGCGTGCCGGGGGAGTGATGGTGATGGTGGTGGTTTCCGTGGTTACTGTGGTATCCCTGCTTGTTGCCAGTGTGATGGTGGAGGCGGGATCCTCCGGCCAAGCTGCCTCCGCTGCCTGACGAGGAGGAAGACGAAGAGGAAGAGGAGGACGAAGAGAAGAAGATTCTCCTCCGCAGTTCGCTGTCCTGGGGCTCCGTGTCCGATTCTCCCCCGTGGCGATCCTGTCCGTCTTCGGGAGGAATCCTCGGCGGTCCGTCTGCATACTGAAGCACCCCTCCGGTGCTGAGGGGCGGGCTCTGGATGGGACCTCCTCTGCCCATTGGTCCCGACGAAGCAGTGTTGAGATGCGGTGAAGGGGAAGAAGAAGCACCGTTATGGTCCTCAGGATGGGGACCTCCATTCATCAGTCCTGAGCTGGATGAATATCCTAAGACAGAGAACAAGAAGATAAAGGATTAGGGCGGACAGGAAGCGTATGAAACAGAAAAACACTAAAGGCTCTTCATTAGCAATGAACAAGCAGCTGATCGTATCTTGTTTTATAATAACAGTGAATATTATATGTGACCATGGGTAATCCTTACCATTGGTCTGACCTGCCTGAGACACAGGACTCGGAGTACTTCTCTGAAATTATAAATGCAGACCAGGGTTACTATTACTACTATTAATATTATTATTATTATATTAATAATAATAAAAGCAGTGACAAATGTGTCATACGCTTAAGCCAAAAAATATATTGTATGGTTAAAACTATTAAAAATCAAAAGAATGAACTTATATTTAATCCAGTTTTACTTTTTGAGCTACAATATTCTAACTGAATAAGAGAAACGAGGATCTCAACTTGTGACATTGAACGCGACACCGAAGCATCGACCTTCCAGCAGGTGGTGCAATGCTGCAGTCACATGACTGTCATTCCCACACAGTTCTCCAAATATGTACTTTATATGTATAGTATTTGAGCCAGTATACTTGACACCCCCCAAACAATGAAAACTTTAAAACATTTTACTTTAAAAATGAATGTAAAATAAAACCAGCAAACAAATTCTGAAAAAAAGGTAAAACTAATTGAAAAAAGGTAAAAATATTATCTTGTAACAATTTTGTAAACTTAAATCTGTGATTATCCAGGTGAAAGGAGTCGGATCCATCCTAATTCTAACGTAGTCACCTTACTCAACACTCCACCCATATCATTCTTCACGAGAGAACTGTTAAAGCTTTACATCAGCGCTGATGTAGTACTTTTTTATGAGGGTACATGCGCTGAACGTACGCACCAGTTTCTCCACCCGGCTGGGCAGCACCACGCTCGCCAGAGGGATGCTGACTGGCAGTTTGCTCGGGTGCACTGTGCTCAGGGGGATACTTATTGGAAGGCTTGTAATGCTGTTGTCGCCCTGAACAGATGGACTCCTCTCCTTACCGGCCTGAATGGGACAACAAGCGGAAAATGAGATGAGATGAGAGCTGCAAGGAAGGAAGAAAAAGTGCAGACAGATGAGAAAGACAAACATTTACCCTCTCGAAAGCTTTATTCTGGATATCCGATGCGTTAGGAGACGGGCAGTTCAGTTTGGCTCCAAGCGGAGAGCTGACACCTCCAAATTCCCTGAAGAAGTAACTAGCAGATTTAGACCGTTCCCTTTGGAAGCTTTGTAAATACTTTAGTTCACCATTAAAAAGTGATAGTGTCAGCCCACCTGTGTGTGGTCAGCCCTGGGCCTCTCAAGTGAGCAGAGGCAGTTGGGTCCTGGTTGAGGTGCCTCCGCAAGGCGATCTTGGCGGGGGAGAAGCGCGTGTAGTCGGGGAGAGCGTAGGCGGAGCTCTGCTGCCTCTGGCGCGCATCGGGGGCGCCCGGTGCGATCTCGTGGTCGGGAGAGATGGGCAGGTAGCGAGAGAGAAGCTCCGCCTTGGCGTTGGCCCGGTCGAAACACGGAGAGCCGGTGCCGTTGATGGACAGCTCCATGCTGACCCCGTTGAGGGGCGGGGCCAGGCCCAGCTTAGAGGGATCCACGTCGGCGGAGGAGCGGGACTCCAGGCTCCTTCTGTACGGGGAGCCGTCACGGGGGCTGTAGGATTTGAGCTGAAGCAGCTCCTGCTGCCTTTGGCTTTTCTCCAGCTCCACAATGCTGATCTACAAAACCACACACACACACACACACCAGGGGGAGCCGTTACACTAGAAAACGGGCTAATTCGTCTTCCTGAAAGCTACATTTCACCCAGTCCAGGTGACATGGCAAATTCCTTTGGAATATCTCTCGGAGGGGTGACAGGCAACACGCGGCGAGAACGGAGAAGTAGACGAGACGGACACAAGCCTTTGAGGAGGCCGAATGCGTACCTGCAGCTCCAGACAGTGTCTCTGTTTCTCAGAGATCTGCCTGCGAAGCGCCTGCTTCTCCTTCAGCAAGCTCTCCAGACACAGAGAGCCCCAATCGAGCTTTAGCTCCTCACACCGAGACTTCAGCTGCAAAACGACAAACAAAAATTGCAGTTATTCATTCGGGTGGAGGACCATTAGGATCGTTGACAGGTGTGAACCACTGGAGGGTGTTAAGGGGGGGGGGCGGGGCAGGTTGGAGGTCTCACCAGCAGCAGGCTGTGGTCTCTCAACAAGGCCATGTCCCTCTCAAGCTGCTTTGTCTGCTCCTTCAGCTGACGATTGTGGGCCGATATCTCTTTCTGGGCCTGCAGCAGGTCCTCCACCGTCAGCGCTTTCACTCCCAGCTGAAAAACACACACACACATCAGCTAGAAATTCACAATGCTTGAAGAATTCAACATCATTGAAGAACCTATTTTTTGCCGAACTCTGAGTTCTCTATCGGTTATAACGTTTATTTGCACCAAATTGTCAGCGCCCGGGGGTCACGGGATGGATTTTATAGAATATGGGTAAAAAAAACAGAATATTTTCTGCATGTGTGTAACTAGCGCTTTCAACAAAAGAAAATGTGTGACCACACCCAACAGTTGGGTGCATGTGTGTCACACTTTCAGCAGACTAGAGGAGCTTTGGGTTGAGGTCAAACGACAACGAAACATTGGTCAGATCTAATCTTATTACACATCTGTGCTTTAAATTCATGCATTCTTTTCCACTAATAAATTACCTAACAGTACATTTTATAAGAAGGATGGTTGAGAGACAAAAGTAGCAATGGAAGACAATTGAATCCACATTTCTGGATGTTAATATCAGAAGTAAAGGGAAACATTGTTGCTGTGTCCATAAAGCCGTGTAGTGGAGAGAAGATAAAAAGTTCCCACCTCATCTAGCTTGGTCTGAAAGAGGCCTTTGATCCGGTCCTTGTGGGACTGACAAACAGAGTGGAGCTGCTCCGCCTGCCCCGACAGATCCCGGTGCTTTTGCTACGGACGGAAAAGAAAGAAGATTTAAAAAAAGGTCACAGATTTGGGCAAAACTGAAAAATCATTTACAGGATTTTGGGGGTTTTGGGTGGAGGCCACTTCATGTGTGCCAGCGGGGGAAATGCTGCAGTAGCAAATCAATAACGTCTGCGATGGCATTATTACCTTCTCCTGCTCCAAGAGCTGCTGCAGGTTGGATCGGTACTGAGGAGTCTTCATGTGGGTCATAAACTGGAGGTATTGAACTTTGATGTTGTCTGTTTCGAGAGGGTTAAGGACACAAAACCAACATTTATTAGTTATGTTACTACATTTAAATCTATCCTTCTAATCCTAAATTCACCGCTGCATTGAATGTTTGACGGGCTCACCAAGCAGCTGCTGCAGACCGGGGGGAGTCGGGCTCTGAAGCAGTTGACTCGAGGGGTAGTGGGGGGTCTTGGGAGGCAGCTGGTAGAAGGGACTCTGAGGCGGGCGGTACGCATCTGTACACATACACAACGAGTGGAGTCACGTGCAACCGACATTTAGGACGCAAACAGTGAAGATGTGAAAAGGTAGTTGGTCATCTCTCTAACGGGAGGTGTATTGTGTGTGTGTGTGTGTGTGTGTGTGCGCGCGCGCGCGCCCTCTCACCCTGAGGTGGCGCGGCAGAAAGGGTCTTGGCGTGCAGCAGGTCCAACGCGCTCTGGTTCTTCTTGTTCTTCTTCTCAGCGGCGGCCGGGGCGGCTTTCTTGGGTCGACCGCGCTTCTTGTTGTTCAACTTGCGAGCTTTGGGCAGGAGTCGCGCTCGCCGGGGTTTGGCCGGGGGCTTGACCACCGCCACCAGGCGCGGACGCTCCTCCTCGCCGCAGGAGTCCTGCTGCGATACACGTGGACGAACACACACACGTTCATACAAAGCGCACAGAGAGGGAGCCACAGTGTTCAGTCGATTCGTGCTCACGTAAACCAACAAACTGCAGACGATGTGAACATACTATTGACGTCAGGAGGTTAATTTACTGTTTAGTTTACAAGAAAATTAAAGGCAAATTCAGCTGGCGTTACATTGTAGCATTTGGTTTGGCCGTGATGCAAAGACACAGATTTCAATTTGAAAAGTTACATGAAACATTGCACGTAATTAAGAGAAAAAAAAAGGGGATTTAGAGATGAAGTTCATTCATATTTAACACGTCCAACAGGTCCTATAAGTCTGTTCATGTCTTACCCGGCTTTGTTCTTTAGGTTTTGTTGGCGTGGTGCTATTGCTTTTACTATCCTTTGTATCCTTCTGCTGGCGTCGCCTCGCTACCTCCTGCTCCTCCTGAAATAAGGACCCATTTAGTTCTGTGTTTTGGGTTCGGTGACATTCGTCAACACACTGACCAGGACGGAAGGAAACCACTTACCCTGAGTTTAGGATTTTTGAGGCTAGCAAAATAGTTTTCAAGCTGCAAAAAAAAGAAAAATGAATTTAATTGTTATTGTCATCATTTAAAAAAGTGCTTATATTCTAAAGTTCAAATAACCCGGCTGTTCACGCCAACACGGGCTGTATAATGCATTCATGGATATTATGATTATGTTGTTCTAAATCCCCGCACGGTCTCAATTGTACATAAACTGTGGTGTGCAAGTTATATCCAAAACGCGAAAACCTACATGCATGAGGTCACCCTCGGACACTGCCGGCTCTTCTGAGGCCGGTTTACTCACTGACATTTGCTCCAGTAACCCGAGTGATACACACATCAGTGTCATCTCTGCGCCTGTGTTCTACCCTCAGAGTGCTCACTCCTGGGACTGACTACTCGTTAAGACGCTACTCGCGGCCTCTGATGTACGATGTGTTTGTGCAGCTGCAGGAGTCATCATCGTCTCTGCACTCAATCATGGCGGGCGCTTACTATGGTGCGGTCTATGGTATGCAGGTAGTAGGAAACTGGCTTTCCGGTCCAGGACACGGAGCCCCGCAGCGGAGAAAGCTCCACCACACGCATTATTGTGCCAATGTCTGCGGGACAAAAAAACAAAACAAAAAAAAAGCGTGTCAGATACATGTCAAAGGAAGCAGGAGATGTTGACATTCACTTTTCTACCAGTCGTGCTACTCACCACTCAGGTTTCGACTGTTAATTCTAAAATGCAAAGGTGCAAAAGGTTTGGAAGATACTATTTTTCCACCTGCGGAAATAAAAAGAAAAAAAATTAATAATTTGCCAGTCATCCAAATAAACATGAAGGAAAGCGTCAGCCATTGTTATTTCAATCACAAAAAAGAAGGTCTTGACGTTTTCTACATTAAGTAATCCTAGTTATTGTATAAAAAAGGGTCTGTTAGCATCGGCTATTAAAAGCTATTTATGGACCTTTGATGAGATTTCTCCTGGTTCGTCTCAACTTGTTATGGCTCATCAACTATCTGCTCTGCGACTGATTAACACTTCACTGTTGAGATGAAAGGGAGCAATGAAAAGAGAATCCCAAATTTAAAAATACCAACCTTCCTTCATGTTAGCAAAGCGCTCCTTCAGCTGGTGATCTACCTCTGGACCAAAGGCAAAGTTATTCACAAAAATAATACTGCAAGACAGACGGAGAAAGAAATATTTTAGATCTACAGTTGAAGTAAATACAACATTTAGGCAAAGTTTTGTAGACACATTAAAGAATTGCTCGCTGTCCTTCCATGTCAAAGCCCTGCTAAGTCATTTGTAAGTGAACACATTTCCTAACAGTAGCTTTTATTACAGTTTGTATTACAATGAACAATGGTTTCTATGACCCGAGTGCCTCGTGTATAAACCCGTAATGCTCCTATTGGGAAATGGGATGGAAATTGCTTCTTTCAGACAGCTACGGGGATCCGGCTTGGCTTAACACCTTGTGTTGGCGATCCTGTCCTTCCATTCTTCAGACAGAAAGTCACCTCTCTCCAGCTGAAAGAAAGCGAAGCAGATCAAGGGTACAAATCCTGAATAACCGTGGACCTGCAGAACAATCCTTAAAAGTAGTTTGAAGCTCGCATTACTCACTGTGTACTCCCCGTGTCTCTTCCCGTACCATTTCATCCACTTTTTAAACTCTTTATCCATGCTCTGAGAGAGAGAAGGTGAATATTAAAACACAAACAAATTGCTGCAGTGGTGTGTTGCTACACGGCAGTGACGAGTCGATGAAATGTGAGCCGGGAAATCCACTTTGGAGACCGACTGGACACACGAACGCCACACAGCGGGAAAAACTTCTCCTCGGTGTGTTTGCCAGCGGTGATTTGCACTGCGTGATTTCACTACAAAGACTGAGGGAGCAGGGGTTTTTTTTTGTGGTCTCGCGTTTTCTCTCTTTGGTCCTGCGGGATATTTAGGTGGTTACCTCTGCATAGGTAGCTGGAATGTCTGCTTTCTCTACACCGTAGTAGTGTTTACAGTTGGTTGCCGCAGCAACCTGCAGCACTACCTGCCCAACTCCTGTAAACGAGAAGATAAGAGGTTCATGTCCTACAACAAACAGGCCGAGTGACTTTTCATAAAGCACTCGTTGCAGACAAAATTCACAAAGTGCTTAACAAGAGAGGAGACAATACAACACACAGTGGCCATACAAGAGCCAATGGAACAACATGAAAGAACAAAACCATAATAAGTCTAAAGACAGGCTTACAGCATTGATTTACGGAAATCACCAGCGTGAACAGGTATTTTTTTGAGCTGGTTTTTAAACTAAATCACAGACTCAGCGAACCGGACGGGGGCAGGCGGAGCGTTCCAGAACTTTTTCGGCAGTCTCTCAAAAGGGCCGTATCCACCGGTGTTAAGGCGAGAGCGTCCCCAGGCTGGCCCTTTAGCCGCCTTCTTTATGAAAAGTTCATTGACCGTTTGTGTTTAAGTGAGGAAACCGGTTCAGTGATGAGCGAGAACGCTGAAGACGCCAGCCACTAAACGGGCGGCCGCTTTAGCACAAAGTCTCACAATTCAGGTGCATTAGAGGAGCTTCTTTTTGCTACTGACAGCTTGGCTTTACAAGCAGCCCGCAGATCGGGCGCCGCCTGCGGCCTTCTCGCTAAATATATCAACCACTTCCATAAACGTGTCACAGAAACAGGTGCAATAAAAGAATAAAAAACACTGGCATCCTGATTTACACCTCCAACTCATATCCTCAAGAATAAATAAAAAACAACAACATTGGTTTATAGAAAAAAAACATCAATCTATGATCAATATATCTGGAGGGTCTGGGGATACACAATGTCCCAAAGTAGCAGCGGACTAACCACTGCCGAGGTCTACAAAGGTGTCGTCGTCCATCATTTCCATCTCGTCAATGATCTGAGCCACGAGGTCGAAGGAGGTCTCTCCGTACACCTCGGGGGAGAAGGGCTCGTAGTTGTTCAGCTTCTCCGGGTCGGTGACCGAGTGGTTGTACACCTGCTGCAGGATGTGTCTCAGCAGCCCGTTGGAAGGACGCTTGTTGAGCTTCATGGGCTGCGTGGTCCCTTTCCACTATAGGGTGGGATTATACATTTATTCACACAAAAACATGAACGCTTTGCCCCCACCAGTGTGATGATATTATCCAGTGGTGCTTGCCTTTCAAAAGAAAAGGACAAAACAACACAATAATTATGTTGTTGGATCACGTTCTTTGAAATATAAAATAATAATCTAATAACTTCTGAATAAACCCCATTAATAATCCTAACAACACAAATAAATGAGCAAAAACCCGTATGAAGCATCTTGGTCAACAATAACTAGATTATTATTAATAAATCAATGACTGTAGATATATTTAACATTTTGTAAGCATATGGACATGCGTGGCGGTGATTTAGGGAGTCTCACAGGGAGCCGATACAGTGTTGCTCACTTTTACTAATGTGTGTTTTACTAGTGTTTCTCAATTCTCCTCCTCCACACACACACACACACACACACACAACCACACACCAGCTGGTGAATGCTGTCGATGGCCCTGTTGTACTTGTCACAAAGTCTCTGCATACTCTCGAAGCTGTGAGAACACACAAAATGAATCATTTAGTTCCAGCACAACACCGATTTTACTTGACAACTTTCCAAGTTCAGAAAACCAAGACTTAGCTAAAAGAAAGACTGTGCTCACCTCTTGGTGTCGTAGTCAATGAGTACGTAGTTTTCCATGGCCAGTTTGAGGTCGGGGATCTCCTCACACACCCACCTGCAGGAAGCACACACGGAGAGTCGTCACTCGGCCGTCACAGTCACTTACAGTCAGCTGTGGGAGGCGGAACACGTGTCACTTACCGGATGGTCTCGATGATTTCATGAGCAGCGTCATGGTGTTTATCCTGAAATCAGAGGGGGGAGAAAAACAATTATTCGAAATGTGATTCAACTGCACCACAAACCAAAACAACCAGAATTACCATAAAGTTGAATCATCTCAAAAAGGGTCAACAAAAACAGAACGTTACAGCCCTCATGAGCGGAGCGTTCAAAGGACGTCGTTGATACCCTGCGTTGGTTTGAGCTCAGAGCACCTCATTAAACGCAGTGTAGAAATCCCCAACAGTCTTAAAATAGAGCATTCAAAATCACATCTGAGATTTAGGTTAATCCAATTTTTAAAAAAGGCACTTGAGTCTAGAACAAAGCTTCATAAAAACAAGATCCCATGTGGGGAGTCTGTAGTTAGCCATCTTAGCGGGGTGGGGGGGTGCTCAGCTGCCCTGTGGGGGTAATCGCTCTCCAGTTACGCGCAGAGGGCGGCCAGCCGGAGCCTGTTGCCTCAGCTGACCCACTGACCCACTTTCTCTCTGCGGCTGCAGCGCGCTGCCAGGAAGAGCCTCCGGCGGAGGGAAGGAAAAAAAGAGGGGAACGTGAGAGAGGAGGAGAAATCAGAGGGTAATAGGAAAGAAAGTGAAAGTCAGACGAGCGTGAAAGTGGAGAAAGCGAGGCGGGGTGGCGGGGTAAGCCTGGTATTTGCCGGCTGTTTGAGGCCTGGCACAGCAACCTGCAGCTTACAGCCCGCAGCTTCTGGCTTCCCGCTCAATACTACACCAACTTCCGCCTCGGAGCCCAAACAAGCACGTGCACACACTCGAATGTGCACGGCAACCCAGGAAATCTGAGGCTATTTCTGTCTCAGCAGAAGCCTTTTCGGCTACGTCGACCTCGGCGAGCGGGCGGCTGGCTGCGCTGCCGGTAACACAGCAGAACGAGCAAATCGCCCTCGGCTGATTTGACGCACCGTTTCTGTGAATGTGGAAGGTGTGCGAGTGTATCAAAGAGGCTGTGTGAGCGCTGCGGGTCACCTGCTCACACAAAGACAGCACACAGCAACACCAGCACAGGGCAGCTGCTAAAAATAAACACCGCCTGAGAGAGACAAAAAAAAAAAAAAAGGAAAAAGGATGCCGGAGACCCTCCTCTCTTTTTTGCTCTCTCTCTCTCTCTCCCTAGCTGTGTTTATACCGACACATACGACTCCCCCTTTCTATACCTCCTCTCCAGTCAGTCTGTCCTTACGTCTACGAGTCCCTTGGTGCGCGTACGAGTTCTGCGCCGCTCCACTATCTGCACATCAGCCGACGACGAGAATGAATGACCGAGATGGGCGTGCCGCTCACACCCTGTTACTCCTCCTCCTCCTCCTCCCGGAGGAGTAGTAACATGGGCAATAACAACGATTACCCACGTTAGCTTTCTGTCTATTCAACTGTGAGGATGTGTGGATAAACAGTGTACACCAGCGGAGGTCCACCAGCGGAGGTCCACCAGCACAACGCTGTCAAGAAAAGCCGTCTCGACAAGTAATTGAAAGTGACTTTACAGCCTTGTAAATTATAGTGAAGTTCACAGGTGAGAACCAAAGACTTCCAGCTTCCCTGAGAAGAAGTCGGCCATTGAAGCGCGTTCTGGGGGCCGGTTGGTGCCTCCACTCACAGCCAGATGGACAAAGTGCTGCTCATATGGAAGCATTTACAGATGCACAGATGTGGGGATTTAGAGAAATATGGGGGGAGAGACAGAGGGAATGCACGTATTTTAATGGGCTTCAATCTGGGGGTTAGATGTATCACAACACACACACACACACACACACACACACACACACACACACACACACAGCACTGTCTTCATGCTTTGTGGGTGAGATCAGCGATCTCAATGCTCAGTGGGAGTCAGTAATGAATCTATTCTCAGGAGGCTCTGGTATTACCAGCAAATGGTTTAAACGCGACTTGGGACAAACAAACAAAAAAAAACACACATACCGGCGTGTGTGTTTGCATTCTATTAATAAAGCACTGGTGAGGAGTAGCAGCCCCCGCTGGCCTCCTCCCTGCAGAGTTGACCATATGGACATGAAAAGGAGGAGGAAGTATTTCCCCTTTGAAAACAGGATGAGTGCACCGCCACACCAACTAGCTCCATACTGCAGGACTATCGGCCGGGTACAAGCAGGTACGTGCTGGTCGCCAGCACACAACCTACTGGTTCACATGCCTCGCCGCTGTGTTTCATGCTCGTCCGTGATATCAGATCGAGGCGCGGTGCAACTTTGTCAGCCAAAGCAGAGAGGAGCGGCCGATTGCCTCATCACGTGACTGGACTCGGGGACTTGGAACCCGCAATACGACGAACAACAAAAACACGGCGATAGCAGGAACTGAAATAACACGACTGTCAGGTTAGACGCCCCGTGGGCGGAGAAGGGATGAACCGAAAGGTTATTCTGAGAAATGCAGCACCGGCTGTCTCACCGCAAGTAGTATAAAGACAGAAACAAAACTTGCAGTTAACACAACTGAAAAAGACCACAGAACTTGAAAAGGAGGGTTTTTTTCTTCTTCTGTTTCTTCCCTTTTCCGTTTGACTTGAATGAGTCAACTGCACGCTGAAGGTGACGTGCAGACGGCATTCTGCGTGGAAATGCAACCACACCACGTGTGAGAGAGAGAATAGAGAAGCCCCAGACTGCTACTGCCCCGAGGACCGATCCGGCACTCCGAAGCAATGTGAACGAGTCAAACACACACATACAACCGGCTGGAATAAACGCCATTAACGTTAGGTTGTATCACACAGACGTTAGCGCGTCTTTTAAGTGAAAACGTGACACTGTGAACAAAAAAACTAAAGCTGCGGTGAGACTGACATCGTGCAGGATGAGACGATTGGTCAGTTTAAGTCGCTCCACTTTGAAAACATCGCCTTACTGTTCTCGGCTGTACTTGTCACTGTAGTAACGTTAACCGTCTGCTCCGCTCGCGTGAACTCGCGTTGGCAGAAGTGACGGGAAAACGAGCGAGCTGAATGAATGTCATCGAAGGTGGTTCGACAACGCCATGTCCGAACACCATCCCGACCCAGTACGAACCGATCACCCGGACGAGCGTGCCGCGGCTCCTCCGGCTAGCGAGCGTTAGCACGGGGGCTAACGTTAGCTAACAAAAGACGCAAAACGGGGACAAAATGTACAGCCGTGACCGGTGAATTCTGAGGTGTTAACACTTACGTATACTGGTAACGGCCACGGGTAGCCAGCGGGTTCTGCTCCGACCGGCGATTTAAGCTTCAGCTCCAGCTTTTCGCCCATTCTACTCTTGACGGCGGCTCGGCTGTGGAAGCTAGCTGGTGACTGCTCTGTGTTAGCCAGCTGGTCGGTTAGCGAGCGAGCTACAACGTGAACATTTTCTTCTTTTTTTTTGTAAGGAAGAAATACGTGGAAACGCGCGAAATAAAAAAAAATAACAAAAAGACGAAAGCGCGGGAAACACTCGCACGACACGTCCGCGTGAATAAATGTGTCGGACTAGGTTTAGTATTTAGAATGAAATGCCTGGTTATGTCCACTGGCAATAACACATCGCCCGAGTCGCCGCCATCTTGCCCGGCATGAATAAACATGGCAGGGGGCCACCGGCAGCGGAGGAGACTCTGACGTCACCGAGGGACCGCGATCAGGTCACGTCACAACTTTTTCCAGCTCAACGCGAAATCACTACGGAGATTTAGCACAGTAAAACGTTATAATTACCAATTCTGATTTCAGCTTATTTTACTAATCAAAGTAAATATTAGATTGTTACTAATTGAAGGATATTAAGATTGCACATCACGAGACAAGCTGCATTTTCAGTCACGTAATTTGGGAATTTGCACATACGTTATGTTATATGTTCTAAATTGTACAATATACATGTTTTACATTAACAGTTTTTGCGTGGCTAAAGGCCCCATGCAGTGGATGGCAACCATGCATAATGAGAACATTAATGTACTTTTCTGCACTCTAAACATTTGATTATTCACGATCAATAACTTTAAGGAAAATATTCAAATAGAAAAAAAAAAAAAACGTTGAGTCATAAATACAGCAGGGCTACTGAACTCAAATCGAAGCACTTTTTTCAAACAAAAAATGCATTGATCTTATGCGTGTAAATCACATTACATTATTACAGGTCATTTAGCTGACGCTTTTATCCAAAGCGACTTACGTTGCTATTTAACCCATGGCTTTTACATGTTTGCCCGGGTAGCGATTAGGGATTAAGTGTCTTGCTCAGGGACACTTTGACGTGGGACATGGTGCAGCCGGGGCTCGAACCGCCCGACCTTGCAGTTCCCGGTGCAGCCTCTCTTCCCATGCGCCACCATCTGTCTGTTTAAATTAAATTGAAAAGCATTTCATTGTGTTGCTGAAAAAACTGGAGACTGAAATATAAAACTGGAAAAGCTGGAAGCCCAACGACTCTGTGAGAGAATCTGGAAAGTAATTTGAAATAGTGCCAAGTCTAAAAATGTCCAACTGGCAGCCATAAAATGCTGGAAGACAAATTATATTAGACAGCTTTACTGCATTGCTGAACACCATTGGACAGCATTGCACTGGAAAATACAAAATTCATTGACAATGAGGCATATACATATAAATTAATTGTTTAATGAGGGAAACAAAGTGACATAGAACATAAACTGATCCTGAAGTAGCCAAACAAAAAGGGAAGATATGAGAAAAAGAAAAGTTAACGATGGGACTTCTGTTGAATCGGCACCTAGAAGACCTTCCTAGAAGAGGAACCTCGTATGAAACACAGTAACTGACCTTTGATATGTACAAATAACCGGAGTGGATGAAACACGGATGTTTATTAGCTCACAAGTGAGTTTCGGTTGTAAATCAGCAGACCTGGTTATTGCTTTTTATGCGTTTTGTTTCCCACGCTCACTTCATGCGTTTTTAAATCATCGCACAATGAGCACAATAATCCAAAATGTTAGACAGCAGGGTTACAAAAATCAATGAACTCCTACAGAGCGCTGCAGTGTACACACACACACACACACACACACAGTATCAGTAGTGCAAGAAGTACTCAGATTCTTTACTTTAATGTACAAACACAACTTATTACAGGTAAAGGAAAAGCCTACCCGAGTAGCTTTGCAGTCAGGTTCATGTAGTTACCTGATTGCAGCAGCTAAAGTACAGATGTAGTTTAATCCAGTGGTTCCCAATATAGGGGTCGGGCCCCTTAAAGGGGTCACCACGATAAATGGGAGGAAAGTGTTAGTTTATTTTTTTTGTATTAAATGATTTTCTCAGTGTTCTTCAAATTAAATCACGTGACGAGTTTAAAAGAGAAACGTCTCTTCGGTTGAACATCTAAACACTCGAACCGGATGCTGCTTTCACACGAAGGGGCTCGATCAAAAAACGTGTAAAGTAACTGGTAGCTAACACTGTCAGATGAATACAGAGTACTTGCAAAGTGTCAGATCTGTTCTATACTCTAATGAACTTCCACCATCGTGTGTTAGTGTGCACCTCATTACGTTTGCACTGCTTCAGTTGGTTTGTCGCAGTGACCATATATAGTCCGCTGGTTCTCATATGTGCCCGTGACAGGTTGCCGAGCCGCCCACAGATCAGATGCCAGGAGTCGGGCGCGCTTCTCTCCCTCTCTGCACTTCAACCTTCACGTTGCGATTCCACTTTGAGCCTTTCCTCGTCTTTGGACAAAGAAAAATTAACCATTTTCCACTTGAATCCATTATAAAAAAAACGACCCTTGCATAAATTACCTTTATTTCAAACCTGCGGCCTCTATTTCCCCATCGCAGCACTGACCCGCTCCATTAGCAGACTCTAAACAGACCTGGACCCCCCACCTCCCTCTGCATTCTAGTGCAGAAATCCCCACCAAACTAAATCCAGTCCGACCAGTTGGAGGGGAGGAGGACTCTAGGCCTCTCTGCGATTGGTGAGTAAACATGTACATGCTGCTGTATGATGAGGGGAGGGGAGACATGGCGGGCTGCCACGGTGAACTCTCTGACCCCCCCCCCGCACCACCACCAGCACCCCGCACAGCGCCGCTGAGGCCCACTTCAGGATTAGAGGCTCAGTCACAGCTCAGACCGGCCAAGTGGAACACTTTCGCTGTGTAGATGTCAGGGAGCTTTCACAGTGGGTCGGATTACAGAGAACCCCCCCCCAAAAAGACTGTCACATTGCTGAAGCATGCCAGAGCCTTCTTTTGGGGCGGGTGGGGAGGAGGTCCAGATATCTGCGGCTGTACGCAAGGGTTATAAGAAGAGGATGCGGTAACCTCGGCCATCGTGGTCGTCACATGACTGGATAACTGGGGAGGGGAGGGGGGCACCGACGCTACACAGCACGTTACCCCTCAGCAGAAACACCCCCCTGCAGGGGGGGGGGGGGGCGGGCGGATCCAATCGGCGTTAGTGGACGTGTGGAACAGAAACGAGGCGGCTTTGGATACAAACCGTGGGAAACTGCTGCCATCTGCAGGGCGACAGACGATCGTTGATGGGATGGAATATAAAGACTCCGCTGATGTCTCAGTGCTTCAGAGACAAAACGTTCTTAAAAGACAAAAACATGAAGCTTTTAAATTGCCAGAATGGAAAAAAAAAAAAAAAAAAACTACGATGCACTCGTGGCATCACTACATCTTTCATTGTCCAACATTGCAGGTTGAAGCTGTCCAGATATTTAAGTTAAACAAATTCCGGACAACTACATTAAGGAAAACTATGGAATTTAGTTTTTTAGCAAATACACAAGTTTAGGACAGAGGTGATTTAAGAGCCACTGGCTCGTTTTAAAAATATTATTTGTAAATGATAAAATCTCAGTCTTCTATGCTAAAGATACTTAAAACTTTCAGTATCCGACAGCAACAACTGCCTCAGAATTTCCACAAGTAAGGATTTCAAAGAATTTTATTGAAACAAAGATCAATTTCAGTCCCAGTCCCTCATGGTTTTCAAAAAGCGTGCTTTGGATTTTAGCGCCGACATTTCATGACTCTTCCCCAAAGCCCTCTTTGCTTATACAGCAGCATGTTTATACTCAAGAGAAAAGAAAAGGAAAATAAAAACCTATACAACAGGTCATTTTGGCACAATCAACTCGTACAACGGTACTCCTGTGCTGGCATATGGTTACTTCTCAAACCGCTTGCTCTCTCCGCCGGAGCGAAGACGCGTTCACTGATGAGCACATTCACAGAGGAAGTGTGACCGTAATACAAGCGTCATACAGGAATTACGTCAGAATGTTTCTAGAAAACAATACAGTGAGTGAAAAGAGTCTTTCTTGTTCAAAAAGGTGGCAGTACTGGGCGATGCCGATTCTGGTACCGAGATATTGACCTTTACAAACTTAGTGGGACAGGGAGGGAGGGGGGGCGGGGGGGGGCGGCTCAGTGTAGTGTTTGCATTAGGAGAGACGTGTACCATCTGGGCCGTAACGTTGGAAACACTCGAGTCCAGTCATGCAAGTCCCAGAAAGGAGCCTTCTCCGACTTCTCGGGAGAGAACACTGGTTTCCACCGGGTGGAGAACGGAGACGGGTGAAATGATACCAGGAGGAAGAGGAGACTTCGCTGACGTGTTCCGCTGTCATTTGGTAGAGCGCTCGGTTTCGTCCCACTCGGTAAACACTTTGGTATACATGCTGGTCAGAGCCACGCCGAATGGATTACGTACTAAATTCAGTTGGACTTCGCTTGGCTTTCCATATTCTTGGGCAGTTTTTTTTTTTTTTCCTTCAAGTAAAGATACAAAGACTTATTGTAACACATTCATAAAGCATGCACTCTGATGGACAAAGAGGAAAGAAAGTGTCATTTGGACAACCCACCCCCCTCCCTCCCCAGGTAACAGCGAGATCAGGAGAAAAAGTGCTGATTTTTCCATATTCACATACGAAGATGGTTATTGGAGAAACCCGCCTCGACGCGGAGAGCCAGTCCGGGGAATCTCAGGTCAACCTCGGTGAACGTCTGACATCACTTTTGAAAAAGGCAAAAACTGGTCGCAGGCGAACGCCGCCGTCCTCCTCCGAGAGGCTTCGGCCCGGAAAGGTGATCAACGATGGCTTCGTCTTAACAGTCGTCTGGATGAGCAGACCGAACTAAACATAAATTGGTTTGTTTGTAAAGAAAAACTGAAATGTCCATTTAAAGGATGAGAAAAAAAAAAAAATCTGCATCCCTCGTCTGGATAATCTTACAATTAGAGGATTTTCTCAAGCATGTAGAAGAGGTGCGCTGGCACTTTACTCTTCCGATCACTTTGAATTCATCTATTGCTACACAAGCCATCAGGACCCGAACTGGAAAGACCACCAATTATGAGCTAAAGGGAGTTCTCCACTGATACATGATGAGGAACGTTAGGACCGACTGCTGTAACGGATGAAGAAGCACTGCGGCTCGAGTGACGAGGGCCGAGCTGTAAGGAAATCTGCACAGGTTTGGTTGGTTCCCAGAAAAGAAAAAAGCCGAGCACACAAACCTGCGTCCGACTGTGTGCATTCAAACGCATCGTCTTGATTTAATCAATAGTAAATATCCGCTTCTCTTTAAAAGAGAGAAATAATGATCAACGCCAACGGATCGACAATGAAACGGGCAAGGCAGCTTCTGAATGAAAATACTGGCTGACATTCAACGTGAGAGAAGAGAAAAGAGGAGACACAGCTTTCAGGTACTGATACTGAGGAGTGTAAAACAGACTCATCCCCGCAAATTAAGTGTCAAAAATAAATTAAAAAAAAAAAAGCGGAGAAATAACTTCAGTAGGAGGGGAAAAGCCGATGATGAAGGAGCTGCATTTGGCGTGCAATCCGAAGGTTACTTCTCAGTCTCAAACATCTAGTTCCAAAAGCAGGAAAAGAAAGAAAAGGCTCAAGAAAGTGGGAAAGTTTCCAAGTTTTGACTCGTTCGGACCTCTGAGCACTACAAAGCAGTTGAGAAAAAAAATAAAAATAAAGCCACGCAGAAGCTTTTTCTTTTTTTTCTTTTCTGGATGTATTTGGGACTACAGACAGACCTGGCTCCTCTAGGCACAACCCCATCTTCCAAAAAGAAACAACAAAAAAGGAAAGGAAAGAATTTAATATCGTGTGTACTGCTTGAGTCTTCATCAGAGCCTTTGGCTCCGCTGAGGGGGAACACTCCTTTCATGTCAACACTTTATCAGCACAGGCAGAAGAGTTTCTCTTTATCTGGTCGGTTTGCAGAGACAACAGGGAAACGTTGTCTAGAAACTACTTTTAAAGTTGCTGTTGATCGTACTCGGCAATGAGTCTCTTTATGTACGCCAGTTTGTTGTGTAGATATTCACAGCGGTTCTTCTCTTGGCTATAGTTTGGATTAGTCTGCAAGGGATTTGAAAAACAAGTCAGGATCTGGTCACGTTCTCGCGTTTCTTTAAGTGTCTGCAAGAGCGGAGCTTGAACTTACCTTTTTTATTTTATGATACTCTTGAAGTATCTGATTGTGGATTGTCTACGCAAAGAACACACAAAGATCAGAAAGGTAAGGGGAGTGAATACAACCGATGGGATCACTTCACGCGTTTTTCAATCAGCTGGTGCTTTGGGGACTTTACCTTGTACTTGTCTGTGCCTTGATGGAGCTGTTTCAGCTCGTTGTCGAGCACAGTGAACTGCCGGGTGATGCCGTCTATCCGGGCGTGCAGACCCCGGTACTCACTGTACTCGGCGTTGAAATCGTTTTTATACCTTTGCCGCTGCTCCGGAGAGGCGATCACCGTGTACTTCCTGGGAAGGCGACGGGGGGGGGTGGGGGAAGTGTTACTCGTGGGGGAAAAGTCACATCGAAGTTCTCAAAGTGAGAGGAAGCATGGCTTAAAAGTTACCACGGGAACACGTAAACACAACAGACAACATCGAGGTCGTATCCATAAATCGTACGATAAGCCTCCATCTGGGGGTATAAAATGTCAAACAGAGCCTGCAGGAAATACTCACAATAAATAGCCCGCCACCTCTGGTGACGACGTAGGAATACTGGAACTGTTGCACAGCCCGTTCAGATCTGAAATGAAGTCACACAGTTGGATTGACAAGCGTGTGTGTGTGTGTGTGTTACTGAAGAACACACACTGAACAGCAGGGGGCTCCGTTTAATCACCGAGGCTCATCCCTCCCACAGCAATGACTAACTGGTGTCCATCGGATGCAAGAGCCGTGAAACGGACTTTAGCAAATAGGACATTTTGTTCAGAAAGATGCCGTCTCTGATCTGTGTGTGTGTGTGTGTGTCTCACCTGTGCTTTTGTATGGAATACTGTTGCTTTTGAGGCTGGCTGGACTCAGCGCACAGGCTTGGTTGGGCTCAGGCACACGATCCCCACGACTCTTCCTCTCCTTCTCTTGGGCCTTTTCTTTCGCCTTGTCCTTGCTCTTCTCCTTGTCTTTATGCTTTTTGGACTTCTTCCTGGACTTGCTGTGCAAAGACGACGGACTCTTGTCTCTCTTGGGAACAAGCGTGCCCATATGCGCGGGGAACGACGCGGCGACGGCGACGGCGGGCGCCGTGAGCAGCGACGGCTGCTGGCCGAGCCTCTCGGACGCCGCCGTTTCCTGAGAGTCGCAGTCCCGCCCGTTGTGGCTGGAGTCGTTGCTGACGTCCGACAGGGCTTCGAAGGGACGGGGGATGTCGAGCAGCGGGAGCGGCTGCGAGCTGGACGTCACGGCGGCGTCCGACATGAACCGCCACGCCCGCCGGAGCGCTGCCCCCCTCCACTCGCCCGTTGCTGAGCTTCCCTTGACCGGGGCTGTTGCAGCTTGCTGGCGAGATGAGATATCCTCGGCTTTTTGTTGGCGAGAGGGTCGATGAAGTCGGCAGCAGGTCGTTTCTGGCAGAAAAAAGAAACAAATTGAGCAATTTTATTAACAAAACTCAAAATGGGGTTCAATATTAATTCAATAAATATTAGAGTGAGTGAGAACATAGATGGAGGCGTGGAAGAGGAGGTAGTGAGAAGCAAGAGCAGCAGAGGACCATCATCCTCAGTCGCACTGAGAATAGAACTGCTTTCTTTTCACAATAAATGGATTAAATGACAGACCCGTTTGACTCAGCACACACTTAAGTTACTGGGAGTGGCTCGCCCGGTCGCCGTGTGCCAACAGGACACATTTGGGTTCTGTGGCACCGAGAAGCTGCTGAGGATCTCCTTTAGGGCCCGCAAAGGTTTTAAAAACTTTTTTTTTTTACAGCACGGTTGGTCCTCTTCTTACACAAAAAGTAGCAGCAACTGTGTGGGGTTTTAGACTGCAGCGGGAAGATGGAGGGCGTCGTAGGTCGGTATCTTCAGGAGGCACGACGTATGTGATCGTGGAGAGCATGAGAGAGACGACAGAGTGGGCTGAGATCCACTTCAGATAATGGCTGGAATGAAGGCCGGGCCGTTTATTGTTACTATATCGATGGCGTAATACGAGACAAGATATCGTCTTACATTCTGCTCTTAAAAGGCCACATTACAGTTGTGCAATGTGCTGAACTGCTGAGGCTCTTCGCTTTTTGGTCATATCTACATAAGTAATTTTCCAAAATATCATGAGAAAAGCTTCAATAGTTACTCCTCCGATGCCGTTGCAATATGCGTGATGTATGACTGGTTGATATGGCGATAGATTACAATTTTGTTGGAATCTGTTTCTTTCTATAAATCAGTGATCAAGAGAACTTGCAGGAATGGAAGTTATTTCCGTAATCGGTCTTTTGTGTCACCCCGATTTCCCCCTCACCTCTCTGAGGTTTACACACAGCTTTTTATGAATCTAAAAAAAGCACCCGAGGAACCGTCTGCTTGCGTGTTTGTGTTTACTGAGGGAGGGGACAGGAAGAGCCATGCAGGAGGTGTTTGAGCTGAGAAGACCCGGAGCGGAAAGAGCTATTAATATGAACAGAGAGGCTCCTCCTGCGTCTACCTAATGGAAGTGTAAACAACGGTTAGACGGGAGTCTGATTTGGTTGTTGGTTTGGAAGCTGGTGGAGCTCACCTGAGACGGCGAGCTGCCGGCCAGCTCTTTGGGGGGGCTCTCCAGCAGAGGGGCGGTGCTGTTCAGTTTCCTAAAAGAGGGAACACATGCATGTAAGAACTCAGAAGAAAAAAACGCTTAAGATCAAGAAAACTACTTTGTCTATGCAGCTACCAGTCGAGGTGAAACATCATTTCCATCTGCAGCCTCGTCAGAGGCTTTAACTTGATCCGCTTTCTGGTACATCAAAGGGTTGAAGCCTTCATGAAAATACTTGAGCGAAAGTAAAAACTGCGTAGCTGCCATTCATCCAGTGACAAGTATGAGAAGATGTGAAGTCGCTTTGTGAGGCTGAGTGGGTAGCTATGACAACAAGAGCTAACGAGGGCCTACTTGACAAAGCGGCACTTTACCGTAACCACTCACTTCATGTCGAAAAAAAACCGGACAGGGAATAACTTTTCTTTCACCCTATTACAAAACCGGTCCAAGGGTTTAAGACCAGTTTAAATAGCCCAATTCTGCATTCTTCTCTTTTTCACAGAGCAACACGTGTTAGCTCACTGCATGTTTATTTCATCCTTGACCAATTTTGGCAGCCAGTTTAAGGCGAGTGAGAAAGTGACATGGCACTCTTCATTGACAAAGAGAAAGTGCGAGAGGCAGAATATGGTGCTGCAGCTCGCTTTGCATGGGTGTTGAGGCTTGAGTAGCTCTGCAACGTTCACACCGGTTCATTCATTTATCATTTTTAGCGAGTGTCGAAACAAAAACAGCCGTGGCAAATAGCGGCTATCCAGCCGCGACGAATCGTGTTCAACCAACAGACTCGAACACACGGTAAGGAATTCATTATTAAGTGTCAGTAGGCAGCCTGGTTCACTGATGGGAAATAAATATAAATAAAGTCAGAAGGGGGCGGTTGGGTTGTTGAGAACGTGTGTGTGTGTGGGGGGCTGGGGTGGGGAAGGGAGGAGGCAGGGACTACGAGCGAGAGCGCCGGCTGACCGATATGGCTGAACCTTGGACGGGTGCCACCTCACACACGGATCAGCGTGTGCTGGAACACTGTTGCATCATGTGCGTGCGTTCCCATCGTGTTGCTGTGCTTCTCCTCTGTGACTTACAATATTAGCTCTAAACCCCTCTGCGGGGGCCGGCGGGGGACACGATCTGTAGTCCAAGTACATCGCAATGCAATAAAGCCATAATCTACTGGGAACTTTGAGAAACTTCTAATGGCCACGTGCCCAGAAAAGTTGGATTTTGTGTGTGTACACTATGGAATTATGGGGCGTTTCAGGTCTTTTTATATGTAGGAGTGTAAAATAAACCTTGCAAGAGTCCAATACAACACCGACATACAGCTAGAACAGCCACGGGCTTAACAAAAGTTCAGGTCAGCCCGGATTCTTGGTCACTCAAGGGTCAGCTGCCTCTAAAAGTGTAACCCAGGTAAAGCTAAGCAGATCATGGACAACAGGAGCTATTCTTGAGTCCATTACATAAACTCAAATTGAGCACCGGGGGATTGCTTCCTGGTCTATTTATAGACAGCTGGGAGCTCGCTTTTCCTTAGTGTCCCAGATCCCGAGAAAACAACGTTTTTCCACTGGGGAGAAGGCCAGCAGCTCCTGCCGTCAACAAAGGCTGAATTCAGCGGAGCGCACACGGAAAACCTCCCGGGGACGCAGACACACATGTGCCATTCCAACAAATGTAAGGAGGTGGGTTTTACACATCCAGATTCATTTCAAGTGCACACAATGAAATCCATCACAGATTCATAAATCCTCATCGCCGCCAAAAAACCCTTATCTCTAATTGATGTTACAAGACATTTAAAATGGGGCCTGATTTTGACCATATACTTGCCACTGCTCCACAGAAGGACGTTTCTCTACAAAGCTTGGCAGCTGTACAACTCTTAAAATACCAGAGTCGCAGATTTATCGACACACAGATAAACACAAAAAACACTTGCTAATATACATTATAGGTGCAATGCTCATAGGATGAGGGGCCGCTGGCTAAATGGATGCTCCGTCGCATTGCAAAATGACCTGGCGGATAATTCATCATTGGTAGCTTTGAGGCAAAGGGAGAGCGACACACGTTTGACATACTTGAACATGATTCTCTTGAGAAGCTGCTGGTCTTTTTCCGTGTAGCCGGGCCAGTCGTTCTGAATCTCCTTATACAAAATGTCCTTCAATGTGAAGGTGTCGTCTTTCCCGTTCAGGTTCGCCACCTAGGAAAGGAGAAGGAAGCACGGCTAAGTCTCCTCGCCTTCGTAGCAGCTGAGAGGCAACAAAAGGCACTAAGAGTGTGAGTGTTTTTGTGCGTGTCTTATAGAGACCTGTTGCAGGTAGCTATCCAGGGAGTCCTTGTCTAACGGCAAGAGGCCATCTTTCTGCAATCTCACGATGAGCTCGGCCTTCTTGTAAGGCTTGAGGGCCAGCAGGTGCGTGAGGCGCTCTCGGAGCGGCCTGTGCTGCGGCGTGCCCTTCTTTATCGTGCTGCTGGAGATGATGACGGGCCGAGACGTCCTCCGCAACGGGGCGACGTCCGACAGGCCAGGTGCCGGTTTCCGGATCTGAACCTTCTTACCTGAGGTGCAGATGTAGGGGGAGGGGGGGGGGGGAGGGTTATCATCAGAACAGTTGGATAAGCAATAGTCAAGTTGTACTTTCTTTTAACACAGAATATTTCCATTTTGCAAAACTTACAATTCCTTTTATTGCACTTACTTGTTAAGATTCGCATTAAAGGAAATAAAGAATGCACTTCTCTCTAGCATCGGGGCTAATACAACAAAAAATGCTGGCAGCAAAAGGACTTCGGACTCTTGGCTGGCAGCCAATGCTGGCTTGAATTATCGGAGCAAGAATTATATTTATTTCTGTCAACAGCTTCCATCTCAGTGACCCGACTGTGGCTGAAGGAACTTGCAGACGCATCACGCACTGATCTGTACCACCACACCACCGCTTGCATCTCAAACATGGTGCTTTTTAATAAAAAGGAGGGAGGGACTGAAATGTGTGCTGCCACCTGATGAGAACATATTACCGGTTGGCTTTCCAGCACACATGAAAGCTCACAGCTTACATGGGATCTCTTCCTTTGCAATGAGGCTGCACTTTTGCCTGAGGTGCGTTTGTTAAGATCAGTGCGCGAGTGGCACGTTAGCCGTGCGCCTGTTGAAAAAGCAACGACCATCAAATGCAATGACGTCCTAGTTGCAGATGAGGCGTGCTGGTAGCGTGCTGGTAGCGTGCTGGTAGCGTGCTGGTAGCGTGCTGGTAGCGTGCTGGTAGCGTGCTGGCCCTTTGCCCTTCAGCCCCAAACAACCTGCCTGCTGCAACGTGAACCCATTCACCGGCAGGGAAAGGCTACAAAAAACACGAGGCCATTTGGCCGTTTTGCAGCCACTTCATGCCCTTTCACACCTACCGTGTGTTTCAATGGAAATTCCTTCTATTCCACAGACCCACAGCGGCCTTTACAGGCCCGCGCTTGAGCAAAGGCCTCCCGTGTTCGGTGGTCCGTGCCCACTCACCTAGGAATCTGCTCCCGGGCTTGATGACAATGGCACTCCGGCTGCGCGTCTCCTCCTCGACCTGGGCCATGTTTTCCCTGGCCTTCTGGTAGGACTCGTCCGTGGCACACACTGTAATCTTGTCCTGGATCCCACCCAAACAATCCAGCTGAATGCTCCCTTCACTGCCAAAACAAAGAGCAGAGGGTGAGAGAGGAAGACGGGATCCAGTGCCCAGAAGCTTCAAACAGAAAGACAATGGAAAACATTACAGTGGAATCGCTACTTGTTTCATAGAGGTTGGCGCAGTTATTTCAGATAGACAATAAACCAATGTCATGTCATAATTTAGGGTATGCTACTTTGAAACACCGAACATTTATCGACCACCACAAGTTGATTCTTACTATTTACAATAACCCGCTTCACTGTACATTCCCACCCAGATGAGATTCATGAAACATCCCGAGACGACAACTATTATTTTGTCAATTTCCATCCAACTGTGGGATCCCACAATACGACTCACTGCCGCATCGAATGCCATTCTTTCCCCACTTTGCGGCTCTTTGATTCCCCTCCACTTTGATGAGGATTTGGCAGATTAAGAGACGGTGCTGGCTCAGCCAGAGGAAGCTCAGCTCTGTCAGTTGGGCTTTGGATTGGACTTCAAGGTTGATCAGGATCCAGTCAGAGTTGTGGGTAACCTCCGCCTGACCCACTTGTTCAAAATACTTGAATGATGGGTCAGAAACCGGTGAGGCTTCTGGTTGTTTTCCTACTCCGTTTCTCTTCTTCCTTCCTCTTCACAGCAGACATCTGGTCCCGTTTGCTCGACTCGGTGAGTACATCTGGTTGCCTTTGGTAGGCCAGAGATGTGCTGATGCTTAGAAGGGGATGGACCCACACCATAAGGAGGAGGTGTGCCATCACACAAGGATGCATGCGCACATGTTTAATTTACAATGCAAATATATTTTTCTATTGTGGAAACGGTGCAGACTGTGCAAAGCCACGCTGTTTAATAAGCGTGTTTGACAGAGGTTCTTGTGAACTATCGCTGAGGAGGCCCGGTGACTCACCTCCGGTTAACGCCGTTAAACAAAACAGATCGCCTACCTGGAAACACTCATTTCGCGAATCCAAATGCTGCCTATTATTTACACGGAGCTCAAAGACGGCGTTCAAACAAATGGCCACGGGGCATAAAAGCTGACATTGCAGACACTGAAACGTGCAAGAGAAGAATCAGTTCAGCATCTGACGAAGGCGAGCCGAGTGGAATGGAGAGCGGGTCGGTGTTTTGCTTTCACCTTGTGATGTACTGCTGGATGCAGTCGAAGCTGCCCTGCGGGTTATCTCTGCCCACATTCGACAGGTAGAACGTAAACGACTGCAGTTCACTGGAATTTTCTGAGCGGGGTATTGAGATTTTCTGTTGAAGACAAAAAGAAAAAACATCAACGTCATGAAATCAATATGCCACCGTTCTTAATTATTTGGTGATGGAACAATATACGAATACATAGACTCAAGCTTCCAACCTGCTCCCAATAAATAAATAAAAACGTTAAACATTTTCTCCAATCTATTTCAGCTTTATATTATCATCATCACAGAGATACTTTTTGGACAAGCACCAAGAGAGGATGACTAACTGCACTCCACAACCCATTTGTAGACTTAAACACATTTTTCTTCTTAATAAATGCGGTAGTTCAATTTGCTTGCAAACCCGGCTCGGATTTGGCAAAGCTGGAGCGAGTCTCGGGCAGTCTGTCGCCAGCTTCAGAGACACAGGAAAACAAAACGCAGCTAAAGTCTGCTGCTTTGTATTCCTTCTCATTCCCGCTAGATTAATTAGATTAGAAAACTTGATCAATCCCCAGTGGGGAAACATTTGGACAATGGACACAGCCGACAGAGCACGACAGACAAGATGCACGTTACACGGAACAAACAAGACCAGAAGATTATATAAAAACATATAAAACATGATCGACGTCAGAAAGATGCTAAACCTAAAGGGTGTTCATTCAAAAACCTGCTGCCTCTGGAATAAAAGCCCTTCTGTTCAGTACAACACTCGGACCTCCTGAGTCACTCACTCAGTCTGCAGACATTGCTCAGTATTGCTAATCATGTTCCAGACGTGTAATTGGGGGAAGGGCAGGTAAAACCAAAGGAGGAGCTACGAAGGGCGTCTGTGGGTTTTGCGCGCTGATGCACGTTCTATTCCTCTCACACGTCAGGTGTTGCAAAGCCGGCTGCAGAAGTGGCATTAAACACCCGCAGTAGAGCTCTAATCATACAGCTGCTGGAAGTGACAACTAGGATGATGCTCTATATATATATATATATATATATATATATAGGTCAACATTATAATACAGTGAACAGAGGTGTGTCTGTAATCTTGCAGCACCTGATTTACACCTCATATTAGTTTAGAAGCACTCCGGCATTTGGACAAGTGAATTCATTTGGCTGTTCCTGAAGAGAAGCAGGTCAGGATTTTCCGAGGACGGCCCAACGTTTCATAAGCATTAATTAAAGCCGTGTCACAGCCCACTGATCCACGGTGAGAGAAGAAGCCACAATGAGATGCCTTCGGATCCCCGGAGCACCTCGCTGCCTCTGACCTAACCGAGATCAGAGGCTGGGCCTGCGGCTCGCTGGCCTCTTCTTCTTCAGTGCAGCTGGGACTGACGTGGGGTCAAATTGCAGGCAGCGCAGCTCTGTTTTCCGAATGTCCCGACACGTGTAAAGGCCGCAGGTGGCACCAACTATAAATAAATACAATGTCCTTTATTTGCCCTGCTAGGAAAACTGCTCTCAGTGGTCCCGACTGCTGCACTCCGGTAGAACACACGCAGCCTCTGCCGCAGTTTAACTCAAACCGACGTGATGACAATTACTGACGGTGTTTGACCGGACGCTACAGAATGCTGAGGACGACACATCTGTCAGGGCAGAAGATGGAGGTGGAGACCATTTTGGCAGCAGAAGTAGAATAATTGGCTTGTGGCCGTGTGCTTTCACCGACCGACGGGGCACAGTTTATCTCAAACGTCACCGCTTCATCATTTAATCCTGATGAGACATTTGTGCGACATTGTGTTTTGTGAACACCAAAATCCAAAATCAGTTCACAATGAGGCGGATGTTTGTGATGCATCACATGCAACCTGGAAAACACTGGGGCTCCTCCAGTGGCCGTAGAGTTGGACATCCAGCTAGAATGTACTGAATCTAACCGTGCTGCCATGCCGACAAGAGGAAGTCGTTCTCCACAGCCCGCTCGTGACACAATTACACACGGACCGGAGATTCTCTTAAAAGGACTCCAGGACCATAAAACCTTTTGCAACAAAGCTCATTGAGGGAGTTTCAGGAAGTGAGAGCCCGTTCACGCAGAAACTAAAGGATTTAGATGGAAGGCAAACTGCTTTAACCATCCAACACGGACCAACCACAAGCTACGGCGACGTGGCGGCTCGTTGGGAAACTTCCTTATATTACATGAACCGCGTAGCTCAATGCGGTCCTGAAAACATTTGAGGCAAAAAATAGACAGTGGCCGAAACTGTATTTCTATACATATATATCAAGTATGTGAATCCAGAGGACTGGGAGGCGGAGGAACTGACAGGGAGGTCTGGGGAGTGACTGAGTGACTCACGCGCTCGAGGAGGAAGGAGTGAGAGGAGGATCGTCCTCGCCAAACGCTTCCGGCTCCGAGCGTTGGAGCCGCGACTTACTCATCCGCGACAAAGGGCAGTTTCTAAAGAGAGCGCGTCATCGGGTGACAGGCGACGACACTCTGTCGATTTGATCAAGTGCGTCTCCTTGGTGCATCTGTACCACCCAGCAGCCGCTCTGCATCGTGAGACCGAGCGGCTTCGGAATTCTCCCTGACATTTGAGTGTTTTTGTGTGAACAGGAGGTTTGAATTAAAAACCGCAGATCACACAGAGAAATGGCGCTTAAACACTTGCTGAGCGACGGGGACTGACAGCAAAACGCGCCAACTCCATTAGCGCAGATCCCCTTTACGTGGCTTTTCAAATGGTGCAAGTGGGTTTTAACAACAGGTGTTCCAACCGCCCCCTCCCCTCCTTGTCCAGCCTGCAGCCAGCCTCGTGTTCTCATGCCGTATGGCATGGAGCGAAAACAAAGCCTCTTTTACGGGCGGGCTGGATGGAGGAGGGGACGACCCCCGCGCACTCAAGTCTCATCCCAGGGCGAGCGAGACGGAGCAAAGACACGCGGACCCGACGGAGATGGAGGCCTCGCACACGAAGACGACGTCAAAGATGGTGACAAAGGCCGTCTGTCCGAGTGCTTTGCGCTTCGCCCGTTCGTCCCCCCCCCCCCCTTATTGTTAAGAGCACCACACACTGTAAAGACGGCATTGACCAGCCGACTGTGGACCTGCAGTCGAAGGGCAGAACCAGTCACTTGGTTGTGACATTACAGGTCATTTTAGCAGATGCTTTTATCCAAAGCGACATTTTTGCCCAGGGATCAGTTAGGGGTTATGTGTCTTGCTCAGGGACACTTCGACTGGAGACATGGGGCAACTGGGACTCGAAACACCAACCTTGCGGTTCCCGGCGCACCCGCTCTACCCCCTGCGCCACGACAACCCCCGCTTCAGAAACCAAACACGCATTTCAGTTCTGTATTTCAAGACTAAAGATAACAAAAAAACAAAAAAAAAAACAGGCAACACTTAACCACTGCCGATCAGAGATGATAAATGCTCCACTACGATGGATATTTTACCCACGTACATTCAACGATGGCCGAGAAACTGAGGTGGATGTGAAGTGCGCATAATGGCAGAAAGCCGACAGTAATTTCCACCGCCAGGATTAAAACACAGTGAATCAGGGCTTCGCCAACCAGGTGGAGGCTTTCTTGCATCATCACACGCCTACGACTACTCGGCCACTTGAAATTTGAACCCAAACAGGTCACCGGTCAAACACCTCGCAGCCGCTTTATTTTCCCCTCTTTCAGTCCATTCTCCTCAGAAAGATGAAACACACACACACACACACACACACACACACACACACGAATATGAGTGAATGAATATGGGAGCACATCGTGACAGCCGGGCCATCTGCTCTGTAATTTAGCCACTTTCACACTTCTGACTGGCATTCGGATCTCAACAGTAACAGATTCTCCTCCTCAGTGAGAAAAGGGACTCGATGGTGACGAGGCATCAATAATGGAAAGAGCCTTCAACTATACAGGACTGCACGGTTCGGCACTTTGCCGTTCCCAATTTCACACAAACAAATCGGCGGCAGCATCGTGCCTCCCAGAGGATGTTTAAACAATAACTTATTGTAAACGAAGAAATCAGCAACACCCGGAACAATATAACGGCGTTCAAGAAAACAATATGCACACAAAGCAAAGAATGCTGAACAAATCTGCTGAGCCGCCTCAGGGTCCATCAATGAGAGTTTGGAAAGCATCAGTGGAATTCCCCTAAGCAACGTACCAGCCTTAAAAACACATTTTAACAACACGCTGTGTGTGTGTGTGTGTGTGTGTGTGTGTGTGTGTGTGTGTGTGTGTGTGTGTGTGTGTGTATATTGCACTGCAGCTTTGACAGAATAAGGTGTCGGCAGATGTTGTGCTGGAATGCAGCCGTCCGAGCAGGTTTTTTTTTTTTTGCTCTCAACCTCGAGAGTAAATTGCTGGTGTAACTGCAGGTCACAATGTAAACTAGTGACTATTCCATTTAATTCTCCTCCTGGGTGCCAATATAAGAGGTCTCCATCTTCCCGCTGCATCCTTCTTCTAAAAAATAACGTATTTTTTCTAGGCCATCATGTTATCTTGTTAATGGCCAATGTCATCGCAGAGATCCGGGGGATGTGGCAACTCTAGCTGCACGCAGAAGCACTCCGGGGTAAACAACGCACAGGTCGGCCTCAGCAAACGGATACGAGTTCAGATGCTGACCGGCGTAGCGGGGCAGCAGTTGGTTAATAATTAATCACGCGTCTGCCACACATTCAACCTGAGTCTGTCAATATGGTGCCAGCCATTTCACATCACATCCGATGAGCCGCTGCGGAGCGCAGAGCGAGCAGTAAGAAGTGAGCATTAAGAGGGATGTTAGGACATCTAAAGTTGGACAGAGACGCTTGACACCCGGCCCCTGGAGGCACCGTGAGACAGTCACGCCCACGGCGGGACATTAGGGCAACGTTTTGGACGAAGATGGATGGCCGATTTAATCTTTGAACACAAGCTAAAACGCCCCCCCCCCCCCCTTTGGGTGTCCGGGCTCTGCAGGTCAGGCTCACCCCAGCAAAACCCTCCCTTTGACCCATGCAGGAAGGGATCGCACCGGCTGAGGGTGCTCGTCTGCTGGACGATGTTTATGGTGTTCATGGTGACCACGGTGAGAGAGTGTTGCGGAACGGAGGCCCAGTTCCTCGCATTCTGGGACGTGAAAGCCGTGCGCAATCTGTTCCAGTGCCACTTGTTCCCTCACATGGCCAACTATGAAGAAATGTGTGCCCATTCAGCGCACTCTTCCATCACATGTGCAGCCTGCACTATAGCATTGCCTGAGCCAAAGGAGGACTTCATACACGTTTTAAATAATCCATTTTAGATAGTAGCCTAGAGCAAAGAATATTGTTGATATGGGGAAATGTTCGGTTAGTTATTTGGTTAATATAGGGTGAGCAAATAAAGCCTAGACTCCCAGTCTGTTCCAATTGTTTCCAACTTGAATTTCTCCTGAATTTTGAGACCCGGGTCTCCACAGAGGTTTCAGAGAGACTAACATTGAACGGTTAAGTTTCACCAGATTCTTTCTTAGAAAAATCTACTTTCCTTTAACACGACATCTGAGATACCACGAACAAAGAACGGCTCACAGAACAACAAGGCAGTGAACATTACATTCTAAGAGGCTTACGAGTATTTTTCCTGCCACCTCAGAGAAGTAAAATAAACCAAATCCAACATATTGCAAAAAATACATCATTAGTGTTGGTACAATCACGTATCTGGTTTTTGAAGGCCTGCGTGTCTGTTGGCTTTTGGGCCACGAAATGTGTTGAAAGTTTGAATTCCTGTTTATTATGAAAATAAATTCATGCCCTACAACTATGATGTACTTTTTCGAAATCATAAAAACATCCCTCTGATTATTTTACAAAAACGCTGTGTATTGGGAGAGAGAGAGAGAAAGAGTTCTTACCCCTTGGTTTCCATTAAATCTGATCAATGGCCTCGATGACAGAACCTATTGGAAGACAAACAGCATCATTAGAAAATGGGAAATTCAGTAACATTTTCCAGGAAAGAGATTTTTGGATCCCGTGAACCGCTAACTTTGTTTCTCTAATAAGAAAAAAACAGGGAAAGATTGACAGCCACAAGAGGATTAACTTTCTATTCAAAGCCCTGTATTAAAATTAGTTCACATTAGCTCAATTCACATCATGAGACAAACATCCCCTCCTTTTAGAACTCTGTATGTTTTTGCCGCCGTAATAATAATTACGTAATTGTAATTTACTATGGAGAAAAATGTTTTTAAAGAGTAGTTGGTACGGTTTACAAAAGATAAATGCAACTCATGACGGACGCAGAAAAAGATAAAGAGCTGAGCAGAGTTCTCAGAATTACTCCACATCCAGTTCCGGCCTCTCGCGTTCACAAATGAAGTATATCAAAGAGTGCAGCACTTTCAATACTCTTAAGATACGCCACATAGTACAGAGAAATACAGCAGAATTATAAGGATTTAAACAAGTTGAGGTTGTCGTCACGCTAATTTGCCGATGCTATGGAGACAAAGCAGCACAAGATCGCCACGTCTTAAGATTCTATAAAGGGGATCAAATTAAGTGAAGCATTAATGTCAGTTTGACCGCATTTCCTTGGTGCGGCTTTAGTGGATCCAATTGGGTCAAGTGAGAGAGCTCAAAGTCCAGGGCAGGTCAAGGCTGTTAAAGACACAACGTGCTTTGTGTCGCGGCCTGATCCTGACCCAGATATCCGGATCAAAGACTTACGCGCCTCTGTCCCCAATGTTGCCTCGCTTTCACCAAAACGCTAAATGGTTTTGCAAGGCTGTTCCAAAGTAATTCACATGTACGGCCCCACTGCACCTCGCACAAGACCTCCTGGCCCAAACAAAGCGAATCAGACGGCGACAAAAGAAGAAGGCCGTCTCATTTAGCTCACCGACATTATGACATTGTTGCCACGATCGCGGAGCCTATCGAGGAACACCAGGCCTTTCCTGTTCTAGCCGCGCGATGTTCAACACGGCACCAGTCTTGCCCCCGCCCACCGCCCCCATCACTGCTAACGGAGTGCTACCCTCAGCCTGTTCATTTGAATGGGCTGCTGACATGTCACTATTCTGTGGGACCCGAGCCCAGAATGTTCCACAGGGCCAACCTGGGGGACGGAGTACCGGCTGTGACCGCGCGGCCGATCCAGCACGCTGCCAAGCGGCGACAGAACGCGGATCAGCTGGACGCGGCGTGGACTCGCAGCCAAGCGGGCGCCCTGCGCTCAAACAGAGCCCGTGACCATTGCCGCAGCAAATCACGGCGTCGTGGACCTCAAGCGACGCCGCGTCGGACCGGCTTTCACATTTAAACCGCTGTAACACAGACTGCGCAGCGTATTCGTGGTCACAACTTCACGTGAAAAGATCCTTTGTTCGTGGTCAAACGCCTGCCTCGCCGATGGCAACCAGAAATAACATCTAACATTATACCGACCATGCAGTCGGTGTCTGAGACTCGACAATTCCTTTTGGCACAAAACACTTTGGACCTAGAAAATATCATCGGCAACTTTCTCAATTTTACGTTTAATCTGCTGCGATTGTGTTCCAAAGTATTCTTACGACAGTTGCGAGTAAACAATTAAAGACTCTTGAGGAAGTAAACGTCGCTGGCCAACAGGTGTCAGTTCTTTACCGTCATAGACTGCATATGTTAATCCACTGCATTAAGTTTTGCCAGCTACAATATAACCTTCCTGAAGCACTAATGAAACAGAGCGTGACGCTCTCAGCAGGCCTACTAACACTCAATGGTAGTACGTATGAATTATTTTATTATTATTTATTCTTTTAAATGCAAAATATACAAGCTGGGAGTCTGTAGTATAAGAAGCGGGGTGTAATTAGTGTGAAATGACTCGCATAGACCAAGCGAACACTAATATGATCAAACTCGATGTGTACTCGGTCTCTCGGGTTCCAGCGCCGAAGGATTTCTTTGTTTTGTAGTAGATGCATACAGGAATAGCCAGGTCTAAATCCCTGTGGGTTTGGCCGCGGCTCCCAAATTGTCAGGTGTTAAGTTGCCACACTGTCACTCTGATGAGACGCTCCACCCGTCTAGGATTTCACATGTGAAACGAGCACTTTGTGCCGCGCACGCTGTACGGCCGAAATGGTACTAGGTGTCCCTGCTCTAAATACGCAGTGTGCTTGCAGTACTGCTAAGTATGTCCTGTGTGTGGAAACAGAAATAGTCGCCTCCGGTTAAAATATTGTTAACAGAGGAGCATCCGAAGCAACACGTTAGCACACAGGCTTGATTGGACCTACTTCTTGGCGAATTTACTGTAACTGGCTTTTCATCCCTTTATTTTAGGAAATAAATGAAACCGTCGAGGTCGGGTCTACATCTCCGTCTCATCAGCGCCGAGTCACCTTAAACTGGTGCTCACAATGCACGCGCAAACAGTAGATGTTAGATTCATACACAGAACTATAAGTTTGGAAGGTTTATACACATTTGTGTCACACACACACACACACAGACCTTTCAAGGCTTATGGCGTTGTTTTGTCCCCCCCGGGAAAGCACAACTTAGACAAAGTATATAGCATTGTACTTTTACTCCGATGCATCACTGTAACTGCTGTTCCCATCCAGTAAAAAATAAAAAGTTTGTTTGCGTTTGTTACTGCGTCATTTAGCTTCAGAAAGCTGGTGCATTACTTCCCCTAAGCTTAAAAACTAACATTAGATCCTTTTAGATATCTCTAGTAATCCTACAAACACTGTATGATTCCAGTCATTTGGGCGACAACTAAATTTAGGTAAAAGTGATGACGTGGCAGACAGTCAACGCAGACTTGAAGGGAGAAAAATCACAAAGCAAACAAACCTAGAATATCTTTAAAAACGGAAAACTTACAATCTTAAAAGGCAACTTAAACGGTCACCTTCAAGGGCTAAAAGTTACGCTAATTGCACATGTATTTTTAATGTATAAGATCTTCACTATTTGGTACATGAATTCAAGCTTAGGTTACAAACCCCATGTCACAGATCGTGACACACTCGTGGACGACTGCACAAATGCAGTGACGGTACACAAATAGGGCTTGTTGTTAACTTGAAGTGGAAAAAAAAGAAGAAGAAGAAAGTGCAAACAGGCAGAGACGGCGTGACGCAGTCGAAGGGCTGCGAGTTGGGAAATGACCGCTGGCCGCTCGGCCAAGCACAAGGACTTACGTTTGAGTACTTGCCAATACTAAGCGCCTACTTTGGTACTAAATACTATTACAGTTCTAATAACGTCAAAGTAAACATCAAAACTGACATTTTAACATTAAACTTGTTCTGATAAAAACAGGTCATAGTTTGTACCAGGAATAGGAAAGTTAATAATGAACTAATCAGTTTAAAAGTGAAAAGAGACCTGAAATAAATGAAAGCAGAGCAGCCCTCAGGGATCCGGCTTGTCTGGTAACACATGCCCAGTACAGACTGTTCTGGTAGGATTTCTTTACGCACTCGCTAACAAGGGACCGAGAAAAATCCACCGAAAAATGATCGTTTTTTTAAAACAATCCGTTAACCAAAAGATGTCATTTTAGTTTTCCTGTTCATAAGAAATAGATGTTTTGGAATAAATCCATGAAGCTGCGTGTGATAAATGAAGATTACATCAAGAAAGCATCTGTTATTGTAAAGTGAAAATCAGAATAATCTACAAAGCTACAAAAAATTGCTTCAAACTGATGGATTTTCATGGCGAAGAGCTGCATGTAAGCCGAGCACACAAGCGCATTCTATTACTGGCGTTAACACTGGCTTCAGGTGCAGATGAGCAATTAGGCTCCCGCAGTGAGCCAATGGGATCTCTGGCTCATTAAACGAGAACTGCTACCTGAATATTCCAGTGCTGCGGGACTGAAGACTTCTTTGCAGCATGCCTTGCTTCTATCAAACTTCCCTACTAAATGATGCAACTGCAGATGGTTGTATACACTTTACATCTGGTATTTATTGGCATATGTTATGATGTCTCACGTAGTATTCATCTGATATGTTTTCGTTCAGTTGATGCATTAATGAAGAGTTCATGCACATAAACGCGTTTCTCTGGTTCCAGTGAAAATGTTACAACCGTTATCAGAATGGTCACAAAAGTACTGGACGATCTATCGGAGAAGACGCAGCAGGTCAGAGGGCCCGTCCCGAGCACAGTGACACCAGGTTGACGTGGTCACTTGTGTCACTGCAGGACATACGAACACCGTGACATTTAGAGTCATTTTTGGCCTCGGCGGCAATCGTCATCTCTTGCAGCGTCCCGTGATCGGCAGAAACTGGGGAGTCAGCATTCCTTAAATAACCATAGCACTGGCAAAGGCTGACCAGCATCAGGCAACAGAATCCCCTCCCTGTCTCCATTACTTCCCATACCGTCCCCATAGGGGTCGGCAGCGGAGGTGGTGGGGGGGGGGGTAGATTACACCAAGTCACCAAGTTCTTGCGCCTGGCTGCAAATGGACCTCCACGGTGAAGCATACAGCCAGTCAACACAAGTACTTATCCGACAATGATCTGCCTCTCAACAACAAAAAAAATCACATTCAACTTTCCTAGGAAGTGTTTCGATTAAATGTTACTGTGTCAACCTGATCCAAGTACGAGAGCAGGTATGTTGTCTGCCACCACCCCATCGGGTTAGTTGGACAGCTGATCATGGCTGAAGCAAACCCGTCATTATTTAAATTCCAGGTTACAAAATAGAAAGACGTGACGATTGCGTTTGCCACAGCCAACCGCGGGACGGGTGCCGCTGCTGTGGTGCGTGTGCTGAAGAATGTGGAGTTCCCACTCGCGGTTCATCGATCGCTGATCCGTCAGCGGACTAAAGATGTGGCTTTGGCCAACAAGAGGTTAAACCATTCAAATGGGACCACTCGTCTCTCATTATCGGAATAGTGCAGTGCCGACAGACAAGCGTTCTTGGGACTGCCTATGAATGTTTACTACATTTGAGTAACTCAGTGAGATTCCATTTGGACAATTTGAATATACACAACAATGACCTCTGAAAGTTGTGCGTACCACTGAATCAAATGGTTTAAAACACTCCACTACTTCCCTTTCCACAGCAGTCGCCCAGAGCCGTGACTATAAACATGTACCTCCAACACTCGGCTTGATGACGCGCAAGAAGCGTTACTCATTTCCTTGCTTACGCCACAGTCGGGGCTACCGGTCCAGCCCAGTTCAGTCTGTCCTCAGACAAACCAGCAGAGGAACCAGCTGAGAGTCACATCTCATGCAGGAAGCCGTCAACACGCTGGGCTGTTGCACAACGCACCGACGGAAACACAATGAGAAATACTTCTACACAATTTTACAAGATAGCAAGACTAAATGAGCTCAGCCAACATTTCGCATTGGGCTAGCTTGGCATCGCGCGCCGCTACAATGGAGAGACTTTAGAATGCCACCACGAAGAGTTCAACTGTTCCCGCGGCGCACGCGTTAGCTGCTAGCTACAATCGACCGTTCATCAAAGGGATTTTCAGCCTCCTTTTGAGGAGCAAGTGGCTGCCAGAGTTGAGCCACTTTCTAGTCAAACTGTATCAATGTTGGAGTACTAAATACTACCAGCTGTGTTTAATTACACATCATTTACTGCAACACAACTTTTACATGGAAAGGAGTGTCATTGTGGAGCTCTCTTCCTCTTCCTTTTCCCAGCTCGCCGCCAATGTTGGGTGCCGGCCAGTGATTGATTTATGACGAGAAAGCCGGAGAGGTCGAGCTCCTCTAAAAGTCAGCCGAGACACACGGAACGCAATAAAAGCTCGAGCCTGGAGAGGTGACGGTGAGAGCAGCCAGCTAAACTAAACTCGCCACCGAGGCCAGAGTCCGTCTGAACCCGAAGGAGTAACACAACATTGGATAAAGCTTGAATTTCACCCACAGAGGCGGTTTGTCGCTTTGCATTTGGCTGCAAGACCGATAGATATTTCTTCACCCAAGGCGGAAAAAAACGGACACGCAAAAGCAAGTGAGAGGCCCAAAGCTTGTATTGAGCTTAATCCCTCATGTCACAAACCTAACAGACATGTGGCCACATTTCTTCAGAGCAAACACAAGAGGAATTATTCCCCCCCATCCCCCCTTAATTTGAGTTTGTGCACATGTGGCCTGTGTTAGCTTAAAAGCTCAATACATTTGCACCGTAATGCCGGCCTGTAATGGTTATCTTCGAATTTCAACTTCGCCGGCTGACTGAGGACAATCCCCTTTGCATTGTAACAAGATGTAACGCACATGCACCACACCTGCACGGCTGTGTATGAATGTCTGCTGGATGTGTCAGATGGATGCTTTGATTCATGCTCGTCATCTGTGATGGTGTGAAGATATTGTGACAGGGCCGCAAAACAAACGCTGTCGACAGTCACAGTAACGGCGCGTACGTGCCTGCGTGGCCCCCTTTTTTGTCGCAGATGAAAGAGAAAGTGTTGTCATCAACAACGGTGTCTGTTCTGACACACAGAGCGGCCCAAAATAAAAAACAGTCCAAAGTGCTAAATTTGAGATCCTGCTCTGAACCTTCACCTCAAGTAAAGCCCAATCGGGTCAAACTGTGAGTCAGGGTTTTAACCGGTGATGCAGACGGTGAGCAATAATGGGTTGCAAGTCTGCAAGTCCAAACAAGAGGCAATCGTCAATAAAAAACAAAAAAACGGTTAATTTTCACTGCCAAACCTGACTCAAGCAATAAAAATCCTGGCGCAAATAATTTAATGATCCGAACATTTATCACTACAATGATTTGAATATAAATAATTGCAAGAGAACGTGCATTTAACTCGACTTTGAACGTGGAACAATGGTGCCAAAAAATCGTGGGCAGCATTCTAGTTCTCAGGGAACGCCCCGCTAATATCAACTCCCATCACACGTGTACCGTCATGCCTACTCATGGAGAAAATAACCACTTATTCTGAATCAAAAGGCACCACGAATGAGGGGGTAGAAATCAACCCGGCACAGGATAGATTGGTTATAGAACTACTAAGTGCAAGAAGTTCTGTTGTTGTGCTTGGATTCATTAATCAAAAAGGTTTAAGTTTGGGATGCCACCCAAACTGAAAACAAGCCATCCTTTAGCCATCACCCAAGTGGCAGAGCGGGCTTCATCTCGAAAACAGAACTCAAGGCTCCGTATAGTCGTGAAGACTCAAATCTCTTGCAGGGGGGGGGGGGGGGGAACAAAGCAGCTTATTTATTTAGGTTTACAATGCTAAAGAGGAAGTGAAGGATCATTCGAATGCCTTCTTTGTCACAACAAACGCTCTTCCTACAACTAGTAGGCACAGCACTGTGAATCCGTCGCAGCCCAGAGGCTGGATGATAAGGCCCGATCCTGCTGGCCTGCCAGGTTTTCCCTGTCAAATATTTATAGAAGCTGAAACGTTAGATGGCCAACATCAGACCAGACCTCCAGCCAAGAGGCAGCAGAGACCTGCCCGTGAAAACAAACGCAAATAAAACAGTCAGTTCTGTGTCGAATCCACTGTTCGATAACTTTGTCGCACTTCTAAAAGCTGTCAAGTGAACGTGGGGGGGAAGAGAAGAAAGCAGATGGCCATTTTTCGCGTGAATATTGGGTACTTTTCCGAAATCACTCACCATTTTGTCATTAGATACTCAACCAGGGCGACGCTTACTTTTGAGTTAACAACCGGGGGAAAGAAATCGAGTAAATAAGAAGACAGCTGCCTCGCGTACACACGCTCGTTTTTATAAATCAACGGTAACGTTAGCAGTTGACGTGATGCGTGACCAGCTGCCGGCTAGTTTTAGCTAGCGATGCTTTGCCAGATTTCTTTTTTTTTTTTTTGACAGCTTAGGAGAAACTTTCTGGAAACATCTGTTCGAGTGCTCGAGGATTTCATTTCGAATTGTAGTCACGCGACTTCACGACAACGTGACGCCAAGTAAATTGAAAAAAAATATATTATATATTCACACACACAAAAAAAACAAAATGTCACAATTACGACAACACAACGAGTGGACTCCCGGGGCGCTCGGTGTCCAGTCGGAAGCGGACCGGGTGGCGTCACGGCGTCCAACGGTCTCTGTGGGGTGTAAACGTTAACTGTCGGCTCCGCAACGCCGAGCGCCTCACCGAACATCCCCGATAACAGCCGCCACATTCGTTTCTCCATTTTTTTGGCTGTTTTTTTTGTGTGGTTGTTGTTGATGGCCAACCGGCCACTACAAAAAAAAAAAAAAAAAAAGAGAGACGAACTATCCAGCCTCGAGCGGGTGTTACCGCGGCGGCGGAGACGGACTGACCTCGCGCTGGTCCGTCACCGCCGCACGGACAGACTTTCAGACGTTTAAAAAAAAAAAAACACACAAAAAAAAAAAACACCACAAGAAATGTCACCTCAACGACAAAACAGGGCCGTTTTTCTCTGCGCGGTTACCTTGGTGCTCTGAAAGCCTTCGAACGCCCGCAGCGCGCTGTCAGTGAGTTTAACGTGGAAGACGGAGACATTGCTGCCGTTGCTCACTCTTCCACAGGACAGTCCGTAGCACTGCTCCTCCTTCAGCGCCGCCATCTTGCTGCCGTTCCCACCGCTCGCACGGACGGACGCGCTCTGTCGTAAAAAGAAAAAAAAAGAAAAAGAAAAACCCCGAGAAACTCCCCCGTTGCTTTTTCAATGAATATTCAAACCGACCGGCCGCAGATGATGAAGTCACCGGGCAGCAACGAAGCCCTATATAGTCACATGTGTTGATTCAAACCGCACCGCATTAGCACCGATTCACGCGTTGTTATCATGCGGGATTACGGCAAACTACCGTCGAGTAGTATTGTGGACTTTTACTTCTAAATCTGGTGCGACGCCTAAATCGTTTGTTTCTGACTGTGTTGTATTTTTATTTTATTAATTTATATGGTGTAGTGATTAAGAGGTCATTAACTTTTCGCAGCCTTACACGTAGGAAGTGGGAATTGAAACAAACAGGTCGTCACATCGCGTCAGAGAAACGTCAAACGTCTGAATGAAAAAAACAAAAGTGCCTTTCTGGAAAATCCAGAAAATGTGGGAATGTCCAGCTGTGATCAGATACGAAAGGAGACCTGATAATGTTTTACTCTTCTGTTAAAAACAACACGATTATTTAATGTGTGTGCTGAAGGGACTGCATTGATTTAACATGCAGCCATTAACCATTAATCTGCATTTATATTTTTCACTCCTTTAGAGTCTTAAAGAGGCACCAATGCCACAGATTACCACGTGACACTTCAGCCATTCCAGAATCAGAAATAGTTTAAAAAAATTCCTGCATACCTTATCAGCAACACTTAACAAAAAGGACAACAAACAAACGTTGGCATGATGACGGACATATTTTATTGTGACGAGTACAAAATGAACAAACGCTGGCAACTTTCAGCTGTCGGACAACCATCTACTCTGAAGAAGCATTAACTGTAGGTGAGAAAACAACGGTGGAATAAACAAAATCATTTCCATAAATACTTGACAGGCAAAACATGTGGGGGACAAAACAAAAGAAACGCAAACCCATTTACATACGCGGTACTCGAAGAGTCATTCTTCAACATTTGGTCTTATTAGTCAAAAAGTGAGGTATAATAGACAAATTTAATAATAAAAATAAACTCCTTCAGCATGACACGGAGCCAGGTCACTGAGAAACTACTTGTTTTAAATGTAATAAGTGCACCTCTGTTGACTAGAAATTTGTAATTTTACATATGAAAGAACAGTGCATCTATTTCAGCTGCTGCTTAAATATATGTATACACAGAGCAAATAGAATCCACCCCCACCGCCAGCAGCCATGTTAGCATAGTTTGTAGTATTTTATTATATTCCATTGTTTTGTGTTCACTGTAGGTTTGCTCCTCTACACACATTGAAACGAGGTGGATACAATTTCAGGAACACTTTTCACAATGACATCACAACCCTGAAGTGAGTCAGCACACAAACCGCTTCCACAATGGAAGTGTTGCATTACTGTTTGCATTGGTCTGTGAGTAGTCTTTACAAAGGGTGGCACACAGGCCAGTTACTATAATAATAAAGCATCTGCATTACATCATTCTACATATATGAGACATTGGACCTCAATTAAAACAGAAAAAGTGAAATCACTTATTTTCTCTTGGATAGGAATGATTGATTTTGCGGAACAATCTGAAGCTTCAAAACTAGAGCATAACAAAAGGACTGTATCACAATAGCTAATGTGGGAAAAGACATACGTGTAACTAGCTCGTATATGAATCAATAGTAAGTTACTTTAACCCTTTAGACTGCATGTTAACCTCAACTACCAAAGACCAGAACAATGGCAGCGAAGGAAAACAGTGTCTGGCAACATGACAGATGTGCATAAACCTACAAATTGAGAATGATAGAGACACAGCTCCCATCTGCGTCCGTTTTAAGATTTGTCAAGTATAGTTCTCAAACACAGCAGAGAAAGGTGAGGGACGGGGATGAGGCAACGCACCGACCAATCCACCACCTATCAATTTCTTGCAGCTATGACAACCGATAACGCTACACCTCCAATGGCTGCCGCTGTGGCGCCGAACAGCCATTTCCAGCTGAGGCCCTGGGGAAATGAAAAAGGAACAGAATCGAGTATGGTAGGGTGTTAAGTCAGTTGCTAAATAGCACGAGTGGGAAAAGTTCTACGAAACACATTTATCAGACTTAAAATATTGGTTTATGCCTGATGCTTCTTGTTCATTATCACACAAAGGCTCCTTTGATGTGTACGTTCATACATATATCACTTTAAGTAAAACTAAGTGTGTGTGCATCATGTGATAATTAATGGAAAGTCAACCTGTAACCCGGTAATTGTTTCGTCAGCGTGTGACTCTCACCCATGTGGGCGTGGCCTGGTGTTTCTGAGAGCCGCCGCTGCCGCCCGGGTTACCCAGCATCTTCTTGTACATGGCCTGCTCCGCTCCCCTCTGCTCAGAGTTCTTCTTCACCAGCTTGGAGAGCTCCGCGTGGATCGTCTGTAGGCGGGACGCCAAACAAACTGGGGTTGGAGAATCCAGTTTACCAACACAAACCGCCGCCGTCGCCCCTCCTCCTCTCCTCTACCAACCCAGATGTCCCAACATGACAGGAACCCTCCCGGCGGACTGCTTTGGCGTCCTGTTGGTGCATATTATCAGACAGAACTGCCAACATGCTACAGAGACTTCTACCGTTTAAAAAGCTTTTTAAAAGGTCGGGCGCAGTTCTCCGCAGTAATCCATCCGAGCCGCATTGCTTCACCTGCGGCAAACTTCACAGAGAACAATTAAGGCAAAAAGAACACGTACACACCCAACAATGAACTTAGTGTCTGCTGAAATATGCCATCATTGACTACCAGCACTGGCTCTAGGATATGCCAACAATAAAAGAGTAAACTCTACTCGAGCCTCACAGTCGGAGTAAAACTATATTCCAATATTTTCCCCTTGTTTTACAAAAAGGTAATAAGTTCACCTCTATTAGCAAGGACGTTTAAATTTAAAACATATAGGAAAGAACGTACAGTGCATCCACTGCAGCTGCTGCTGACTTGATGTACGTATTAACAACATTTTTAGAAACATCCCATCATTGTGCTCAGGGGTCTGCCTCAGCGCTCACTCCACATCTGGCGCAGCAGGACTGCAGAACATCACCTGAATCAAACTTCACGCAGAACAAAAGCATCAGCGAGCGGTTGTGACCAAACATCCTTTGGTCTAGTTCCAACACAATAGGACATCGTTCGTCTGCAGGTGAGCTTGTCGTTCGCTACCCGGCCTGTTTGAAACACTAGATCAGAGGATATTAATAATGACCTGAAAGGTTAAAAGCACCGCGCCAATAAAAGGGGATACACCGGAGGATATTTGTGGGGAGCCCGCAGGCTGTCCCGCCAGCTCAGAGCCGGTGGATACATCCAAAGAACATTGCTTGAGCCGCTAGCACCACTCTTTGTGCAATCAGCAACCCACCGAAAGGACAACAATGACACGACTTGTCCCCGGGGCCGAGGATTAAACAGGCTAAAAGAAACATGCAACACCTTGTCCTCGCGGCTGTCTAAACTGGAGCTGCCAAGCCTGTTTGTCATGTCAAGTGAACAAACCACAGCGCAAATAAATCTCTGCGCGTCCATTTGAGCCGAAGACGCAGGGCGTGAACGGAGGACCGGTGGAATAACAAAGACAGCGTGTTGGGAGCTTGAAGCGCCGCGACGCCCGCTTCTGTTGAAGACCGCCTCATTGATTATAATGGGAGCGCTCTGGTATTGTCCCTGAAGCACACCCACTGTTCTTGCTGATAGAACAGGAGGTTATTTAGGGAGCCTTTTTCATTATTAAAGCACTGAGACTCACCAGTGTAAAGTAAAAACAGAGACATCGTTGCAGACGGTCACGCTGTTGCATTGACACGCAGGCTAGAGTGCATTCAATCGACAGCATGCATGGTTGATGTTTTTTCTAAGATATGAAAATATTACGTTCTATTCAAATGCCTACTGAAAACAGTGATCCAGTACAGTAAAAACAGTACATTATATTTCAAATGCACGTGCCGGAGAAAAAGCTTGATTGGCAGCACAGCCATGTGCTGTTTGACAGCTTGGTGTAAGACTCAAGTGGGGGATTCTGGGCACGACTACCGTGCTGCAACTCACAGCGAATCCAAGAAGCCCACGCACTGAGCGGAGCTGTCGAATGGCCTTGTGTGGCCAGAGGAAGCTCGTGCACCCGACTGCAGGCGCAGTGGTCGGGTATTAGATATGGCAGGGGTTTAGGGTAACCCTATTTACAGCATCCCCATGAAAACAGATCCCCTGAAATGATGAATCAGCAGTCCACCCGACCTTGCGCTACAAATACGGTGATTTGATAAATTAGGCAATGTCGCCATCTACTGGTCACGAGAGAGAACTGCAAAGAATCCAAAAAAAAAGGTACCTTATTGCTTGGTTCCAACTTCAGCGCCTTCCTCAAAGTTTTAACGGCTTCTGTATATTCACCTTTCAAGGAAAGTACCTTCAGTGAAAAAAAACCAAAAGGTTTAAGAAAACAATTCTTTAAAGACAAAGAGACAATGTAAAGGAAAGGACTGCGCACCTTGCCCATGCGGAAAAGGGCTTTTATGTTTTCTGGCTCGTGTTCCAACGCTGAGACACAAGATTTGAGTGCGGCGTCAAAGTGGTCCAGCTTGAGCTGAGAAGCAGCCATGTTGTTTAAACACTTCACTCTTACGCCCATCAGTTCATTTTCCTCCTCAGGACTAATGTCAACTGCACCAAAAGAAACCACAAAATGAACAAAGACGTAAGGCACAGTAAAAAAGTATCATGTCCATGATTAGAATGATTATTTTTTTACACATGTTGAGGAAAAGCCCACCATTATTGGCATCCAACACCGTCTTACAACTCACTGGCCTCTATCTCACCTTTGGAACTAGACTCTGTTATCTGCAGGGCGATGCTGTACGAATTCACTGCAAAGGCGTAGTCGGCGCGCTGATAATGAACGTTGCCCCTCTCCCTCTTGAGGCTGGCCAGGGCGATTTTGTCTGCGGGGGGCAGCAGCTCCAGGTCTGGCGCGTCAATAGCTTCCAGCAGTTCCACTTCTAAGGATAGTTCAGAGTTGGAGGGAACCTCTGGCTCGAGACTGAAATTATGATGAAACACAGCCAAGAGTTATGGAGATAAGAGAGATCCAACGCTACATTACACATGGATTGTTTGTTTGATTACATTATTTAAAAAACAGTTAAGTTAATAAAGCCGCAAGAAGTTCCATTCCATCATGTTCCTACCTCCCCCGGACACCGTATGCATATTTTGCATCGGCCTGGACGAGGGCCTTTTCTCCCATTTCCATGAGTTGTACGGTCAGATCCAGAGCCTGGAAAGAAAAAAGAAAAATCCCATTCAGTAAAATAGGATACAACAGAACAGTACCTGCTGTAGGAAGGAGAAGGAAAAGGCAAATTATACATCACATGTTGTGAGAAGGTGAAATCACTCTATTCTGCCTTGTGAACGTTTACCTGGATGACATCTCCGTCTCCGAGAGTGAAAGAGAGGTCAGTCTGCTCCGCGACCAGCGTCCCGTCCTTCAGGTACGTTTTGAGATTAATCTTTACATTCTGTCCCTTCTGTGGCCGACTGTCTCGGCCTTCCCCCGCCTCCAGGACCTTTTTCTTCAGCTGGCCATTACCTGTAAACAAAAACCAAGTCGTGCCAGTTACGATATTGATCGCTGCCATTGTGGAGCCACCAGATCAGGGGCCTCGCTGCAGAAAAAAACACTATGGGCTCTCTGTTGCAGAGATGTTCCGCTACATCCTGACATGTGACCATGGAGCTGTTTGCATCATACCTAATACATCCATCCATTCGTCCATCGGACCCGCAGGGTCTGAATCAGAGTCGGTATTTTTCTTTTCAGACTCTTCGGAGTTGTTCCCCTTCCCACCTCCGGCATCTTCCAGAGGAGGAGGGTCGTCGTCAATGTCTTCTTCATCTAAAACCTCGAAGTCCTCGCCGCTGTCCAGCAGCGACGTTCGTCCGATTTTCTTGCCACTTTCGTGGCTGTCACAGGCGTTCATAACGTCTTGTTTTTCGGTCATTCGCGGACTACTACGAGGAAGGAGAACAATCAAAAACGTGCAACTTTATTGACTTCTGTAAACCACTTAGAATCCAAAGGTTACAACAGAACGAGTCCGTCTACCACCCAAAATGACCCAGCTCTTTATTAACTCACGTTAACTTATTTTCAACGAGGTGACAATTAATAGTCACCCGTAAAGTTATATTTTGATAAGCAGTAGCTAAGCTAGCCACACGCTTCCAGACGTTTCTGACAACTTCCTTCAGCTATCTCTACGAGCCGCTAGCAGGCTAACGCTAACACACGTTAGCATTAGCTGTAATCTTGCTAGCTAGCTAATGTTGGTGGACATTTAAGTGACTTGTTTATCTTGTCTTGCAACGAACCTCTGCCTACGTCGACTTCTGACCGAGCGTCAGCCTGAGCGACCCTTTTTTATCGTATTAAATGACTCCTCACCTTCGTTGTCTGTCTCTGCGGAGCCTTGTTTTGGTCCTGTTGACTCTCTTCTACACTTTACACCACGACGAAGTCAGTTCGCTGTTGGCATGCGCGAGTACTGCGGGACCCGTATGTGCTGCTGAACCCAACGTCAGACCGACTTCACCACGGATTCTCGCACGGCCTAACAAACTGCTTCCGGTTAACCTTGAGCTGCTGTACTTGTTTTCATGCATATTCATGTTCAATCTCATCGCTACACTGAGGACTGCATTTATAGTTTGTAATAAACCAACAATGTGTCCACTTATTTCCTAATCTAATATTGAAAGAAAATTATTCACGATGTTGGCTTATTCAATAGTGTCATAGCCAAAACCAATTCATTAATGCTATTTATAACTAGTGCAAATATATATTTCACAGGTTCTTTTCATAATTATGTTAGTAGAACCATTAGGAAATTATTTAAATAATTGCTTTTAGCCCACAAACATGGTGTAAGAGCCATTTTGCTATTGTTTTGTTTGTTAACCTCCCACCACTTGGGGGCGTAGGCAACTGTTTCAATTAGGCCCCAGGTCCATATAATCAGGATGATCTGCCAAAACCAACACCAACCGAGGTGCCTCTATTTATGATAGGCAAAAGGGTCCCTATACATGGCGTTATTATAGCTCCCGGATGTAAGCGGCAGGATTTAATAATTCTAATTCTGGTCTCTCGCTTAATTGGAGCCGTGATCAGGTGTGTGTAAATTCAAAATCATCTTTTGAAGAGGTGTGATTAAGGCAATAATGTGCAAAACATAAAGCAGATTAAATAAAAAGTATCTAATTTTATCTTGACTAACAACATTTTTTTTTTCAAATTTTCTGGTGTTTTTGAAATTAACATAATCAAAACATTTTAGAAATGTTTACCTGACCTTTTCCTATAAAACTTCTTATTTTGAATTACACACCAGATAAAAGCTAAATGAGAGCTCAGAGGAAGAGATTCAAACAGCGAGGAAAAATCAAATGACATTTATTATTGATGCATCGTTTCTTTTTTGATAAGCAAATCATCTGTTTTTCTTTCAGTCTAAAGAAACTTTACAATATAAAGAAACATACAAAGAACATCTTTATTACCTACACAAGACACCTAAGTCCCTAAGACAAGATTCTGAACTACCCTACCATGAAAATACAAAGCAAACCCAAGAGACAGACTGCTTCATATCGAATACTGCCGTGTCATCAGAAAGGGTCGTGGATGGTACAGGAGCATCGTTTATATCCCCACCCCTCCCTGACTCGACGTGACCACCCCGCCTAACCAGCAACTCTTCCAAATGGTACAGTATTATACATCACAATAGAAGTACAGAGATGGCCAACGATCGATATACACAGAGGACGGAGAGAGGATCAGTGAGAGAGCTTCGATCTGTACAACGCCATAACAGGAGCCAATAGCAAAGGACACAGTTCATTTAAAATCAAGTCCTCTTAAGTATTTTTACCTTTTTAAAAGTTTTCTTAAATTGATAAAAATCCTTCATATTAAAAACTGCAATAGAGGTCACATGTTTTTTTGTTTTTTTTGGGAGAAGATGCCCTTTGGAAAAACGTGATTATTCAAAGCCAATAGTAACATTTGAACTGAAACACAAGGAGACGAGGGCAGAGTGAGGACGCCACAGCTTGTCTGCTTCTCTCTGTCCTGTCCTCTCTCTGTCCTGTCCTCCCCACCGTGCACGCCTTTAGCATACGGTCTGCTCATTACCGTGTTACTGCACGCTACACATTTGTAATGGGAATTTAGCCCCACGAGCCAAATAGTCAGCGCATCCTTTCTCTATGAAAAAAACATGGACAGTTTTATTTATAATTTACTTTCAGCTGTATTCATTGGTAGTGACTGACATATCAAAACATGTCAATGATATCAAAATGCATTATACAGTATTTACAAAAAAACAAAATTAAAGAGAAGGAAGGGGAGACGTTTGGGGGCCGAGGGGGTGAGGGATGGGAGGGAAGAGGGGAGGTGTGCGTCACTGTACACACAGATGCAGTGACGCGAGTGCTGCCGTGTGAGACACAACGTGTCCCTTCGAAAAACAGTGACGGAGAGTTGATCGGGCCGAGGGCACAGAACCAAACGAATGAAACAGCGCAGTACGGAACCACGCGTGCAGATTCTACGGGCTTTCATTTCCTCAGTTGAATAGACTTCAAATTAAAATGATCCGGTGAGAACAATCCACGTGGAAACAAATCCGTTACAAAAGCGTCCCGCTGCTGTTCTCCGCCTTTAGAACGATGTGGCTGCGCGGCGCGTCGCTGCCGCGTCCTCCCGATGCTCTGGGTCCATTTACCCCGTCCGCACGGGGATCTCCGAGTTCACCCCGAGCAAGAAAAGCCTGCTTCACGAGTGCGTCTGAGGTGCCAGAACCGTCTCCCGTTCCCCAAAAAACAGGAGACATTGGCAGAGGGATCGGAAAACAGTGCCACTTGGACGCCACAGTGAGGTGTGAAAACAAGGTGGTGGAAGGGAAGGAACCACAGACAACTTGTAAATAACAAATAATAAAACAACCACAATACAAGCTAAATATGTTGTATTTACAGACAAGTCCAGATCCATAAGAGGTGCTCTCGTGCTCCGCCTGCTGCTGAATGGAAAGCGTCACCTGAGAGCCGCTTCCAGGCGGGAAAACACAGAGACTGAGAGAAGGGCCGCTAATTAAGACAAGATACGTAGACGTAGGATCACCAGCAGACACTTTGTACCAACAAAGAGAAAGTGTGTTAACTGTGTGGAGCGTTTTAGGCCGAGATAGTAAACTATTGGACGAGAGAGCCGATCATCCCGATCGCTGAGACTTTGAACATTTATGCAAACGGTGCCACGAACATTAAGATGGCAAATACTCTGAGCTGCAAGCCGAGCCGAGGCTTCCAGGAGACGCGCGTGTGTGTGAGAGAAGGACCGTGGCGAAGGACACGAAGAGACGAACGAAACGACCTAAAAATCATGTAAACAGGAAATCATTGTGCATTCTTCGAGTGTGTGCTTATTCTGCCGTTCATGCTGCTGCGATAAAATGTGCCCTTTACAGGAAATCATAACTACATTAGTAGAATGCTATCAATTCTGAAAATTATAACAATAATATTACAGTCAACAAAAAAAAATACAAACATTGAGTTCTTGCCCCAGAATAACATTCTCAATTCTTTTTTATTTTTATTTAATTTTTTGTTTTTTTTTACCCATTCCTGACACAGGAGTTTTTGCCCTCATAATGGAGCGGTGGTGGATGCAGCGGGGCATCTCGTTCGGGGCTCGGATGCCAGTCACGAGGGCGGGAGGGGGGGGGGGGTCGGGTCAGGGTTCGGGGGAGACGGGCTCAGAGCAGTTTCGGTCTCCCACTGTCCTCGGGGCCCCGCGTCTGGGCCCGGCAGGCGAAGGAGAGGAAGCGGTGGAGAGGCCCTTCCTGTCGTTTCATGTTCTTAAACCCATTTACAGGCGTTGGGATGGGGGCCCTTGAGGGGAGTCCTGCTTTCCAGGTGCATCCCCAGGGGCTGTGTGGCACAGCACACCGTCCACGAGGAGGAGGAGGAGGAGGAAGAGGAGGAGGAAGGAGGGAAGGAAGGGGAAGACGAGGGTAATGCAAGACGCACCGGGGTGAACGGGAGGGGGAGATTGGGGAAAAGGGGAGATGAAAAAGAAATAAAATAAAAAATAAAATAAAAAAAATCACACACTCATCGTCATGTTGGGTGAATACTGTAAAAGAGAGAGAGAAAAAACAGAGGGAGGGAAGAAAAGATAAGCCAAATCTATATTGAACTTAATACCCTACCTAGTTCAAGATGAAAGCAATACCACTAACTCGACTAAATGCCGCGTCCAACAGCCTCTCGCAGCCTTTCACAGAACTGCTAACTTCTCTGAGTCAGTATTCCAGCAGCAAGCAAAGCAGCCCAAGGAGAAGATGTTAGGGAATCTCAGAACACAGTGAAGATACTGTAGCAAAGTGTCATTAGTGTCGTTATCACGATACGGCAATCTCTCCATGCATCAGAGAAAGCATATCATGTGCTTCTGTCTCATGCTTGTGTTTGTGCATGCTTCGTGTGTGTGTGTGTGTGTGTGTGTGTGTGTGTGTGTGTGTGCGTCGGGTAAAGCTGGGAAACCTGATCATAAAGGTCTGATTATTGGCTCCGTTTAGCCGTGACGACTGGTTTCAAGGTCAAAATAAACCCCCACGCCGGTTTCACAAGAATATTTTACACTGACCCGGAGGGAAGCTCGTGTTTTGTGGTTTGTCAGCATTGTTGTGGGCCGCGTACTGAGAAGGTCTCAGGGACTTGATCTAGCGCCGCGAGGACATCCGATGTGACGGGGAAGTGGGGACTGAGCTGAGAGCTCCACAAGGAGCCGCAGCTTCTCAGCTCCGGCCCACGCTTGACTTTTCCTTTTTTTTTTCTACTGTGAGGTCCGCCAAGACGGTCGAGAACTCACGAGCGAATATCAGGGACAGGCATTTGAAAAAGTCAAGTCGCAATGTCAAGAATAAAATGACATTTTTCGGACGTTTTTTCTCAAGATGAAAAGCATTTTAACTTCATTCTCAATATTTCACCCTTCTCAAAAGGGAACATTTCATCTTGAAATGCAAAACAAGAAATACATTTTCTTTCCTCTTTATTCATGATCCTTATACTCTTAACACTGAAGAATTGGACAGCGTGTTGCAGCGTTGAATGTGGACGTCTATCTGAAGAGGGACTATTAGTCTATTTTTGTGAAACCAGCCACAGGTCACATTGCACAATCAGCACCCAGCATTTAAATTCCCTCACCCTGATTGCGTCTGAGGCCAGATGGAGCAATCACAATTGTGTTAAAATGTATTCAGATTTTTGTGATTGTGTAATTGAAACGTGATCCCGCTGTTTGATCAGAACAGGGGAGCTTTGTGCAGGTACGACATTAATCTAAAACAAGTGTGCCACTCTTTGCCTTTTTACAATTGAATGAGATGGTCTTGCAGTTTGTTCCCAGCTTACGTTGTCTGCGTTTGTACTCACACTTTCACTTTGGAATGGGTTTAAAAAGTTGCCCGCCATCTCGCCGTCGTCCCGCGGAGTGCCGGGAGGATTGTTCATGCCTGCCATGTTGTTGGGGGAATTCTGCAGCACGGATTGAAAAGCAAAACAGTAAGAACACAGCACGCTTTCAGACAGACAGACAGACAGACAGACACTCAGTCAGTCTCACCTTTGGCAACCCATCCATGTCACCGGAGCCTGTGATCAGAAATGGAGAAAGCAGAAACCTGAATCACTCTGAGGTAACCGTCACGTGATCCTCAGCGTCCCCGCGGCTCTTTCAGCACCAGCTGAGGATATCCGGTGCGCGTGGAAACAACCTGCCCCCTCACAGCTAATGGCCTTTAATTGAGCTGTTTGTTTCAGATACAGATGAGCAACAGCTCGCCGCCTTCACTGATCACGTCTCGCCCCTCTGCAGGATCGATTGGCCCGCTCGCCCGCCCCGCTAATCTGCCTTAGCTGTGATCAATACAGAGGCGGGAGGAGAAGACTTCCTCCACCGGCCACCAGGGGGCAGACTGTCCCTTCTGAAGGCCTTTGTTCCCAGCGAGTAACAGGTTCCACTGGACGCGTGCTCAGGAGCTCGTAGCGAGTACTGAGCATTGTGTTTGGCTGCTCACCTAGTGATCCGTTCATATGATGCTGCTCCATGGCACCCATCCCCCCCATGGGCCCGTCGGGACCCGGCCCCATCGGGAACTAGAGAGCAAAGAACAAGGGTCGGTTATCTCGACGGGTAACATGAGTGTAGGACGTTCGTTGGAGGGCCTGTGTGCACAAACCACACACGCTCACATTCATTCACTCCGTTGACTTTGGTTTTTCCCCTGAAAATTCTTGCATCAAAACTTTTAAGCATGTAAATATCCAACCAAGTGACACTGAAATGTTTGATTTTTTTAGAACAAAAGATAAGAGGAAAACGGGAAGGCAAAAGGTGATGGAGTGATGGATCTACTCATCCCATGAACTCGCACATGTTGCCTCTGGAAACTCCCTCAAAACATCCAAACTAAATATCTATACAGGAGAACATCTCCCAACGAGGCGTCAAGCCGGGTTTGAGACCCGTGAGCAGACCCTACGGCGGCATGCACATTAACTGGCATTTCCATGGTAACAGCGAGCTCCACCAATCAGGGAGTTTGCTGTTACACTAGGATTGTGGGTAGTGTAGTACATTCCCGTTACATTACGAAGAAAACCTGCTTTTGTTTAAAAAGAGGTTGATATCGTAGCCTCACCACAAACAATCAAAGAAGAAGACATTACTTACATTAGGTCTGTTTCCACCAGGGCCAATGGGGTTCATCATTGTGTAGATGTTTTCACTCGAGTTTGTCGAATCTATGAAGTATAACAACAATTTTTCAGTACTGTAAAGCATCAAGGTGTTTTTCACTTTAATTCTGCCGTTTGTGCAATTCAGTCATTTGGAGCACGGGGGTGTTCTTATTTCTTATTTAAGTTTAATAAATAACTAACGAAGCCACTTAAATGTTTTTATGTGTCATGGGGCTACAGATGCAAATTAGCCAAAGCTAATCTGGTACAGTGCATCAAATGGTGACATTTATGTTTGAACTGTACATGGTCCCTTTTAAATAACATAACTAAAAAAGTGCCAGTGCATAATGTCAGTGAATTTGCATGTCAATCAGTCCCGATAACCCAATTCCAGGAAGTTACAAGTTCCTTCATGGGCACCGCGACCGATACAAGCGGCGTCGCGCCTGGCGTGTCCTGAAACGATTCGGAGGGGCGAGGTGACCTCGTTCTGACACTGCGGGTACAAAGTTTGTGAGTGGAAGACTGAAAAAAGCAGCGACACCAGACTGAGAGACGGAGGAGGAGACGGATACAGTACGAGCAAAGTGGCGGAGAGATCCTGCCGGTTAGTGTCCCTGAATCGAGCTTGTGCTGTCGTGACTGGAGGAGATGGAGGGGGGGGGGGACCTTTTGTGTGGGCGGTGTGCATGTGTGTGTGTGTGTGTGTGCACATACAGTCTTGGCTTCTGCAGTGGAAATATATTTCCCTCCCTAGTACGTGTGAGCGGGAGCATTTCGAAGAAAAGGGGGTTGCCCCGGCAACGTATCACAATAGAGGTGCGTGTATAAATAATAAATAGCGGACACAAAAAGAAGCTGTCCACAGGCCGACAGAAACAGAACATCCACAGGATACCAGACCGCAGGGTTTTGTTCGGCGGAGTGCGGGGTCAGAGGTCACGGCTCCACTTCCCTTTTACCCAGCCGTCCCATCTAACGACGCTGCAATCACTTACAAACCAACCTACCAACCTTTTCACTGCATGTGCCCGAGTTGCAGTATTTTAGTCGAGCAATATTTTTACGCTGACTAAATCCATTGCTAAATACCCAATTCCTCGCTGCCCGTCTCTCCCGAAGAGGGATGTGAATCTCACACAGCGATGGTTTGTCTTTAGACCTAAACGCTGGATAAAAGTAGAAACCACAACTCACCTCCGGGGCTCGGCATGATGGGAGTTCCTGGCGGGCCGCCTCCCCCTGGGGGGCCCTGAGGGGTGAAGAAGGAGAGAGCGAAAAGAGCAATGAGTGCCGGGCGTTCGAGACGGCAGCGCGGCCGTGACAGGTAATTTATGGCTCGTGGCGGAACGGGAGTCCGCGGCGGGACACTTACCGCGTAGTTGCCTGGAGATGAAGATGAGTAAGCTATCTGTGGAGAGAAGAGACAAGAGGTGAAATACAACACGGCGCCGGCTTATTGTGAACACGCTCCGTCACGTAGGAGACGGGCAGGCGTGAGAGAGTGTGACTCACCGAGTTGGAGTTGGGGTTCGGCCATGGACCTCTTCCACCCGGACCCCTGGAGACGCAGGCAGAAGGAGAGGAAGATGTTTAACGGAACCGTTGCCATTCGCCAACTTTCTTATACAATGTTTAATGTAAATCAAAAAAAAAGCAGCAATTTCAAAGGTTAAACATCCTCAATTGTATGTTGAAATTGGAAAAACTAGATAACTATTTTAGAACATTTAGCTTTTGGTAACATTATCTAAATTATCATTTTTATTGGGTTTAAAAATGTGTATGGGTGCACTGAACTGGGAATATTCTATATATTTATTTCCAGTGGTGGAAGTTCATTCATTCAAGATTCCAGATGCAAATGTGGTACTTTTACCACAAGTTTAGCTATTTCGGAGATTCCAGCTAATAATACAAAATATAATTAGGCATTATTAATATTATTGATGAATAACAAACATTATTTTGTCCTGACAGTACTTGTTGCCACATTCAGTTAAGTAATATATCATAATATACTTTATCCACCTGAAGGTGTGTCACAGTCGGTTCAGCTAACTGGCGTTTTGATTACAGGAAAGTAAGATTTCCACAGCATGTTGCTGATAATAATTATATTTGCTGATCTGGGAACCAATGAGTCCAAAAGGAGCCAAAACATGAGTGAAAAACACAAAACGCTGCAGCGTTCCCGTGTGTTTTAAATCCCTCACTGCAGTTGTGCGTGCAATGTTTTCTATTTGTACTATTATTTCATTAATGCAGTATAACATTCGGCCACGTCCCTCTTAGCTCCTCGCTGCTAGCAGCAACGGTTCACAGACATTTAGAAACGTATTTTCCGGTGTACTAACATGTTCATGCCCGGCATCCCCGGCCCCATGGAGTTGGGAGGAGGCCTCATTCCTCCGCCGTAGTTCTGCACAAAGAGGAGGAGCACACAGTCAGCGCGGCGTCTCGCACCTGCTCCGTCCTAATGTCTCAACCCTAATGAAGGTCAGCGGCCGCCGCGTCTCCTCCTAACCGCTCCTTAATTATGTCACGTGTGTGTGTGTGTGTTGGAGTGGACGTTGCGTGTCTCTTCCTCCCCGTGTCCACGCTCCCCTCTGCGCGTTTGCTTGTATGTTTTCATGGCCGCCCAGCGGGCAGCTTTGGCTCGCAATGCACGCGTGTAATTGTGTGTCTGTGTGCGTGAAAGAGTTTGTGTGAAAGAGACGGACGGAGAGAGACAGAGAGAGAGAGAGAAAGGGGGGAGGCCAGAGAGCAGCTCCACTCAGAGGAAGAGTTTTGTTCAGCAGACGATTACACTTGTCGAGCAGATGCCTCACCAGCTGCCGGCACGTTCACTGCCAAAGTCACCGAGCCAGGGTGGCACAGAGCGGGGCCGAGGGGCCACGCGGGGAGAGAGTGTGTGTGTGTGTTTTTGTGCGGGGTTGGATTGCGGCAAAATGAAGCAGCTTTTTGTTAACGTTAACTCCAAAAGGACGCGCGTGTTTTACAATGAACGATACCCCAAAAACAAAAGGTAAACTAACGCTGACGCCAATGATTTTTATTTTCTTTTTGGGAGATTTAAGACGTAGTGTGAGCTGCGCTTAAGGCCGAGCTAACATTGCTGACATTTAGACTTACTTACGCCCCTTTTTCCGCGGTAGCGACCAAACATTGGGTTTGCTGATAAAGTGGGTGTGCGTGCGGAGGGCTGGTGGTGCTGACGGGTACCGACCCACTCTCATGACCTCATCAACGCTATCCTATGGGTTGTGTTGTGGTGGTGCCTACCTGTGGGCCCATGCCCCCCATGCCTCGCGGGGGATTCATTCTCATTGGACCTCCCATGTTTGGATGTCCTGTGGGGAAACACACAGTGCAGCTTGTTAAAATGGAAGCGCTGTTTTGGATCAATAGCAATTCCATGAATTCAGAAGCCGACGTGATGTTGATCTCCAGAGCGCTCAGTGAAAACACCGTCATCCTCGGCGATACCTTGAGGTCTGGTGGGGTCCAGGCTGTTTGGTAGGAGGGGCTGTGACCCGGGGATGCTCCCAGGGGGCTGATTTGGCATACGGAGGGAAGGCCTGGGGCCGCCTGGGTACCGCGGAGACATGAATGGCTGCAGGACGGACGCGAGAAGGACAATGATTTTATTCCAGGATGACCAGAAGAAGAATTATTGTTTGAATTCTTAATGGACGGGCTATAAAACATCACAAATACGTTTGCATGAGACCTTGTTCTCAACCTTCAATGATGCAAAATGAATTCAGCCAAAGCAGATTTGTTACCTATTGTATTGAGCCTTTTCTGTTGACGTGTGGTCTTTAGTTTTTACTCTGCAAGGTGTTCCATTGTATGGAGGGAATGACGTGAACTCAAGGTTTAACTTTACTGCCTTCCATCGCGAGATAAATCCAAGAGAGATTTTATCTGAATTGATTTTATCTGGTTAAATACGGGTTAAAAACCTCTACAGACTACTAATGATTCCTATATTATGGTAACAACATCTTTACAGCCAGCCGTGATTAAACATAAACCCCCTTAGTTTATCTCGGCTGGATCTGTTCTTACATGAAGTTACTTACAAAGTTGACAGATGACAAAGCTCGATAACGCTCACATGTGCAGCCGCGCACAAAAGGTTCGGTCTAATTTGGAGGCGTTTTCTTCACATGCCAGCAGGGGGCGCTGCCGGGTTGAAGAACGGCGCTCTGTGGCAGCTCGTTCACTGAGGAGGAGCGGCGCGTCGTTTACGTTTTGTAAAGTAAGACCTCAGGTGGTAAATGTGAGGCGGGACGGATTAGAGAAGGGGAGAACACTTGGACGGGAGGCGGAGATGGAGCAGGAAGGACATTGCACAGTTGCGTTGGGGGACGTCGGTGTTCCACAGCTCAATGTTGTGTCTGTTTTGAGCAGCTGTGCTTCGTGCCGGACGCCGTTCTCACCGCGTCTGTCTCACCTGAGCAGCCGGCGGGGTGTGATTCCTAACAGAGAGTGAATGCACCATTCCACACAGATGCCTCGGCGCCGAGGGGACAAGAGCAGGCCGGCTGAGACACACACGCGCACACAACTAGTGAATAATGTAACGCACCCCTGACAGATGGTTTTCAGAATTACCTATGAGAGGACGCCGCTGCAACCGCAAATACCCACATCCAGCGGGCCACATGTCTGCGTCACATCAGAGGAATTAACCCCAACTGTTTCAGCGTCGAGGGGAAACGAGCCGATTTGAATGCCGATTGGGTGAGTTGTGTGTTTCAGCAGACTGGCTTTCAGCGGTAAGGACGTTCCGTGTGTTTTGTGTGTGTTTGGGGGCAAGAAGAGGGCAAATTATATAATCCCACTTAAGCCCTCGAGGCGAGGACCGATTTACTCCTCCTCCTCCTCCCTCCTGTCCGCCGTCCCCTCTTTCGGCCATGTTGTGGTGGGTTTGTGCACGGGGAGCTGCACCGCGTCAGGCCGTGCTGCAATATTAATACTCCATTGATGGACGACGGGATGGTGAGTGCCGGGCTGAGGGAGGGAGGGGGGGGGGAGGCCCTCCATACGCACCTCCGCTCCTTACAGCGGGGGCCAACACAGCTAAATTATTCAACCCACCCAGGAGCCGAGGACCACCACCCGCGCACGCCGCCGCGTCCCGTACAGGGAGGATGTAGCGTCAATGTTTCCGTCTTACCTGTCCGTGAGGTCCCATCATGGGATTGCTGGGGTTGTGTGGGGGGGGCTGCGTGTGAGGGGATGGCTGAGACCCCGGGGGACCCTGGGTAAAAAAGAAAAGAAAAGAATTCATCAACACGTCAATAAACGGAAATGATGTGATATTCAAACCGTGCTTGTGGATGAGGAGCAGGACAATGTGATGCGACATTTAAAGGGCCATAAATTCGGAGGGGAATTTTACTCGAGTTCCCTTTGGTCGTGCATATGAATATCTAAGAACAGATATGATTAAGAGATGTTTGCTTACACCCCGATACAGGAAGTGAATAGAGTTCGGATTCCGTTTCCGACGCTGTGGCAGTAAATTGTGCTGCAAAATGGCGCTGATATTTAACGATTGACTTTTCCCCAGTTTGGTTGTTCGTGCAATTGAATTCCGACTTCATCAAACCAAACATAACAAACCATGAAAGAAGAGATTCACGTACTTTTTTCTATTTGCCCCCTAGTGGTCAAGATCACCTGGTGCAGCCTAAATAACGTACAATAAACGCTCAACTGTTGCATCAATTCTGCATCCACAAGGATTCACCGACTCATTCCGGGACGAGGTCGGATCAATTGACGAGGTGGACTTTAATCAACGTTCAGAACTTCAAGGGCTAATTTGTGGTATTAAAAACAATGCCGTATTTTTCTCATTGTTGACATAATGATGCTGCAGTTCCACATTATGATGCTACAGTTACACATTATGATCCACTTTCATTAACAATGCACGACACTGTATCTGTGCTGCATTAACGTGGTACAACACTCGGGAGAATTCATGTGAACGTCAAGTAGACGGGACTTAAACCTGCTGCTTAAGAAACACGACGCAACGCGACCACGAGGAGCATGTGAACGCACCGCGGTCAACGAAAGGGTCGTTCTCCTCTTCTTAGGGATCGTTTCTAATTCTTGCAGAGTCGGCGTGCGTTTATGTAGTTGGCCAACTGCAGGCAAACATGATTTGATGATTGTCTGATCCAGAGCGCCGGCGGCTTCTGGCAGCAAATCTTTCAACCGATGAACTGACAAATTCAGATGTTGTTTTCTTCTAATTAAGAAGAAAAAAAAAAAGAACGTTCCATCAACATTCCCAAATGATTGTGTGGCACTAACGCCAGTTCTATCTCCATCGATCTGTGGCTCTGATGTCTGGAGTTTCTAAGAGGGCGTCGGAGGGACGCGCGAAGGAGAACAGCAGGACTCAATCTCCGCTTTCACTGCCGGCCCGACGCGCAGCCGAGGGCCAAGGCGAGCTCAAACGCTCTCGCTCCGCGGCGACGCGCCGAGTATTTGAACCCAATCAAGCATCAGTATGGAAAACGCCTCGTTGACTCAGTCTCTGCTCCGCCAACAGCAGCCTCGGTGTGCGGCGCGAGAGCGAAGGAGGCGCCACTCGTGTTAATCTCTCAACAACACGCCGTGCGTTGGAAGTGCACGTGGGGTCAGAGGTCCCGTGACCTTGTTGTCTCTGCGTAAACTCCAGCAACGCAGAGCGGTTACCACCTGGACCACCCACTGCCGGGCCAAATCCACTAGTCTGCCACTCTGCTATCAGGTGACACTACCAGTGTGTGTGTGTCTGTGTGAGTGAGTGGTGATGAGTGCGAGTATGAGACTCTCCCCCCCCCCCCCCCCCCTTTTCTTTTTTTCACAGGTGAAAGCAGGATCTCCTCCTCTCAGGTGCTGAGTGTGTGCATGTACACTATTGTGTGTTGAAGGGGGCTGCTGAGGGCTGTTACTTCAACAGGTGTGAGTCTAACATCACAGTGAAAAGCTAAAGGATTAGGGGATTATCCATGCGCAATATAACCTGACACACACACACACACACACACGCAGACGCACACACACACATTCTCTGGTTTACATAATTTTGGTCTCACTTTTTCTGGCAAATACGCATTAATAGATGCATGTACACACAAGAAGGCTTCCTGTGTTTATTTAACATTTCGGTTTGAACACGAGCTTTTAAATAAATGTGCTAAACTTGTTAAATCCAGTAATTTAAGTAATTGGTGAAAAATTCTAGTGCCTATTTACACATCATTTTCAGGTTGAGTAATGGACTAATTGTTGCATCAGTAACGCACAAAGTCACACATAACTGTCTACACACCCTGGACAGACACCTGCATCTATCCAACTTCTCACACACACACACACACACCTTTTAAACCCCGCCCCCTTTCTGTCACTTTCCCACCCCCCTCACTGTTGGCTAAGTAGGAACCAGGCCCCCCCCAAAGACCGAGGCACGGGAATCCGACGGAGGGTCTCCCGGGAGAAAAAAAACACCGGTGGCCTTCCACCCGAAACCAACGGCCGTTGGAAAAAACACAGGGCCAACCCCCCCCCCCCCCCCCCCCCCCCCCCCCGCAACCCCGACACACCCCCTGCACCCGTCCTGCCAGGAGAGATGAGCTCGCACGTCCACGTGAAAACAACAACGCTCATAAGCAGGATAAGCGCTCATCGATGGACTCACCTCCCGTTATACGGGTCTCAGCACGAGTGATGTCACAAAAAGTGTGACCTCAATACCAGGATATTGATAGTGAAACATCAGGAAAAGCAATAAAATAAAGTCCATGGACCATATCTATATTATATATGATATCAAATGTTTTTATGGTATGCAGTAATCTGACTTAATGTGATTTCTTTGATAGTTTACTTGACATCTGCCACCAGAAATCACTGGTTAATAAGCAGACGGGAGGATTCCAAAACAAAAATAATTCTTTGTGGAATTTCTGTCAAATGTCGATCACGGGGAAGCTGATCAAATCAGGACGACGGCACACAAACCGCAGGAGGCCGCGTGCGGCGCCAAAAGGGGCACGTCAAGGTTGATGAATCTCTGCCGTTTATAAAGTTGAACTAAAACACCTGATCCCACACCCCCGTGGAGTCCTCCTCATTCATGCCCTAAAGGGACGCGGGCCGCTTCATTGATCGCATTCATCTCGCCGTCGTGAGAACGGCTCATCTGAGCAGCGCTGGCGTCTTCAATAGAGCCACTTATTAACCAGCTTCCCAACACGCGGCCGGCTGGTAATCTATTCAACAATCTAGGAAGTGTTTATTCAGTTGTGCACACAGTGTACTCGGGATGACGTCTGTGCCACTGCGGTCGTTCCGCCTCTCCGTGTGAGTGAGTGTGTGTGTGTGTGTGTGTGTTTTGGGTGGTTGACACCAGCTGTACCGGCTCGCTCCGTCTCTCAGCAGGTTCACACCGGGGCTAATGCAGCGCTAGCTCCGTTGTGACCTCAGAGGTTATTGTTGTTGACGTGCCAGTCTGAGCGTGTGCGCGTGTGTGTCTAACGAGACACCCCTGCCGGGTCTGGTTGCACTGATCCAGCTACAGCGGTCTGCTTCCCCTCCACACACACACACACACACACACACACACACACACAAACACAACCTGGTCTTAGGACACAGTATTTACTGAGATTTCCTGCAGCAGATCCGAAACCTCCTGACCCCGGCCTTCTGCAGCCGTGACCTCATCCTTAACAAACTGTCATCCAGACCAGGCCTCACCCTTCAACAGACATCTGGTGGGGACCAGCTTGTCGTCCCAACGAAGTAAGTCCCACATGTGACTGTGTGACAGTCGCTGCTCTGTGGTAATACACATCACACACACACACACACACGCACGCACACACACACACACGCACACGCACACTGGCGGCGCTCCTCCCTTGATCCTCTCTATAATGTGCCATAATGGAGCATCGCTCCTCTGGCTGGGCCTCCCTGGGCCTTCCTGCTATTACGTCTGAATGGGGCAGCATATGGCCTTTATGGCCATACTGTTCTCTCCACAGGTCCCCGCAGAGAGGGAGGGGGGGGGGGAGAGAGAGAGAGAGAGAGAGAGAGAGGGCGTTTCAACTGCCACAGAGGTCTACGCAGGGCGAGTTTGAAAAGTAGCTTTGGCCTGGAGTGTGTGTGCGGTACGTGTGTGTTGTTTGTGTACACGTGTAGCAGAGGGGGAGGAGAGGGAGGAGGTGGGGGACACGGGGAGCGTTAAATGAAGCAATTAATAAAATCATTTTCTACCCGGCTAAGGAGATAACAGCTTGGCACAGTACCACAAACCCATCAACACAACACAACCCCCCCCCCCTCTCCCCCCCCACCACTCATTTCAGCTTGAGGAAGACCCACACCGCCGCCCCTGATGGACCACTAACACACACACACACACACACACACACACACACAGAGACTGATCCTTTTACAGCTGCCTACTGCCACTAGAGGGCAGTGTGTAACTTCCATCAAATTACTGGACACACACACACACACACACACACACACACACACAAACAGGGAGTGAGAACACAAAGCACCCTGCATCACTGAACACAACAAACAAAGCCGGGGCGGAACAGCTCCACACACACACACACACACAAACGCACACACACAAACGCACGCCCTGAGCGCACACTCATTGTCATTCCTCGCTAACATTCCTGAGAGCGCGGCGGTCTTCTTCTGCTAGCTCATTGTGTACACCAGGGGTGTTTCCCTCCCAGAGGCAGGAAGGCCGCGAGACGCCGACAGCTATTTCCCCCCCCAAAAAATGATCCGTGCACATCCGTGACACAACGCCCCCCCCCCCGTTTTGTCCCGCCAACACTGCTGAACGCTGGAGGACGAGCAGAGACACCGCGGAGACCTTCTGATGAGCGTCTCTCGTCCAGTGAAACGCTCACCGATCAACCGAAACCTCCTGCTTTCGTCGTCCCACCCAGACGCCGAGATTTGACATTTGACCCACAATTAATTTGACACCTGAACAAACAGCCATCGGCCGTGGCTTCCATCCTCCCTTCCACCTCCGAGTCTCACCTCCGATGAGCACATCAGAGAGCAGATGTCCCCCTGATTGGCTGGCGTGTCTAAGCTCTGAACAGCTTCTCAGATGCGTCTTTGATAGGCGGGTTGCTTGTTGTTTAACGTGTAATCAAACTTAATCCCCTTGTTGTGCTTTTTTTGGTTTTCTCCCTGAAGAGCCACAATTACCTGCAGGAAAACACGCTGCCCTTGACTTTTGTTTTTTTTGTCAAGAGGCGCCTTTCCCAGTTTAGTAGAGAGAGGCTGCCCCACCCTAACTGCTTTACAGACCTAATGGAGCGCATTAAGTTTTCGACTAGAAAACGTTTGTCGTGTGGATCAGAAAACAAAGTCAACAAAGGCCTTATTTGACCGGCGGATTGCATAAACGTCTAAAAGAGCACATTTGATCTGATTTTCTTTCCCTTGGTTGGAAGCCGTACTCTTGATTTATGCAGCTTTCTCCCCGATTTAGTGTCCTTCACATTATTTTAAAATCTAATGTCCACATGTAGACATTCTAATAGGAACTGCCACGTTGAGTTCTGCAGACGGGAGTCGAATCCATCAACTCGCCACGATTGCTGTTAGCTGTCGTTCCTGTGATAAAAAAAACCCACATTTTTTTGAAAGACTTTGTGACGTCTCAGCGTCCTCGCTTCTACCCCCCCCCCTCGCTTGTGCTCCCCAGAGGGCCGTGATGCAGCAGCGATGGACTGAGAGGAGGGGAGCACTACAACCCAATATGAAGAGACCCTCCCACCAAACACAGCATTTCTGCGCCACCTCTTCTTCTCCCCCCCACCACCACCACCTTTTCTCCTCCTCCGTCGGGTCTCACGTCTCTCTCTCCGTCCACCTTTTCTTTGTCTCTACGGATCAGCGAAGCGCGCCCTCCTCCTGCACCCTCTGCCTCCATTTTGCTCCTGCAACGTCCCCCCTTTGCCCCCTCATCCCTCCCTCTCTCTCTCCCCCTCTCTCCCAGGACCGAAGCCAATAACAGTGTTGGGGTCACTCATGTTAATTACAGAGCAAGTGCAACGGGGAAGAACGTAATGCAACACACACACACACACACACACACAGTTCACACGGAGCAGAGTTGGTGAGTAAGCATGTGTCACTGAAGCGGTGTGTGTGTGTGTGTGAGAAAGTGCTTCAAAGACACGGGAGGTGGAGAGAGTGAGGAAAAGTCACGGCGAAGGACGCTAAGCGCACGAAGGAGAGAGGTGGAGGAAGGAAGCAGACAAGGAGATGAGAAAATACCAAAGCAGGATTCTGCTTCAGTGGATAAAAGCCGTCCACAATCCCACATCCAAAACACGATAACCATTGTTGAGTCTTCCAGAGGAGGTGGAAAAGTGTCCCTGTCAGACGACTGACCCCCCCCCCCCCCCCGTAACCGAGAGCAGGGAGATGAGAATGCGAGTGAAATCTCAACGATACGAGAGGGAACGATAAAAAACAAACAAATGGAATGAAGAATCTGCTTCATCTGAATGAATAAATGAACTGCAGGAAACTCGGCAGCCTGCATTTTCAGCAGAGACCGCAACCATTAGTTCACCGGGGAGCGAGCGGCAGCTACCTGAGCCGCGCGTGTGTGTGTGTGTGTGTGTGCGTGCGTGCGTGTGTGTGTCGGCTCGAGCCCAAGTTATAGCACGCTACAGCGCATTAGAATATGCTGCAGTTCTGGCATCACCGTCTGCTTGATTTAAGGAAGTCTGAAGTGAAGTTTGGGAGGGGAAGGGGGGGGTGCAGAGACCGTTTAGTCAATCGTGTGCGTGTGTGCGCGCGCGCGTGTGTGTGTGTGTGTGTGCGTTATGCAGACTCTGTTTTGCTTTTCTTTACATTTGCCCGCTTTGCTGCTCAGATTAGCTGAGCTAAGCATAGAGAAGAGACGAGAACGAATGTTGCGGCGTTGGGAAGGAACCATCAATACCTCCTTTCTTCCCCCTGAGCGGCCTGTCTGTCTCTCTGCCTGTCCCTCTGTCTCTCTGCCTGTCCCTCTGTCTCTCTGCCTGTCCCTCTGTCTGCCTGTCCGCCCGCCATGCGCGCAGGGTCTATTTATGGAAAGCAATGTCACTCATGCAACACCATCGGATATCTTTCTTCCCGGCCCGCTCACTGCTCATACATCATTAACATTCCCTACGACCCCTGCACGCACACACACACATACACGCACGCACACACACACACACACACACAATGCTGCCAATCAGCCAGCACAAGACAACGCGGGCATATGTTTCTACCGTTCCACCAAAAGTCCCAAGGAGCACGTTTGCAAAAGACGCTTTGTCGTGAATAACATGAAAAAAAAGCACGACGGCATCTTGGACATTTTGTTGTTTCTACGCGCAGACAGAATAAACAGACATGGAGCAAACACATGTTGGGACGGCGGCCAAAACAAACTCAACACGGTGAATGACGTGTGATAATTAAGGGGAAAATTTTCTAGGTTGAGACTTTCAAAGCTACTTGACAGTAATTTAGTGGTTCAGTTTTAAAAAGAGATATTTCCTTCTCATTTGCTCGAACTTTAGTATTTTCGCTTCTCCAAACATGTACTTTTAATGTTGAAAGCACACATTGTTGTTCCCATAATGTCGCTCTGACTGTGCCCTGCTTTCACCATCTGTCCCAAACGCTTTCTCTCTAAGCCGCATCACAAACAGCTCAGTCCGCTCTGATTGGTCATCGTTCTTCGGTCAGAGTCCGACGGCACTTCCACCTGTGACGGTGTCCTGGTGTCACCGTCCAAGCACCTCTGGTTAGAGGACGCTCCGGCGTTTTGGTAAACCTTTTTCGGCTAAATAACAGCCTGTAGCAATGTTCTTGCACTATAAAAACTGTAAATAATTCACTACCTTTGGTTCCTGATGATGTGCAGATGGTTCTGATTTTAAAAGTGTTACTAGCTGTGTTTTAAATATGGCTTGCGTGTGAGACAGAGAGACATAGCGAGCGAGAGAGAGAGAGAGAGCAGTGGTGACACCAGGAAACTGAGTAACTTAGACCAGAGATAACAGCCCCCCCCCCAAAAAAAATATAATTCCAAAAAGTCACCTATCCCTAACACGCATTTCGTATTTGGGCAGCTGAAAGAAATGAGCTTCAGCCCCGGCGTGGACATATGGGACGGGGGCAGAGAGGCAGAGGAGGGAACACATCTGGACGGGGATTAGGACAGCTAAAGAGGCTAAAAAAGGAGGAGGGGACAGAAGGATTGGCTTAGCGATGGGGGGGGGGCTGCCGTGTGATGTTGTTGTGTGACGGGTGGGGGGGGGGGGGTGGGCGAGGGGTGAAAGTCAGCGAGTAGGCCCTTCTCCTTACTTGGAAGAAGCCCGGGGGCATGGGTCCTCCTGGCATGCCGTCGTTGGGTGGCATGTTGCCCATCACTGGACTGGGCGCCGCCGCCGCACTCTGAAAGACCAAAGACAAAGAGAAAGGCCACAGTTTACTCCCGGTGATGGTGTTTGATGGAGCAGTAAACGGCCACGGAGGCGTTCAAACAACCCCACGTCGGAGGAGAACAATGGGAGGAGAGATACGGCGCTCACGGAAGGTTTTGGACGCAAACGGAGCGATTAGCGATTATCTGATGAAGATATGATTATTAAGTCACAGTGATGAATGAAACTGTTTTGTCAAGATGTAGATAGTTGAGGGGGGACATTAAGGCTTCAGAGTGCTTCCAGTGAGGTAGTTTGTACAAACAACGGGCGAATACATCCAGCTCAGACTTAGAAGTGAGGAGGTGAGAGCGGGGGAGTGTTTTGTTTGTTTCGCTCGCTCTCTCACGCACAGGAGACCGACTTTCTTCTTTCTCCACGAATCAACGTTCCAAACGTGTCTGTGGGCCAACAAAAACAAAGCAGAAAATGTGCAAAAAACAGGAAAAAACAGAATAAAAATAAAAATCAACATTTCCTGCGACTGTTTCAAAATAAAAGCCCATGGCAAACGCTCAAATTCTTCACTGAGTTCCTGAGTAATTGGAGGGAGAAACATTTTACTATACAACCCTTTAAAAAAATATTTATAAAAATAAGCCCAATATTTCCTTATTATATGTATATTATAAAGTATTTGGTCAAAGCGATTAAACTTCCCATACTTTTGGTTATGAAATATTAATTTGTATTATTTTCTTATTATTAATAGTATTGAGGGTCATCTCGCGTAAATTCTTGTCAGAGTTTTGGTCCCACTTCATATTGATGAACAACGATGAGAAAAATGTAAATTAAGACCATAATATTGATTTAAAAAGAGCAGCTTTTATTCCCCGCGTGCAATTGCAATTTTGAATATGGCCTCGAAAATACATTTCTGGCCCGATTTCCTTCATCTTTTCTCTCAATTAAAAATGATTTCCAACGTCGGGGAGAAGACAGACGTGACGCTCGCTGCTCAGAGGCGGCGAGGCTGGCAGGCGCCGTTTGGTCATGACTGCTTTGTCAGAGCTCGACATTCACACATGGCCGGCGCGATGTGAGGAGGAAATATAAAAAAGGGGGGGAAGAAGAAGAAAAACGTTCCCAAAGAATACATATTCAATCAGATTGCCGAGCCAACTGGAGTGTTACAGGAGCATCCGACACCGTGGAGGAATATTCAGCTCCTCTTCCGACTGCGTGGAAACAGAACAGACCCGCTCGTACGCTCCAACGCTTTAACGTTCCCCGCGTCTACATTTCTCTGACAAGTGTCATTACGACGACGCAAGATGCGGACGTCTCAGCAAAGAAAGAAGAGGGTCGAAGCGTCTTAGACTTCTCCGGTTTCTATCCTGCCCCGTTCGACCGCGGGCTCCGTGTGCAAGTAGTGTCGGGTACCTAAACGCAAACCACATGGCGACCACGCAGGGAGGCGGCAGAACGGACGGGTGCTCCTGTTAATCTCACGTCCAGATGGGGGGGGGGGGGCTTGATGTGGAACCGCAAAGGAACCGCTTTTAAAGTGATATTATTGCCTTTTTAAAATGTTCACAAAATCTGTGAGCTACCCGGACAATCTTAGACATACAAAACGCACAAACACACACACACACACACACACCCAGACACACACACACACACACACACACACACACTCTCCTTCCGCCCCTCCCCCCCGCGGGAAAGAGAGCTTCACTCACATCCAGAGCAAACAAGGCTTTCATCCTTCGGTTGACCTGGACGGGCCCGAAACTAATAAACAAGGCCCGGGGGCCTGGAGGCCTGCACACAACACACGACACACACACACACACCCCGGTAAGAGGGTGTGGATCTGTGGGACTCAAAACAAATCATAAGAGACTTACAAAGTGTAGACACAGACAGATCACCAGCAGAGAGACGCATAGAGAGACATTTTAAGAGCAAACAATTGAGAGAGGGAGAGAAAGTCAGGCGGAGGGTGGGAGGGTGGGAGGGTGAAGGGGGGGGGGGCAGTAGGGCTTTCCAAGGCTGAAGACGGGTCAGTGTGATAAAGATGCTTCTAAAGTCCTCGGAGTTCTGCGTGCGTGTGAACGCAGGGAAACGCTGTTTGTGTGTTTGTCTCATTTCAGCTTAGTTCTGCTGTGCGACTTTACACGTTTAACTACGTGTCCGTTTTACTTGACAAACATGCTTATTTTAACCCAAACAAACCGTTTTGGTAAAAGATAAAAAAGGTCAACTGAGGCTGGGGAAGTGTTTTTTTTTTTTTAAAGGACTGTATACAAGTAACGAGCGGAAGTTTGTTCTGCAAAGACACCGTGCTTGAAATGCGCGGTAATGAGCTACGAATTAGACTAAAAACAAGAAAAGTCGTCCAAGAAGACATTTTTAAATATCCTGGTAACCGAGACCCAAATCCTGTTCCGTCTAACGGAGTCGGATCCCGTTGTATTGTTGCTCGGTAGACCTGAGCAAACCCATTATCGGCTCCGATCTCCATCATAATCACAGCCAGATACAAATGTGTTTCTGAGTCAAGAAGAGCGGCGAGAACAGGAGCGAGAAGGAAATGTATTCGTCTCCATCCTCGATGGCTGCCGATTGTACGGTGGTGTCCTCTTTTTATTTGGGTCCGTCGGGTTGAGAGAATTTTTGGATCAATGCTAATTATCTCGGCGCGTCGTTGGATGGGGTCTGACTATCGTCTGGCCCCTCGCAAGAGGGCAGAAAATGTATTTACGCGAGTCACGGGTGGCTTTTCCGTTGGTCTGTCTCAGATAGATTAAACATTTTGGAACAAAGGATTCCAGGGAAGAAATAACACTGAATAAATGTGTAAAAAAAAAAAAAAAAGAGAACACGGAGGGATCTAAGACTCTTCTTACTTCAGCCGGGCACCATAAAGCATGGAATTATGAGCTGGTAGCAAAAACAAAAGGCTGAATGTTCTGTATTGCACACATATAACACACCTTTAACCAGGCGAAGAGAATTATCTGCTCAGGGATCAGCAGAGAGAGAAGAAAGATGGAAATGAGAAGAGGAAGAGAGAAGGCCAGAGACGGCTTGCTGAACGGAAGAGCATCTCTGGGAGGAGAAAGAGTGAATGGAAGTGGTGCCGGCAATGTAAGCATGTGTGTGTGTGTGTGTGTGTGTGTGTGTGTGTGTGTGTGTGGCTGCCTCAACCAGCCAGCGAGGCTCCACAGTACTCAGGTGAAGCGGCAGCAAAAGGCCCCCTTCTCCTAGTTGCCATGACAACCCCGACCTCAGCTCCCGCTCTCCAGTGCCCATTAAAACCCTCAGGCCGTCAATCATCAGCATGGCCAGGGAGCAGAGGGAGGGAGGGAGGGAGGGAGGTAGAGAGAGAGGGAGGAAAAGGAGAAAAGAAAGAGAGGAAAAGAAAAGAGATGGAGTTCAAAGCTGCCTGTGGCTTTTGAGTCTCTCTCTCCCCCACATCCATAAAAACCCTCTACTAAAACCCGAGCTGCCTTTTCACGACATTATCCTCCTTCATTTCAAATCAATTTTCATACAAGCAATATTCAATCAGCATTCCATTTTGACTAACGATCATCTCCGTGTTCGCCGCGTAACGTCTTCCGTCTTAATCCCGCAGCCGTCCGGACGCCCTCCTTCAACGTTGGGGGAAAAACGACTTTCTCGACCAACGTCTTCCGAGGTCTAAAAGCCCTTCGTCCATTTCACTGCAGGATGTTTCGCTGTCGTGATGCTGTGATTCCACGACAGATTTGCCAGCGGTTAGCAAATGACAAATCAACCCATTAATACACGTGTTTGGTTAACAGGGCTGAGAGCTGATGGAGCTCACAGCAGGAATGTCCGTCGACCTGAAGCCGCATCCAGATACGCGACGTGAACATCTTTCATAATCGAGCTCAAAGAACAGTTCTTTACATATTAAATTAATTAGCTCCCCCCCCCATCCCGTCTGGGCCTAATAACCAAAATGAGGCCACGCGGTTTGTTTAGTGTTAAATAAGAACTCGTACTCAGACTGTGGCAGTGGGATGAGGTGTGTGACGCGCTCTCGTACACACCAGATACGAGTTTGTGAAAATTTAAAAAGAAAGTATTCTAATCCCTAAACCGTTGTCTCTTTCTCCCCTCCTCTTTTCTCCCTGCCGCTTTTAGGTTTGAACGTGTGACATCTGGTCACATGTGTAAGTAGAGACTCGACTTGGGACAACGCCGACGACTCATCAGCGCAGATCTGTTCATCCCGCAAACAACATGGGAAATAATAATCGCTGAAAACGTTCATTCACTATTTCAGTTTTTAATATTTTGTTCTAAGCAGCTGCACTATATATTTATATTTACGCCTCTGAACTACCGGCAGAGGCATCTGAGAAGCATCTAGGAGAGCGACTGACGAAAACAGTAAGAAGGGATCCTGGTGCAGTCGTCACGGGGGGCATGCGTTTCATCATCTCCCCCCACAGAAGGGGGTCTGCCCTCCTCTCGGCCCTGGTTGTGATCCTCTTTAGCTCCCTGGCGGAGGCTCGCTGGACGGGCCACAGACAGCGAGTGAGCGGCTCTATCTGCCGGGGATCAGACCTCTGCTTGCAGGGGGGGGGGTAATGGATCCGCTGTTATCTGCGTCCGGACAAGCAGGCCAACACGCCGCTACCTGCTGACCACAACAACACCGACACCCCCAACGCATTCGCTCCTCTTCGCTCATTTGCTGCTCCACAGCTCCATAAGACAAAAGGGAACGCTCCTGAATAAACGGGTTCAAGCGGTTCACATAAAGGAGGTCGCGTGCAAACCTGCCGGCCATGCAGGCGCGAAACATGGGCGTGCACGTTGGGATGCGCTCGCGCATGAGCGAGCACCGCGCGTCCGTACGTGTGCTCCATGACTCGCAGGCAAACGGCTGGTTTCATCTGGTTTCATCCCCTCGTCCAAAGCGGGAACTCACTCTCCGCCGTCTCCCTCTTCTCCGGACGCCCCCCCCTGCTCGTCAGTCGCCCT